CAATTTTAGTGGAAGATATATTCCAAATAGGTCTGAGATTTTGAAGCCTATTCACGAGCTACTCAACAAAAATAATGAATGGATATGGGACAAACCACAACAAAAAGCTTTTGATACTATCAAAAATCTTCTTACTACGGCTCCTCACTTAGCTTTCTATGACCCTAATCTCCAAACAATGATTTCATCTGATGCATCATCATTTGGTATCGGCGGAGTATTGTTGCAACGAGAAAAAAGTGGCACATTCAAACCAGTAAGCTACATATCACGTTCTCTCACTGATGCAGAAAGAAGATATTCCAACATAGAACGAGAAGCTCTGGGAATCGCCTGGGCATGTGACAAGTTGAAAGACTACATAGTTGGTAAGGACATGATAATCGAGACAGATCATAAACCACTTTTGAAGATTTTGACGTCAAAAAACTTAGATGAATTAACTCCACGTCTACAGAGAATAAGACTAAGAATGATACGTTACTCATACAATCTTGTGTATACTCCTGGAAAACACCTAATAACAGCTGACTGTCTTTCACGTAACCCTCTAAAGGACACTGAAAACTATGACTTAGAGGAGGAACTCACTTACTACGTGAGACAAGTCATTTCCAATGTTCCAACTACTGATGAAAACATACAGAAAATCCTACATTGTCAAAGACAAGATCCAATTTGTATGAAATTACGGAACTTAATCATTGATGGTTGGCCAGAAAAATCTGAAATTCCAGATCAATTAAAGACATTTTTCAACGTAAAGGAAGAACTTTCTGTTGCTGATGATCTTGTATTACGAGGAACAAGAATATATGTTCCAGAAGCATTGAGAGAAGAAATGCTAAAACGAATCCATGTAGGACACTTGGGAATAACAAAATGTAGACTCCGAGCCAGCAACAGTCTTTGGTGGCCAGGAATATCTCGTGAGATTGCAAAGATGGTTGAAAGTTGTCCACAATGTATTCAGCACAGGAAAAATAAAAACGAACCACTTATTCCAGCAGAGTTCCCTTCAAGACCTTGGCAGATTGCAGCAATGGATCTTTTCAAGTTAAGTGGTCAATGGTTCATCGTGTTAACAGATTGTTACTCACGATACTTTGAAATTGCAACCTTACGTTCTTTGACAAGTCATCAAGTCATTGAAAAATGTAAATCAGTATTTAGCCGTCATGGAATTCCAGAAGAAATCAGAACCGACAGCGGAACCCAATTCACCATGCATCAAGGTTCGGAATTCCAGCAGTTTTCCAAAGACTACAATTTCAAGTTAAAGACAAGTAGCCCTCACTTCCATCAGAGTAATGGAGCTGCAGAGGCTGCAGTGAAGGTAGCAAAATGCATCCTAAAGAAAATAAAGAAGACCCTTACCTGGCACTCTTATCATACCGTAACACTCCAATATCGAACGGGTTTAGCCCTGCACAACTACTAATGGGACGACGTTTACGAGACAATGTGACAGAACAAAATTCAACAAGTGTCTGTACCAGAAGTCCAAAACCACAAGAGGACAACTCAAGTTACAAGACTAGACACGGACGTCAAGTACATCCTCCAAGGAGACTCGACCTTTAAGGAGGGGGATGTTTCAAGACTGTAAATAAAACATATGCTTTATTTAGGATATTATATTATTATGATCAGATGTAAACAAATATTGTTATTAGTGTTAGAGACTTCTTACAAAAGACATGTTCAAATAAAATGTTACCAATTTAGATCATTCCTAAGTATTATTATCACGAGAAGTATAGACGGTCGTGATACACAATTTATACATGCATTTTTTATATGATAATTGCTATTATGAAAGCGTTAAAATTAAGTTAATAATAATACGTACTCTGAATGGTGTCACTCTATCATGCACGTAAAGAAAAAATTACGCATATGGTTAAGAGGCATTATACATGTTCGGCAGCTACATTTGGGTCAAAAGAGAAAAAAGTGTTGATGGGTTTTATTTTTTAAATTGCAATATGTGACAATGAATGTGATCATAGAAATCTCGGGGTAGCGGATTTCTACCCCCGGATATTTACCCCCATGAAAAAATGCCTACGTCATTTTGACGTCACGAGGGGCGGGGCCTATACACGGTCAAGAAACAGCCCGCGACTGGAAATCTACCCCCGGACATCTACCCCCGGACATCTACCACCGGACATCTACCCCCAGACATCTACCCCCGGACATCTACCCCCGGAAATCTACCCCCGGACATCTACCCCCGTGGTCAGCTCTGTTACGTATCGGCCAATCTCTAATGATTGGCTAGAAAAGGGTGCTAGTGACTGGCGACCGTTTAAGAAACGAATTACGGAAAAACAGATTAACAGAATCATATTATACTGTTGTATCAAAAAATGTTCAAGTATTGCAAGCATTGCAACTGACGGCCGCTCTTTCACCATTTGAAAACAAATGCTAGCAACAGTCACAAGTAGCTCAGAGGTAAGGTAAGAGGCTCACAAGTCGAGGGACCCAGGTTCGAGACCCACCCGGGTCAAGAAAATTGTATCCAGTAATTTTTTCAAAATTTGTTTTTATTAACTATTTAATCAATTTACTCAACTGATAATTATTGTGTTTTTCATACTAAATCTTCATTATTTTATGTTTTTATGTTTAGGCCTCATGGGATGTTTGGAAGAGATATTAAATAAATTTTTTATTTAAATATTATTCACTAAAATATATTATTGGAACATATTTTTTTAATATTTATTTTATATGTATATAATATATTTTAAATATTATATAAAATTGACATGAATACACACTTGAGATATATAAAATAGATTTTAAATATATTTATTGATATGTATTTAATGTATATTTGATTATTATTATTAAATATTACTTGAAAATAACATATGGGAAAAAAATGTATTTATGTATATTATTTCATGTTCATAACTTATTTACAGCTTAGAAGTTGCCTCAACTCCAAGAAAGAAGAAAATAATTTTTTTTATCAAGCCATTCTTTCCCATTTTCATAACTGTTGAAATATCTAAACAGCTATATTACAACAAGTTTGTAATGGAACTTAATATAAAAGGATCATAAACAAATCAATTAACCTTATCACAAGTTTAGGGCCTGTGGACTGGCTTCAAGACTGCAAGCAAGAAGAAAATAAAAATTCTATGTTTCCACCATGCAATATGAATCATTCATTCCCTGCCTCCTAACCTCCTAAGTACAAAAACCTCACACTTACAATAGCATTAATAGTTACATCATCATAAATAAAGAATTATTTTTATGTAAAAAATATAAAAATATTTTGAACATACTAATACCATAGATGAAGTAATATAACTTGTGGAACTCTCAGGTTAGCTTTTACGAAAGCCTTCACCTTCGACCATATGGTTTCCACGGGATTCAGCATTGGTGAATAAGGAGCTAACCTCAGTAGCGTTGCTGGAGTCCCGTCATGAACTGCTTCTAGCCGGCTGGCACGGAGCATTGTCGACAACAACTACCAGGTCCTCAAGCCGATTGCCAATGTCTTGCCATCTTTGCATTAAGGTTTCTTCAACCCATTCATTTGCTGATTCGTTAGTGAATGACCCTCTTCTTCGATCCATAGCTAATAAGCCTGCAGCCGAAATCGCACAAATTAAATGGACATTAGGTCCTTTGCTTGCTGGTAGCTTTTGAACTGCTCTGTTTCCAGCTTTAGCTCGTCCTCTTTTGCGTCTACAGAACATATTGAAATTGGTCTCATCGATCCAAACAATTTGCTTCCCTTGTTGAATAAGTTCGTTTAAAGTACGAACATAGTCGGCTCGTCTAGCCTTGTTGTGGATTGAGTTCATTGTAACCGGTTCTTTATGGACCTGCTTGAAAGTCATTACCCTACCTTCAAGGTAGTTTCCAATTGTTGCAATGGAAACAATTTTTGAAAAGAATTCAAAACCTTACTTTGAATTTGTTTTAATGTAAGACCACAATCGTTCTCTATCCAGGCTTCAATTTCATCTATTAACACTTTCGGCTTCTTTTCCCCCTTGGGTAGAGGTGCATCATCTCCCGACCTGACCCACCGGTATGCTGTTTTGTAGGGGACATTTAATTGAGAGCTTAACGCTACCCAATCTTCACCTCTGTTGGCAGTTGAGACAAATCTTAGCCGGTCTTGGTTTGAATGTTTTTGGTATAATTTTCTAACTATGTGTTCCACCATATCAATATCTTGACGGCAAATAGGACATTGTTCTGCATTGAACACCTGCAATTCACGTTGGTTTTCCAAACAAATCTGATGTAGCAAATGTCTACAGGGCAAAATTCTTATTACGGGTTTTCTCAACATGCTGGATTGGCAAATACCACAGTTGTTTTTGAGCTCCATGTCTAATATTTAACTAATTTACACTACACTTCATAAAATGTCAGTTGGTCACTTTCATTTCAAATTAAGAAAAGGTTATTTGCATTATCGTAAGTATAAGTATAAGTATTAAAAAAGTATCATTTAAGTCTTCCAACACAACAACAAAACCTCACACTGCAAGTAAACAAATAACATTGTAGTAACCATAGCAATTAACAAATCACAGCTGATTTTAATTTGGATAATGTTCTCAAATACAATTGACAACTTCTCAAATTCAAATCACCTTTTCTGAAATGAAATTGAACATTTTTCTCAAATACAATTGATTATTCTCAACTACATTTGTTGTTTGATCAAATTCAACTTACTAATCTCATTTACATTTGATATTTTCTCAAATACAAGTAATTAATCTCAAATACAATTAATAACTTCTCAAATAAATGTGGAAAAGGTCAAAAGGAACTGAAAAAATGTAACAGTACCAACTGAGCGTTATTTTTCTTTAGTCTGTCTTTAGCCTGAGGTAGATAAATAGAAAGATTTACTTTTGATTCTTGTTGGTTGGCAACACTGGTCTCGTCTTGTCGTAGTTTTCTTGTTGTCTGTTAGTGTTGTCTGTTCTCTCCCTCTGTCTAGTCTAGTTCTTCTAGCTAGGCCTAGTTGTCTACACAATCGTTTTGTTGGTTTTAGTCAACATTAGCTTTAACGCCCAAGTTTTTTATAATGTAGCCGACTTAAATATTTTGAGAAATTATTTAAGTATTTAGCGTAGATTAGAAAAATAATTATTGTTTTAATTTTTTGTTATGACAGAACACAATAACGATGGCTACAGGTTCAGAGTTTGGTTCTTATAATAGTCCGTGTGGATGGTGTGTGAAAGCGGTGAAGTGGATCCCTGTTTTATTTATCGTTTGTGTAATAATTTGGTCTTACTATGCTTATGTGGTTCAGCTATGTTTGCGTAAGTATTTATTTATTTCAGTACTGTAGGCCTATTCGTTTCTAATTTCATGACAATTCAAAATGTTCTTGTAGGCTAGGCCTAACTTAACAACAGTTGGCTGCACTTTAGTTATTAGTTTACGTCCTACATTTACTCATATAAGATACTGCAGTTTGGTTAAGGTTAGGTTTACTTAGTTTAGAACAGTTTCATTTTACAATCAGTTGGTAGTTAATGCATAGGCTAGGTAATGTATGTACTAGTAAATGTAGGACGTAAACTAAGTTAGTGCAACCCAACAGTTTTTTCCCAATGAACAGTTAAGTTTTTAGGATAGGTCTAGGCCTAAGTTAACGCCTAGGCTTAAGATAACTTGGGATTAGCATGTCAAAGGATACCTAGGACTTTATCTCGTACTTAAAATTTAATTCTATCTTCGACATTGTCCCCCATGACCTAAGTTATTGCTGGAGAAGCTGGGCTATTATGGAGTTGGCGGAGTGGCCCTTCAGACCTTCAAATCCTACCTAGAAGGTAGAAGTCAGATGGTAGTAGTGCAGAGCGCACTGTCCTCCCCAGTAGATGTGAAGTTCGGAGTTCCACAGGGCTCAATAGTTGGCCCCACTCTCTTCCTGATACTTATGAACTAAGTAACTTACCTAGGCTGAGAGAGATAACTTATATTACACTACTATTTGCGGATGATACAACCCTGCTGGGCAGGGGGCAAGATCCTACTGCGGCGGTCGCCTGTTCAGAACATCTTTTCCCAGAGGCAAAGGACTGGTTCCTCATAAATTACTTGTTGCTCGAGGAAGATGAGACACAAAGGCTCCTGCTCACCCTGAGCAGATCATCTCCGGCTCTTGACCCCCCCTGTCAAACTTAGGCTACTTGGCTTTGTCCTGGACTCCAAGCTACAGTAAGGACCTCATATTAATTCTCTCTGTTTGATTGAGCAGAGTAATCTTCCTCTTGAGGAAGCTCAAACATCAAATAGGCTAACTGCACAGTACCAACTGAAAGTCTATTTTTCACTTTAACACAGCTATGTGGCCTACGGCATTCAACTGTGGGGACATGCCGCTGACACCAGTCGTACTTTGTTTGCAAAAACAGGCTCTAGTTACGAATAGTTACTTATAGCAGAAGGCGGAAGCAAAGCAGACCACTTTTTAGATTGTTAAACATCCTCACAGTCTATAACCAATAGGTACATTCTTGTCTGTGTTGTTCATATCAAAGCCAACCTGAGCAACTTTGAACGGTACTTTCCTGTTAAAGGGAACATTCATTATTTTCGATGTTTTTTTCTCGATATATCGATACCTACTTTTGTTTTCCGATCCATTACAAATTGACAACTGATCTTGTTTAGGCTAAAATAGTCTATTACATGGATTAAGAAATGAAACTGTTCTAAGCTAACCTAACATAACCAACCAAACATTTAGAGGAGCACAGAAGCTGAATACCCAGCAATATAGACTGTCCCTGATAAGAGATAGCTTCCCCGCAGTTACCGTACAAATGCTTAATGCGCTGCCACTCCACCTGAGAGAGTTAGAATATTCAAGGAAAGGATCAAGGAGCTCCTGCAAAACCTGTGTACTAATCGGTTGATGAGTATTTTGAGGAGGCACCAACTCTTCCTATTTATCTCCTACACTAAACCATAAACAAAAGAATTAAATATAGACTGACAAAGGAAGGTTCAGTGATGTGCCGCTTGAGCGTGCTCAGTTTTGGTTGATTTGTTGCCGTCGTTGACTCACAATCTGGTACCAGAACTAACTTACCACCCTTGCAAACGAAATGCTACTAACGTATATCAGACCCACTCGTCAATATGGGTAAAGGGTAGGCCTACAGTTTCTTATCTGGGCTAGGTACCCTAAATATCAATTGAAACAATCGATTGAAAATACTTTCCTGTTAAAAGGAAGATTCATCCTTATTATCAATGATTTTTCGATATACAGTAGAGTCCCGCAAACTCGGCGTAATGTGGACTGGAAGGGTGCCGAGTTTGTGAAATGCTGGGTTATCGGGAACTAGGGTTAATAATGAGAACAATACAATTTGTAAGCCTTTTACCTGCCTTCTTTATTTATATTTATAATACAAGTCAGTATTAAGTCATCAGATGTTGTACAACAAATCCTTTTTACGAGTTGCAAATGATTTGACTTGCGCTGGCTTGAGTCCATGTTGAATTCAGACTCAAAAAATCACTAATTTTCTAAGCCTGGTAATGGCCGAGTTATCCAGACTGCCGGGTTATCGAGTGCCGAGTTTGCGGGATTCTACTGTATCAACATTTTTCTTTTTGATCTGATAGCCTATATCGATATCAACGGATCATAACATATCAGCTGACAACTTTGATAACTTATTGTTCAGTATGAACATGAACAATAAAAAAAAAATAGGCCTACATATAAGTTATTATTGAAATGAAACTGTTCTTATACCTAACTAACCTAACTTGCTGTACTCCTATATTTAAAAATACCGTTTGATATTCCCCTCATGCCTTTTCTGTAACTTATCAGACGGGATTTGAAATAGTACCGTACAGCAAGTTTGGTTAGTCATGTTAGTTAGTTATGTGGTTAGTTAGGTTAGTTTAGAACAGTTTCATTTCTTAATCAGAAATCAGAAATATTTATTTGTCATTGGACATTACAAAAATGCATTGACAATTGTCATGTGTATATAGCATGGCTACAGTCAGGCTAGACATTACAACTAACATGTCCAATATGTTAAATTTTTTATGTATAAACCTTGTGTTAAATCCTACTTAGCCTATTATTTTTGACTAAACAAGAACAGTTGTCAATTTGTAATTCAAATTTGTTTGAAAGATTAAAGCAGAAAGAATATGATAGGTGAAAAGTTTAAGCGACAAAAGCTGTACGGTAGTTGAAGAGATACTGTAGGCCTATATTCAACATTATACTGATCAAGCAATTTATAATAAAGTGTGTAGATGGTTTGCAGTAGGCCTATAGTAAATTTTATAGCAAATTTCCCATATAGGGAATATGTTATTACCGTAGGCCTAATACTCATGGTATGAACCTGGACCTGGGACAAATATACTTTTTTGTTTTGAGGTCCCTAAAGGCCAAAAACACCTTAACATCTGTTCAAATTCATATATATATATATATATATACTAGCTGTACCCGCGGGCTTTGCCCCGTTTAACTTCATAAGTGAGCTCGTTCACATGGCTCAATCACATCCTGGTTGAAGTTCGTTCGCTACGCTCACTCACTTTTAGGTTGGAGCTCGTTCGCTGCGCTCACTTGCCTTCAGGTTAGCTCGTTCGCTACGCTAACTCGCCTTCAGCTTGAAGTTCGTTCGCTACGCTCACTCACCTTTTGGTTGCAAATTAGCTGTTGTCATAAATGTAAAAGAAATAATAGTGCTGCAACCTGTTGGTAATCCTTGTAACTTAAATGCTATTGAACATCATAGAACAGAACCAACTTGTTTAATTGAAACAGCTGTTAAGATTCATTAATTCCATTTAAATATGAGTAGTCATAAGGTTAACATGGGAAACTCCAGAGCCACTGGGGCGGAGCCCGAGAGTCCGATCAGAATAAAAACAGCTTAGTTTTCCTATTTAATGCCTAAAGAATCAGTGTACCAAATATCAGCCTCCTAGGTAAATGGGAAGTAAGAGAATTCGTGATGAGTGAGTGAGTCAGTCAGTCAGTCAGTCAGTGAGTCAGTGAGGGCTTTGCCTTTTATATATATAGACTAGCTGACCCGGCGAACTTCGTATCGCCTAAGTTATAGGTTTCCCCTAAGACAGACCGATGGAAAGAAAGTACCGTTACGTTTAATTTTCAAGATGATCTCGTTAGCATCGCTCAATCACGTCCTGGTTGAAGTTCGTTCGCTACGCTCACTCACCTTTGGGTTGGAGCTCGTTCGCTACGCTCACTCACCTTTAGGTTGGAGCTCGTTCGCTGCGCTCACTTGCCTTCAAGTTAGCTCGTTCGCTACGCTAACTCGCCTCCAGGTTGAAGTTCGTTCGCTACGCTCACTCACCTTTGGGTTGGAGCTCGTTCGCTACGCTCACTCACCTTTAGGTTGGAGCTCGTTCGCTGCGCTCACTTGCCTTCAGGTTAGCTCGTTCGCTACGCTAACTCGCCTCCAGGTTGAAGTTCATTCGCTACGCTCACTCACCTTTGGGTTGGAACTCGTTCGCTACGCTCACTCACCTTTAGGTTGGAGCTCGTTCGCTGCGCTCACTTGCCTTCAGGTTAGCTCGTTCGCTACGCTAACTCGCCTCCAGGTTGAAGTTCGTTCGCTACGCTCACTCACCTTTTGGTTGCAAATTATCTGTTGTCATAAATGTAAAAAAAATAATAGTGCTGCACCCTGTTGGTAATCCTTGTAACTTTAATGCTATTGAACATCATAGAACAGAACCAACTTGTTTAATTGAAACAGCTGTTAAGATTCATTAATTCCATTTCTCATAAGGTTAACATGGGAATCTCCAGAGCCACTGGGGCGGAGCCCTTTTAAGAATTTCGAAACGGGAAATAGTTTACGTCGATTCGCATACCTACAGAATTTACACACCAAATTTCATAACGATCGGTGAAGTCGTTCCGGAGGAGTTTGCAGACAAACACTGTGACACGAGAATTTTATATATTAGATATAGCATATACCCCCGCTGCAGCAAACCTGCCGACTAAGCGAATTTCCATTTGCCTGGATTGATTTTCAATTAATCTATTAAATTAACATATGTTTATCAAGTAGGATTACCTAGGTTAGCTGCTACAGGGAAATTAATAGAGTGTGTTTTTTTTTTTATTAAAATATTAATAGCTTAGTATAAAATAAATAAATCCGCCAAGTTAGATCAAAATATATCCAAAAACAAGCCAACTACAACATTTTACAATAATCTCCATAAGAATAACATGGGAATTTTAAATTAACAATTTTTCTCCGTAACCGTTTACCGTACAAAAACACTTTTATATACTAAATTATTGGTTTTTTAAGCTCTTTAAAAGGGTCTGGAGAAAAATTGATAAATTTTGTGTTTTAAGGGTTTGTTCTGGGAGTACCGTAACAAAAGGATCAGTGGAACCAGGGAGGACGGCCTGCGGCGCAATTTATAAAGAGCCTTGTTGTACTAATTAGGTACTCCATTATACACGACTAACAAATTTTATTTGGAATTGCTTGGTTATATGCTGAAGATCATCTCATTAGCTACAATTTTGTCACTTGAAGTTTGCTTCCTTTGACCAAAAAATAAAAATAATCCTCGCTTAATAACTTTTTAATGTCAAAGTGTAATAACTTTTTAATATTTTCAGTTGTTAAAATTCAAATTTAAATAAGATTATATTTACACCCTGGTCAGATTCTGCATTTAATGGAGATTCCGAATATATAACTATAATTGCACTCAATCTATAGTATAGATGGACAGGATTGTTTTAACAACCGCGTGCACGGCTTGAGGAACTGACTTATCTGCGTTGGGTCCATCATAGTGGTGGGGGAAGGTTGCCGAAACGGCAGGCTTTTTATCCCACATCTCCTATCTACCTGGTGTTCCAGTTGTAATATATCTTTGATGGTTATGAATAATTTTTCAAGTCCAAGTTATTGATTTTCTTTAGTTTAGGGATTCAAAAAGACAAAAGGTTTCTATCATAATTAGAAGAGGTATCACATTTCCTTGTGATCCAAACTTTTATCTTATCTTGGTTCAGTGTGGTTTGATTAGACCAGTCTGGAACACCAAAGTTCATATGATAAGTGTACTTCTTCAAATAAAATATAGATAGGGATACATTATCAATAATTTTACACACAGATGTTTTTCCGATTAGCCTAGTCAGATAAGACTTAAGCTTAGGCCTACAGTTTTATGTTATTTATTTGGTGAAAGTTTAAGTTGACAAAACAATTTATGTTTGTTGTGCTGTAGTTATCTTTAACCCTCCAAGTGTCTCTAGTTTTGGTCTTAATGTTCGCCCATTTATTGCGCAATCGCAGGGTTTTATTAAAATGTATCTTTGAAACTTAAAAACAATGTAAAGTATACATCCATTTTTTATATATCATTTTGTTTGGAAAACTGTGGGCTTCAATGTAACATATAAAACATTACAAAAAAAATGTTCAACAATTTTTGTGGGGTTAACATTTCTCAAAAATTATAAAATAAATGAAAAAAATTTATGTTTGCGCTCAATAAATTTTTATAATTTATAGGTCTACAAATATTTTAAAATAGCTACTTTGTTCAGAATTTTATGAGGATTCCAAAAATATAATAATATAAGGAAGTAGGTTTGCAAATAAATAAGTTATGGTCAAAAAACAGATTTCGGTACATAGCGTTTAGCTAAGAATGCATAGCCTAACCATAGCTAGGATTCTGGCTGATAATTTACATCAATATCACTACCTACTTCTTCAGGATCATCAACCAGCCCTTCAAAATCACTTAAATCTTCTTATAATGCACCACGTATATCACTACTTTTGATTTTTAACACTAAAACAATGATAAACGTAATAAAACACATCAGTCATCGGTGCGAGGTTAACCAAGCTGTTTACAAATACGCACGTCAGCTGTCTGCTTCAATATTTATTTTCGGAACTAAAATGAAAAGCGTATAGAAACAGACATCAGGAGAAAGCTCTGAATCTGCTGAAAAAAACTATACCTAACTCGATCCAGTTCAATCCGATTCAGTCAGTCCCAGAGCCGTCGCCGTAAACAGTGTTTGTGAGTCGCAAAAACGACACATAACACTACAGCGGATGTGTTATGATTCGCTTTTACGACACATAACACTCGGAGGGTTAAATGTCAAAAATTTAAACTGTAGGACCCTCAATTCTAAAGCCTAAGGTTTATAAAGTCCTATTAAAAAAAAAAAAAAACTACAATAGGCTAATCAACAAAATAGACTAACTTACCTCTCATTCGGATATTGTGCTTAGTTTAGACTTTGGTTGGTCTAGAAGGTCACCTGTTTATGACCCACATATCCATCACATTTTCTACAAGTAGGCAAGAACCAAACAAGTAGTCAAAACCTACTTGATATGGTACTGATACAGACTGATTTTTACTGTTTTTCCTTATTATTCAAGAAAGTATTTTAGTACTAGTCTACATTAGGCCTACTTAATAAAGTGATTTTGAAAGTCATACATTCACTTTTGTAACTCCTGATGGTTCGGACATGTTTCAGTGCTAATAAGGGCCCTGACCCGAGACTTCCAAATGAGAGACTAAGTTACTGTGTGTACATTTAACCTAGAAAAAAGTTATTGTGCTGTTTGATTACAAATGTCAACTATCAGTGATGTCGGCCATCACTACTACTTTGTATGGTCGTCATCTCAATGTATTAAAAAAGTGTATAGCCTATAGAACATTTGTTTAAGATGTGTATATGTCAAAAGCTTTAATTAGTCATACCTTATTGTTTCAGTTACGGTGCCTAATGCATATGAGATGGTGTTGTACTTAATTGGCTACCACATAGCTTTTGTTGTATTTGTATGGGCATACTATCAAACGGTGTTCACACCAATCGGTACAGTTCCTCGGGGGGTAAGTCTGGTTAATTTATCAACATTCATAATTTTTTGTTTAACTATATAGGAAAAGGTATTTTCTACTTTTCAGTTTAATTTCAAAAACCAAACAGTTTGGTAGGTTGCATTTTACTTTACTCTTACAGTATTGTTTACAGAGATTTTCAAAATGCTAACTACTTGTCTTATATTTGAAATAGACATTGTAGTATTTAGTCTAACGAAGCTCTTAGTAAATGTATTGTAATTGTATATTGTGAGTAAATTTCAAAATTTAAAACTAATAAGTATGTAGGTCTGGAGTTTTATCACATGCACTTATTTATTTTCTTGGCTGCTATTTAAAAAAATAAACCTAGTTTTTAAATTCCTTTTTCTGAGTTATTTACCAACAAGTTATCAATCAAATTCTGTACCCTTCAGAGTTTTTAGAGTTAAACATAATTTTGTTTATTACTGCGTCAAGTTGGCCTAATTTTGTTTCAGTTTAAGCTACCTAAAGGAGATCTTGAGAGACTACTTCAGGCAGATTCAGAAGAACAACATCGGCAAGTAATAGAAACATTCGCAGCATCACTTCCCATCACAAACAGAACTGTCACTGGGGGTAAGACTCACATTTGCAGTAACCTAGTGAAATTATATGTTGGATTTGAGGCTAAGCTACATGAATTGGACAATATTTATTTTTTAAGATGGCCAGACTTACAGTACATGATAAAAATGTACTCTGTCCGACAAACTCGATATAATGTGGAAAGGTTCTGAATTTGAGTCATCATGAAAATGAGCCAAAAATGTATAAAAAGTTACTCACAATACGGTATATTTTATTTTAATTTCTCATGTAGATGTTACAAGTACAGCACCAAAATATTGAAATGCGTAAATCATACTTGTTATAAAAATATCCAACTTTTCCCCATAAAACTCATTGTTAGAGTGCTACCTGACAAACTAGCTGGCACGCCAATCGTCAGTTAAGCGTTTGACATCTGATTATTATGGTGAGTCGGTGGCTCAGTTGGTAGCGTCACGGACTTCTGGCCTAAGGAAGCGATGTCAAGGGTTTGGATCGTGTTCACTGCCACAAACAGTATCAGTACAGTTCACCTTCGTACTGTACTGGCTCACCCCTTGCTTTGCTGGGGTGAAACTACGCACAGATCTGTAGTCTATGTGGACGGCCATATGCAAGGTTAGAAGATGCCGCCAACCTCTTAAAAAAAATTATTGATGGGAAGAAACATTTCCTCTTTATTTAAAAGATGAAGCCAGTTTTAGAACAAAAATGGTGTGGTTCAACTAATCTATCGACATAATGTGCTGATGATACAAATTACTGATTTCTGTCAAATAGCCTAAGTTATGCAAATATTTTTACCAAACCTATAAAAGAACTTGTTGTAATTTACAATATCCCACACACATATATATATGGCACATCAACTATCATAGCTCAGTAACAAAAAGTTAAGTGGTTGAAAACTTGACCAAAAGTATGTAATGTGCAAACTTATCTGTTTTCACCCAACCAGTAGTATGGTCAGGCTAGCTGTCATACGTTTTGCAAACGTTTTTTAATATATAAGATAGGTCACAACTGGTCCATATGGATGGGATATCTACTTCAGTATTCAAAAGTCAATTGTGTGACTCGTGTGATATCAGCACGTAGCGCTATTGCAAAGCACTGTGCAACTATTGAAGCTACCTAGTTCACCACCAGAGTTTCTTACTGGGTAAATTAACCCTGGTGTAGAGGTGTGTGAAACTGAAGTAACACTCTTTACAGGTTCCTTAGAAATCCAGACTGCTGCTAATTGTGTGTAAAGTTTGCATAACTGTGCTGACCTACTTGTTGATGCTTGGAAGTTGCCTCCTTTTCTGAAATTGTTTTATCTTGTTACAAAGCATGGATATAATTCATCAAGTAACTGATTTTGTGTCTCTGCCAGCAATACGCTACTGTGAAAAGTGCCAGCAAGTGAAGCCGGACAGAGCGCACCATTGTAGCGTGTGTGGCACGTGTGTCCTCAAGATGGACCACCACTGTCCGTGGGTCAACAACTGCGTGTCGTTCACCAACTACAAGTTTTTCATTTTGTTCTTGGGATACGCTCTTGTCTACTGCATTTACATTGTTCTCACAAGTTTGCAGTACTTCATCCACTTTTGGAGGGTAAGGCTCTACACTTTTTGACGGTAAGGCTTTACCTTTTAAATGAATTTAGTGACCTGCTGAATAATATTTTGAATGCAATAGGAAAATATGTATTCTCTCTAGGCTTGAAGCTCTGTATACTCTCGGTACTCTTTGGCATGTGAACCCCTCTGCACTTCCAACCCTTAAAGCTGGATGTGAAAGGAATCGGATTTTCATTTAATTTTTTATAGTGATGTACCAGTATAGGATTAGACTTATTTTTTTAATTTTTAATATTTTTTTCATTTTTCCCTATAGTTCTTTTTGGAAAATTTTCCAATTAATTGTTTTGTTAATTAAATAATTTGTTTTTTGAGCCATACAAAAACGTTTGAAAAGAAACTGAAAAATTTGTGAATTTTCTCAAAGGAATTTTCTTTCCCCCCTACCTGTATACTTTACTAACACAAAGTGAAGTAATTTTTCTTTTTCACAGGGTGACCTGACAGGGATGGGGCGTTTCCATATCCTGTTTTTATTTTTTGTCGCAGCCATGTTTTCTGTCAGCCTCGTGTCACTTTTTTGCTACCATTGTTACTTGGTGGCACACAACAGGTCAACATTAGGTAAGTTAAGTTTTAACTTGTTTAATGCTGCAATATGTTCTTAACATTCTGTTCAAAGATTCACTAAAGTCAGCCAATTAAAACAATCATATGTTTTGAATGAAACCCCAATGGAATGAGTGTCCCAAAATTTTAGCTATTGGATTTTTAGTGGCTTTAATATGTTGAGTACCTATATGAATAAATGAATAATGAATAAATGATTTTATTTCCATTGAGAACAAACTTATTACATGCATTTACAATATTTGGAAATTGACTGGCCGCTTTTCAAGTAGTGCGGTCAGTTAGAAAAATAAATACAATAAATTATAACATATTTTGAGTCTAGCATCATGCATTAAAAATACTCTCATGCCGCCATTTGGGTATCTACTAAATACATACAGGGTGATTGATATAAGTGTGCCAGCCGTTTTATTCGAAAACCATAAGAGATATCAAAAAAAGTTAAATGGTAAGTGCCTTGGACTTTTTATTTAAAAAATTGTAGTAAAGTCGAAAAAATTATTTTAGCCGCCATTTTTCCAATATGGCCGCCAACTTTGATTTTTCTTATGGAACACCCTAAATTTTATGATGTATTCTGGTAGAAAATGTAATTTTAAGACGATTTTATTCTTGTGATTTTTTTCATAAACCTAACCGTTTCAAAGATAATAATGGTTTAAGTTGTGAAATTTTGAATGGTTTTCGAATAAAACAGCTGGCATGCTTGCTTAGGCCTTTATCGAAACTCTTTTTCGTGCAGAAATTTCAAAACTTTAACCATTATTATCTTGGAAACGGTTAGGTTTATGAAAAAAATCACAAGAATAAAATCGTCTTAAAATTACATTTTCTACCAGAATACATCATAAAATTTAGGGTGTTCCATAAGAAATACCCCCGCCGCAGCAAACCTGCAGACTTAGCGAATTTCCATCTGCCTGATTGGATTTAAACTAAAATGTCTCCTTAAAAATATCACATTTATTCCCTATTTAAACAGAATTAGTTTAATGAGTACTTAGGTTTGCTGCAACAGGGGGGGTAAAAAAGTTTTTTTAATGTAAAATATTAAAAGGTACTGTGGTTTAGTAAGAAATTAATGTATTTTCCAAATTTGATCAAAATCTTACTAATATTATAAATCTGAAAGTTTGTGAGTTTGTGTGTGTGTTTGTGTGTGTGTTTGTGTGTGTGTGTGTTGCTCATTCACGCATAAACTACTGGTCGGATTGGGCTGAAATTTGGCATGATGATAGCTCACATTCCCGATTAACATTAAAGCATATTCTTATCTCAAAAATCCTTTCGGGCTCCGCCCCAGTGGCTCTGTAGTTCCCCATGTTAACCTTATGATTTTTCATATTTAAAAGGAATTAATGAATCTTAACAGCTGTTTCAATTAAACAAGTTGGTTATGTTCTATGATGTTCAATAGCATCAAAGTTACAAGGATTACCAACAGGGTGCAGCACTATTATTTTTTTTTTATTTATGACAACATCTAATTTCCAACCAAAAGGTGAGTGAGCGTAGCGAACGAACTTCAACCTGGAGGCGAGTTAGCGTAGCGAACGAGCTAACCTGAAGGCAAGTGAGCGCAGCGAACGAGCCCCAACCTAAAGGTGAGTGAGCGTAGCGAACAAACTTCAACCAGGAAGTAAATGAGCCATGCGAATACTTATGAAGTTAAACGGGGCAAAGCCCGCGGGTACAGCTAGTATGTTCATAAACAAGCAAACTACAACAGTTGACTTATTCTCCATAAGAATAACATGGGAATTTTAAAATTACAATTTTTTTAATTTTCTCCGTAACAATTAGGCGCATAATAACGCTTCAATATACTAAATTATTTGTTTTTTTAAGCTCTAAAAAATGGTTTAAAAAGAAATTGTGAAATTTTGTATTTTTAGGGTCAAAAATGAGAAAAACCTATTTTTACCCCATAAAACCCCCCATAAACCCCCGTTCCCATAGTCCGATCATGCTGGTTCGCGAACTCGTTCAAGTTTATCCCGCCTTACACCTTCAAACCAAATTTTATCAAAATCGGACAAAAATTACTCAAGTTATCGTGCGGATGGACACATATATATATATATATATATATATCTATATATAGATATATAAAAATTTGAACGAATGGTGTTTTTGGCCTCTGGGGACATCAAAATGAAAAAGTAAATTGGTCCCGGGTCTAAGTCTTACCGTGCCACCTACGGTAATAGCTACTTCCCTATAGGGAAATTCGCTAAAATCAAAGTTGGCGGCCATATTGGAAAAATGGCGGCTAAAATAATTTTTTCGACTTTACTACAATTTTTTAAATAAAAAGTCCAAGCCACTTACCATCCAACTTTTTTTGATATCTCTTATGGTTTTCGAATAAAACGGCTGGCACACTTATATCAATCACCCTGTATATTAAAATACTAGCAGAGTACCCGTCCTTCGTACGGATTGGCAAATAAGTATAAAATGCTTAGTACAGTTATACTCAAGCTTTGCGTGTGCGATGGGGGAGGACACAGTATAATAAAATTTACTTCTTTAAATTTATGGTATGCTATAGTATTATACATCTACCATAGCCATAATGTTCTACCACTTCACCCAAACAATAGAAGAAAATTATTTAGATTCACAAAATATCACAAATTATTCGTGAAATTATAAACATGAACATAACTGTAAACAGTCCGTTCTCATTGTTTATCACAGTTTTTTGTTGCTGCTTAGTTCAAATTAGCTGTTTTCATAAATGCAAAAACATAGTGCTGCACCCTGTTGGTAAATCATATAACTTTTAATGCTTTTGCATATCATAGAACCAACCTTTTTAGTTGAAACAGCTGACTAAATCTATTAATTCCATTTAAATATGAGTACTCATAAGGTTAACATGGGAAACTCTAGAGTCACTGGGGCGGAGCCCGAAAGGATATTTGAGATAAGAATATGCCTATATGTTAATCGGGAATGTGAGCTATCATCATGCCAAATTTCAGCCCAATCCGTCCAGTAATTAATGTGTGATTGAACTTCAAACAAACAAACAAACAAATAAACAAACAAACACACAAACTTTCACATTTATAATATTAGTAAGATAAATAAATAACAATGTAAGTGTTGCAAATTATACAAGCACAATTAAATAACACTAATTGTAAATAATAAATAACAATGATTATAGGTAATAAATAACAAAACAACAATAATTATAGGTAATATATAATAAAACAACAATAATTGTGGAAACTTAACGAAAGTTAGAAAGTCATTTCATTCTTACATGCAACTATTGACCTACATTTGCCTTTGGTACCATATCTATGAGATAACATTGCTTAAATAATCGATGTTATATTGTTATATTGTCGATATTGTTATATCGTTATAAACAGCGGTTTGAATGTTATTATGCTATACAAGTTGTTAGCTGCAGTATAATCTACTCATTAGTTTTCATACTTGACTGCCTCGCGGCGTTTGAAAAATGTCTATTTAGTCTTTGATGTTACCTGAGTGTAGTTTTCAAGTACAACTTATCATACTTTGTGTTATTTTTTTCAATAAACTTATATGAACTGACTAAAACTTAAAAGCACAAAACATTGTATAAATAGGCTCTGCAACTAAGAATTGTAAAACGTTCTCTTCAAACAGATGAGTTACAATGAAAATGTTCTTATTGCGATTGTATTTAATTATCCCTTGGTTTATTAGAAATTATTGGTTGGGTCGAATAGAAAAAAATCACCTATCAGTCAATTTAAAAATTAAGCTCTCACTATTCCTTCCTCATATCTCTACTTATATTTGGAGTTTGAGTAATTTTGTTACATTACAGAGGCATTTCGAGCACCCATATTCCGCACTGGAGTTGACAAGAATGGCTTCAGTTTAGGAGCCTACAACAATTTCCAGGAAGTATTCGGTGACAACAGATCAACCTGGTTTCTCCCCATCTTCACAAGGTAACTAAGATTGTTGTAGATTACTTGTAAAACACAAATTATATTTTAACCGTTTATACTCCTCTATACATTTATGCAAATACTTCTCTATACGGTGTTTTTAAGTATCAACATAATAGTTGTATGAGTGACTCTCTTGATTTCATAACAGATTGCAGTGAGTAGGTGTTTTCTAGTGTTCCCACTAACTTGAGTCAGTTATGTTTATTTTCTTTGCATTTGTCCGCAAATTAAGTTCTCTAACAAATTCCTATTGCGGCAAAGCGAGAGAGTTTAAACCTAACAACGGTGATGTGTTTGGTGCCCCCCCCCCCTCCATCCCATCAATATTTTGGCTTATCTTTGATAGCTAATATGAGACTGAAGTGGATAGTATAGTGGTGGGAGAAGTAAAGAACACAGTCCTGTCGTTAGATTTATCCTTCAACTGTTTTTGAAGGGGAGCTCATTAGACACATTTATTTACGAACAAACCCCTTATACTGTATCGGCTCACCCTTTCCTTTGTTTGATTTTATTTCACACGGACCCAGGCTAACTCTTTTGATAAAAAAAGTCTATATTATGGTTAAAAAATTATAATTTTACTGATTGTATTTTTATGTGTCTTGTTTCAACGGATATCCATTTTGAGGTGGTACATTTTTCTAAAATAGTGTGTGAAAATGAAATGCCATCAAAATAAAAATAAAAACTTTATGATGTCAGTTTGAACCATCGTAAATGATTTCAATTAAGTACTTTAATGCAGCTTAAATTGTAAACATTGTCAAATTTACAATATTGATCATTGTGATTATTGATATTAGTAGATAGTTTGAAGGATTCCTTCCTAAATTCATTATGCCCTAATAGTAATGATTAGGCCCTACCATTAATTTCTAGGTTGTAAAATAGAGTTGTCATAACTTGATAGACCAATATATAATCATCGTCTCACATGTCTTTACATTATTGGCTAAGTAATAAGGAAAAAGATTTATGCTGGATGTCATATTTTGCTGTATTTCATCGAACAAGGATGAACTACAATTAATTTTGCTGGATATAAGCAAAATTTCTAACATATATGCTCAAAAGCAAGATGTGAAATCTGTTGGAGTAGGAAACTTATAGGTACAATATAAAAAGTCAAATTGAAACAATAAAGATATTTTATTGGAAACTTGGATGTGATAGTAAATAGAAAAAAAAGAGTATTAATATCAGAGAAGCATACTTTCAATCTTGTCTATTTTCTCTGACTTTTTGTGTATGACTGCTTTAACAGTATTCTAATTAAATTAAGAGTATTAGTGTGCTTGGTATATTGTGTTGGCTTTTATTGTTTTATTCACTGTTGTTTTGTCTTTATTGTGTATAGAGTTTTAGTTAAAATAGTCGTGGGAGGGCTGTTACCTTAAAAAGGAGTTGATGATGGTGTGCCCTATAAAGATTTTTTCAGACCACCGATTGGGTATCTCGTGTAACATATTTAATTATAACTAATTTTATAGAAACACTAGTTTACTTAAATAACTCAAGGGATTTAATAAAGCTTAAAGTACCTTTAGTAGATGAAACACACAATAGACTTACTTGGCTTTAGAGCTTGAACATTTTATTTACCTAATTTTTCTACCGAGGACTTAAATAAATTAGCGTACTGTCAATTCAGTCACAGAAGCATAGGAGTAAGCCCAGAAACTACTAGCAACAAATATTGTTGTATGAAGCTACCTAATATACTTTTGTTTTAATCTTGAAGGACTATCAATGCTACATTTGATGGGGTTTTTCCTTTTACTTTTGGACTATACAGGGTGATTGATATAAGTGTGCCAGCCGTTTTGTTCGAAAACCATAAGATATATCAAAAAAAGTTAAATGGTAAGTGCCTTGGATTTTTTATTTAAAAAATTGTAGTCAAGTCAAAAAAAATTATTTTAGCAGCCATTTTTCCAATATGGCCGCCAACTTTGATTTTTCGAATGGAACACCCTGTATTTTATGATGTATTCTGGTAGAAAATGTAATTTTAAGACGATTTTATTCTTGTAATTTTTTTCATAAACCTAACCGTTTCAAAGATAATAATGGTTTAAGTTGTGAAATTTTGAATGGATTTCTAATAAAACAGCTGGCATGCTTGCTTAGGCCCTTATCGAAATTCTTTCTCATGCAGAAATTTCAAAACTTTAACCATTATTATCTATGAAACAGTTAGGTTTATGAAAAAAATCACAAGAATAAAATCGTCTTAAAATCACATTTTCTACCAGAATACATCATAAAATACAGGGTGTTCCATAAAAAAAATACAAGTTGGCGGCCATATTGGAAAAATGGCGGCTAAAATAATTTTTTTTACTTAACTACAATTTTTTAAATAAAAAATCCAAGGCACTTACCTTTTAACTTTTTTTTATATCTCTTATAGTTTTCGAATAAAACGGCTGGCACACTTATATCAATCACCCTGTAGACTCCTTTTATTTACTTTTTAGTAGCTATGATATTGATAAACATTTTTTAAATAAAATCGAAGGTAGTAAATTTGTCTCAGTTTTTAACAATTAAAACATCGGTAGGTGTATTTTGAATATATGATTTAATTTTGGTGTATACAAATACTTAAATTCTACCAAAGCTTATCAATAATACCAATGTAAATGGTTGTTCCGTTATTCCTAACAACTATTCAATTCTCTGAACTGTAGGTGATAAACTAGTTACTGGGTTTAAAATCATTATTAACATACGCCTTAAAAACTAATAAAACCTACCCTAATATAACTTAAAGAGATATATTGTAGCCTAAATCATATCTTGCCTTTAAAATGCCTCATTAAAGTTTCTTTAAATAGTAATATAAATACATATGCTAATCTACAATAGCAAAAATCTCCTCAATAACCTAAGAATCTGTTAATTTAAAAGGGAAGTACCGTATAAAGAAACTATACTGTTTGTTAGAACCGAGCTCAAACTTTACTCCAATCTAAGTCAGTTTATTAGCGTTCAGTAATTTTAGTTTGTACTTTATATTGTAGCATGGTACTCTAGCATGTTAGCAGCACTTAAGCTAGTTCACCAACTTATTTTGTGTTTGAGTTTATTCGTGGGCGGTTTGGTTTTGTTTTAGTTTGGGGGACGGCATAAGATACCCTGTACGAAGCCAGCACCATAATGGCCAATACAACTCTGTTGGTGTGACAGTAAACAGGTTAGAACACGCTCCCTAATTCTCCTTCACGCACGCTTTCTTCCACTTTCGCTTGCTTTGCGCATGTCTTCTCTTCTCACCACTGTGGGACTCTTTCTTTGAATGCACTGTCTTTGTGAGGAAGAGTGAAGAAGAACACTTCTATCTAATGTTGTTCCTTGTGTACATACATGTGTTTGTATCAAAGCTACGGTAACTCGTCAAATTCCTTGTTTGTGACTCGTTTTGAAAGAGTCTGTAAATGTGTAAAATTACATTGTGACTTTTATAATGTCTTTATTGTTTCAAGGTTAAATTGTGATGCATAAAATAATAAAATAGCGTTACGTAGAGTAGAATTTTACACCATGATATAATGGGATTCATTTGTAATTTTGTATTTTATATTGAATACTCTAATCAATTTATTTATTGTTGAATATATTGAGATGATTGTGCAATGTAAAAATTATGATTTAATAATGATGGACAAAGTTAGTGTTTAGATTATGTTATATTCTGTTCCTCTTAAATGACTGCATTGTTACGGGTTATATAAGCAACATAGCAACAAACTAATCTAGGAAGTAAGGTTCCTTTTTATTAAGCATTGTCTTAAAATAAAATGCTAACTATGTCAACGTTTTGTTTGGATACCGCTTTTCTTTTGAATTAATTATTTACAGTGTTGAAAATTTTTATTTAACCTAGGTCTTAATATGTATTTTTTAAATCTAAGAAAAGCATTATATATTTTTATAAACACCTTTAAAAAATTGTTTAGATATTAAAAAAAAAAAAAACAGTGTAGCCTACACCATCTGTTATCAAAACAAAATTGATTACAATATAACTACACAATTCAATTTAAATACTCTCGTATAGGCCTTAGGTACAATATTAGCAATAAAGCCACCTCAAAATGGACGAGAAACCCCTATTGGACGAGAATTGTTCTATTTTTCCAATTGACACAAAACACATTATATATAATTATTTTACAGTAGTATTTTAAAACTTGTATCCAGGCCATGTCAATAGGTAGGTGGAGGAGTGGGCACAAGATTTAATTTTGTAGAGGAGGAAATTTGCCAAATTTGTTTGGTTAATATTCGTTTAGACTTGAATTTTTGATTGAATATGTCAAGATCTAGGCTAGTGAACACTATAATATAACACAATAATAAATGTAAACAAACTGTCAAATTTTTACTTACGTTAGATTCATTTTAGATTAGTACTGTTATATTTTTGATTATTTTTACAAATCTGATCAAATATTTATAAAAATAACTTACTTTGTAATAATGTTGGTTAATTCAACTGAAGGTAGGTAAATGTTCAAAAATATTAAATGGGATCTCCTCCTATAAATCGTCCCTGTATCATTAGTAAATTAAGCTTCAATTTACCTTAGTTCTTTGTTTAACCTGATTGTTTCGGCAACAACCAACTAAGATCTCAGCAAAGTGTTTTTCTTCCATTTACCATAGATGATTTTTGCAATGAAGTGTTTTAAGTACCAGGATGAAAAATGCCTTCATTATTTGTTTAGAATAGTAGCATTTTAACCCTCCAGTACACGCGCGACTAATAGTAACACCAGTACACTCCTGCGGACTGGGATTCCGTGTCTTACTTCTTACTGGAAACGCTCTTTTATGTACCTAATAAAGTTCATATAGCATCAAAATTTAAAATAATCCAAAATATATGTGAATAGATATAGTAGATAAATTTCAAAATAATTACAAATATTTCAAATTAAAAATGTCTGTTCTATTGAAAACCAATCAGTCAATCGCTGGCCTGTTCTTCATCCTATTGAAACATGACACACCTAACTTTACACCCTCGTAGCTCATGGCCAACTGACGCAAAGACGGTCAAAACACTTGTCTTGTCTAAAATTATATTTTTTACTTTATTTTTGCCGACTAAGTTGATGGGTCATAAGAGTTGCTATAGCTCACAATAAGTCATTGCTATAGTTTGATTTGGTAGAAAATTTAATGTATTTGACAGAAATTAGTAATTTATATTTAGATCAGCACAATCTGTCTGTGGCTCCCATCAACTATGACAATTTTAATTAACAATGAGGCAACAAATTTAATATGGGGATGGAATGACTAATTATCAATAGTCAAAGATTCAACTAAAGGATCAGATTCTTTCATTAAGAGTTCACATTTAAACTGTTATTACTTATGAAGAAAGTTGGTTAGCATCACTGGATCTTTGAAGGTGAACTTTAGAAGTAAATGAAACTCAAAGGGCATTAGCCCTAAAGGGAATACCTTTTAATGTTAAGTTACCATTCACCCCTCTTCTTAATCATAATAACACCTCAATTTATAAAAATTGGCTAAGTAGGATGGCTACAGATATAGTATATTTCATTACTAGTCCCCCAAAACACTATCGAGCCTCGAAAGGGTCTTTCGTGACGAGTATTGAACGATACTTTTTATCATGATGAAAAAAAACTACTTCATCAAATAAAAAAAAATCTGATATATCGTAATTTATTCATTTTTCTAATCTAAACACAATACGGCTGTACAATTAATTTTAGTGTAAAATTCAGCTGATTATAACTTTGTTGATGTCAGGCAAAGTATTGTTTGTGTAGGGAAAGTAATATTTATGTAGTGAAAGTAATGTTTAAAAGTCAGCTGATCACTATTTGTTTTTGGTGTATGGAAATTGAAGATTTTTGAAGATCTCAGCTGTATGGAAATGGGCTATTGTCGAATACAGAGTAATGAAAAAAACCTTATTGTATTGTATTGTATATAAATTTGTGGAATTTGTTTCCATTAAGGACAAATTTTTGTAACAGGAATTAAATTAGAGATTACGTTTTTAACAAAGTTAAAGTGATAACAATACAAAAATTATGTAAGTAAATATAATACACCTTTGTCCAAAGAAATTGACCGTGTAATATAGAATGTATAGCATTTTCTGCTCCTGTATGGGTAACATTTTGTCCATGATATGAGTGTATCAGAGGTTAGTGCATGTGAGTATGTCTAGCCTGGGGGACGGAGTTGTTTATCCTCAACGGATGATGGATGAGGCGACGGATCAGCTGCTCGGCGGCCGACAACACTGGTCTGAGGACGAGTCACCCACACATACACACTCAGGTATTGGCAAACGTACAATGAACAATGTTAGATCTGCCTCCATACAAGGCCTAGACCATGTTTGCTCGGAACTTAGACATAGAAATGTTTTGGCGAGATGGCAAACTTGGCGAGTTGTTGGTATTCAAATCTGTTCTTTACTTCCACACGTTCCATATTTTTTGTGTGTCTGGACATGTAATTCTTACCAGGTACATTGATGGACCACGTTTGAATATGACTACAAACTAGAGACAAGGCCAACTTAACTTGGTTCTGTCATTTAACTAAATGCAGCTTTTTTCTTGTATGGTTTAATATTGTATTAAGTTTTGTCCATAATCGAACAGAGTTTTGCATTGGACCAAGTTTGCAGTGTAAGACCTATGAGTTTGCTGACATGAGTATAAAATAATGTCATAGGTTCATACATTCAATTGTTTTAGGAATTATAATGGACATTGACACTAAAAAAAATGTTAATACCCACCTTGTGACCGATTATATCTTTTCTACTGAAGAAACATTTTTTCAAAATTAAAATTCATTACATCTGCTTACTTAAGTGGTGTACCAAATACTTATTTTTACGTACTTAAATACATATTTTTAGTTCCAAGATCTATACTAGGTTGATTATTTTTTGTTGAAAATATAATATTCTTCAATTAACGATTATTACACAGAAATAGACAAAGAAAAGTACTCTAGTAAGTAATTGACTGACCACTTTGGTTTTGTAGACCAAATCTAATTAATTTATATCAATTTAGACTGCTGTTTTATGATGATTTCATTAGAGAATCATATTTATTAAACTGTTCTGGGTTATCAAACTTACTAACTAACCGAGGGTTAACTTTAAAAGATAATTAAAATATTATTACATTTTTGATATCCATACAGTGCCAAAATCTTCATAAATTTTTATCATCAGCCATTAATTTCCAGTTAAAATACTTTGATTTTATTTGGCAGCACATCAAAGTTTAGCGTGAGTATTATTACTTGGCTGTATTATGATTTGTTCGTTGTTTGTATTTTATTGGGTTTGTGATACATGTATCTGCTTAAAATATATGTTTTATAAATAAATATGTAGGCTATAAAAGAGGAACCTCACTTTTGTAAAAAAAAATAATTTTATGAATAATAAAACATGGCACTAAGTAATTCTACTTTTTAACTTGAGAAACAGTTCATATTCCAGCCAATTGTGCTATTTTTTTGTTTTTTGGGTCATCTTTATTGTCTACTATATTTATTATCAGTGCTCGTAAGTTAAGAGTTTCTTTAGTAATCCAACAACTGAACTGGTATTGGTTAGTGAAACATACAAACAAACACCTTACTAGTGTTTTAAATTATAAATTTTACTTACTTAAAAAAATTTGTCCGTCTAATTGGTACTGGCTTTGCACATGAAGAACTAGTATAATGGTATTTATTTACTCATTTCAATGGTAGATTGATGTAACAAAATAAATGGTGGTATAAGATAATTAAATAACATTTCAATGGAACAGCATGCAAAACCAGTATCTTGTGGTTGTGGGAAAAATAATTGCACTTGTACATTTTTATTGTTCGAATCTGTAATACACAGCTAAGGTTGTATATAGAAACTCGCAAAATTATTTTACTGTTATTTAATGACGAGCCTGATCCAAACTAAACAAAGATTAGAACCTGAGTTCTATTATCTAATTCCTAATTTTGCATTATAATTCTAATTTCCTAATGAAAAATGTTTCATATGTGGACAATTATTTCATTTACAATATAATCCCAAATTGTTGTCCTTTTCCACGTTTATGTGCATTAGAAATACCGTACTAATGTAGTAACTTCTTACTTCCATAATAGTGTTTTATAAACTGCTGTATTTAGTAAAGTTTTTTTACACCTTTATTTAAGTTTTCAAATGTTTAACCTTTCTTTAAACTTTGATTAAGTATTTATTTTCCTAATGATGTTATCTCATTTTTGTAATTTATTTGCATGTAACTTTGTTTTTACACTTATTACACCTTGACCTTTGCCATATTTTTGCATCATCATTTTTATTCAAACAGACACCTTACAAAATAGCTCCTATAAATGTTTTGCTTGTTTGGTTTGATTGTTTTTGCACATTTTGTTATTTGACAACAATGAACTAAACACTTCTTTGTTCTGCACATAATATGCTTGTTCACTTTATTTCATTGTTAACTATTTAACACAAAATACTTAAAAATTCAATACTAGGTATACAGACTAATCTTCTTATCTTTCTTCTTATAATTAATAGTCATATGGCTATAGCCTGCTATTATACAGTTTTTCAAGGTTGGTTTGTCAATTTAAAGAGGTTATTATTTACTTATACTCACTTCTTTAAAAGTTGAAGGCTATGCCTCAATGTCCTACAAATGATCCAGCACTACAATTAAAATGAGCAAAAGTGGTATGTTTATCAGTTTACCTATTGTATCTAGTAGTAGTAACTTTTCCAATATCCGTTTTCCTTTTAAGCATCAAAGTGTTACTGGATAAAAGTAAGACAGTTTAATAACTTTTATATTTTGTAATTTTTGTATTTGTAAAACCAATTCTTACTGTATTGTATATATTTTATACCATAAAAATGTACCTGAACATCTTTTTTTTCAATTTTTAATGTTATAATTAACTTACATTTTCTATTTCCTTTCTTTGCTCGTTTTTCAGTGAGATTCCCGAGCACGGAACCGGCTCCGGTCTGATGCAAGTGGTCTAACCTTTTCCCAGGTTCCTGAAATCAGCAGCTGCTTTGCTTAGTGTTAGTCTATGTAACATAAACCACATATGTATAATATGTTACATATCGCACTATGTACAATGTACAGAAATTTTAATTAGCTGTTAAGATGTTTTGTGCAAATTTGTTATTTTTATAATACACGTTTATTTGTCACTATGATTAAAGGTAAGGCGGACCATAAAGAGCATATGTGAGACAAGGAATTGAATTGAATTGAAATTTTAAGCAGTGGATACAATTGAAACATTAGAAATGCTAATTATTGTAAGAGTGGTATTGATAATTGGTGTGCGAAAACTTTGTAGCAATAACTGTCTAAAATTGAATTTTCTACATTAAATATTATCTACATGCAATATTTTACTGTTGCATAGAATGGCTTGGAACAGTTTATTTGTTACTTTCGACCAGTCGGTAGATCCAGTTTAGGTTGATCACAGTAAATTAAAACTGATCCAATGATTATACAGGGTGTTGAAAATGTCTGGAACCAACATTATATCTGGTGAGTGGTTAAAGAAAAACAAATGATATTTTGTGTACGGATATAGTATGGTTTTACCTATCTTTTGGTGCCTTATGAAAATTTTTACCACTTATAGGGAACGTCCTGTGGAGGATGCAGTAATAATTTTAAATGGAAGCCTATGGTAAATGATAAATCATTTTAAAGGCCATTTTTCTCTGAGTAAGGAGCCACAAGTTTCATCTCAAAAGGACCACCCTAGCAAAAATGACGACTGTTTGAAATTTAAATAACCGCTTATAGGGAACGTCCTGTGGAGGATGCAGTAAAAAGTTTTCATTGAAGCCTATGGTAAATGATACATAATTTTAAAGGCCATTTTTTTCTGAGTAAGGAGCCACAAAATTCATCTCAAAAGGACCACCCTAGCGAAAATGGCGACTGTTTGAAATTTAAAAATTCCGTTCCCTATAAGTGGGTTTTAAAATTTCAAACAGTCGCCATTTTTGCTAGGGTGGTCCTTTTGAGATGAAACTTGTGGCTCCTTACTCAGAAAAAAATGGCCTTTAAAATGATGTATCATTTACCATAGGCTTCCATTAAAACTTTTTACTGCATCCTCCACAGGACGTTCCCTATAAGTGGTAAAAATTTTCATAAGGCACTAAAAGATAGGTAAAACCATAGTATATCCTTACACAAAATATCAGTTGTTTTTCTTTAACCACTTACGAGATATAATGTTGGTTCCAGACATTTTCAACACCCTGTATACATTCTTGATTTAGTTATTCAAATGTTAATACTTACTTATAGCTTTGATGGAAAATTAAAATGCCTACATGGTTTTATCATTCCATTTCCTTTTGTAATCTAGTTTTTGTCCACATTTAACACGATCAATTTATCACATCTGTTATAAATAGGTACTTACTTATTAATATTTTAATCTCTTAAGTGGTGCTCAAGATGTTTGTTAAGCTTAAAATACACACTAAAGGGTTCATTTCACAGTTTATAAACTTATAAATTCCAATAGGCTAATTTCATTCAGATCCACGAGCAGAATATAAAATCTATGAGTATTTTTTAAAAATTGTTCTTTATGAAGAAGGAACAGACATAAGATAAGTAATGTAATTGACATTAGGTAAGTGTTTTAGTCGAATTTATAATAAGTATACTTTAATGACAATTGGTTTGTCATGCTAAACATCATTCAAGTATGACAACATGTATATAAACATTTAATACATTTTTATACAGTTTTAGATTTATAGTTAGACTTTTAAAAGAATTAGAGTATTCGAATTTCCTTTTTTTAAACTATTACATCTAGTTAGCCTTTTAAATCTTGAAGCTGAATTTAAACACAAAAGGGTTAGAGTAATAGTTGTTATTCATAAATTGACGTTTTTTATATTGGAATTGTGCGATTTAGTTGATCAATACCATCACATTTGGGACTTTAAAATAAAAAAGATTACTATAACTTTTATGTTACAGTCAGGTGTCTGATTGATTTTTACTTAATTGTCATTTTATTTATTTTTTTTCTTTATTGAGATAAAAAACTAAACAAATTGATCTTGCTATAGATTCACAAATACAAAACCAATTTTAGTGATCCATGTTAATATAGGATATTATTACATACATTTGTTAAAAGTGTTTACTTTAGAGCAGGTCTATTTTATTTTTCAAATCAACCCCTCTTCTTTTCTATCCCGAAAGAGAACTACATCTGTAAGTTATTTTACAATAACAATTCTTTTTCAAGTGTGATGATATTACTACCAATAAATACAAAATGAATGCCTTGATAGAGCTAGTTTTACATTTAATTTATATCATTCTTAAATAACACTAAAACAAGTATAAAAAATAAAAGATTTGTGACTTAAAATATTTTATAAATTTGTATTAATCTTGCTTTATAAATATAAGTAGTAAATAGGCCTTGGACAATTAAATATATATGTGACAATTTTATTTGCCTTTTTCTTGTCACTTGCTATGTTAACAACCAACGACCGAGCTTTCCTTGATTCCTTCTAAATAGTATTTTGTTAAGAGTCTTGGCTCAATCCAGTGGTTGATCCAGAAGGAGGGCCAGGGCATATATTTTTTTTTACTGCATGTAAAGTCAAAATTTGGCCAAGATTGTCGAAGACGATGATGATGTTCCTTTACCACAGAGGTTATTCAGGAGTTTGCAGTGACCACAAGAGACAATGTCCATGTTCACACGATTGTGGGAAATGAACAATATTTTTCCCTGATCGTGGAAGACTATGCTGATGTTCAGTTGCGGGGGTTTATCCGGTGTTTTGATTATGTCTACACTGCCGCGGGAAATGATCAGAATTGTGCTGTGATGTGGAAGACAATGATGTTTCTGTTACCTTGGGGATATTCAGGATTTTGCCCTTGACAATGTCTACATAACTGCGGAAAATTATAAAATTTTTGCTGCAATAGTGGAACGATGATGACATTTCCGTGACTGGGGAAACGAGGATGATGCCTACATAACCGCAGGAGATGATCAGAATTAAGACGCAAACGCTGAAGACAACGATAATGGACGGATAATGTCTAAAGGACCGCGGGAGTTGTTCATGGTTTTTCCGTGATCGCAGAAGAGACAATGATGATGCACAGTTTGTTGTCACGAGGGTTATTCAGGGTTTTGCTGTGACTGTAGGAGACAATAAGGATGTGGGGGGGCTTCACCCCTATGGCTCAACTAAGAACCCCCTTAAAAAAATAGGGGTGAGTTGTTGATAACTTGGATTAAAACCTCAAGATCTTCTTTCTAATTAAACAGTTGGTATTATCATAGATAAAGCATACTCCCTCCCTTTTCTCATCCTTATGGATTATGTAAATGTATTAATTATGTATGAATTATGATTATGTATGAATTATGTAAATTATGTATGAGAAGATCAGCTGAAGACAATTTTATTGTTTGTTCTATCCGTAGAGGTTGTGTCGGTTTAAAATTTATTTCTTGTTATTTCAGTCATTTAAAACCTTGCCAACCAAATAAAACAATCTAATCATAAAAAATAACTCCTCCGCTAGTTATAATCCTGACAGTACAGCACAAATCATTAAATTAACCCTAAAAGGAAACAAAATTTTGTAAACATTAATGATCATTGTCACTGGACATGAACTAGACAAGAAGACTTGAGAAATTATACCAAGAGATGGACGGGTCTCGAAATTTCGGGAAATTTTAAATCTCGTTCTACAAGACAAGATTCTATATTTTTGTCGAGAGTTTTTTGAGACGAGATAAAAAAAAACTCCTGCAGAAAGTCGATGCAATACAGGAGCGTTGTTGGTGTTGCGTTTCCTTTGCGAAGGTGTTTTTATTAATTCTTTACATAACACGAGACTGAAAAATTTTCACTTGATACTTAACTAGTAAGACTGTTGTTTTAGACTTTTAAATTTGATATTTTTCAAAGTTTAACTATATACTTCCTACTAGCTGTACCCGCGGGCTTTGCCCCGTTTAACTTCATATGTGAGCTCGTTCGCATGGCTCAACCCAGACAGCACACTTTATCCCAGGGACATCCCATAGTAGTCCCATATGTCCTGAGAATGTCTCGGGATATGTGCGCTATCCTCAGGATATCCCGCAAAATCCCGGGACAAGTACGAAATCCACAGGATATCCTACAATATACCGCAATGTCCCGGGATTTGTAAGTTAACCTCAGGATATCCTGTAAAGTCCCGGGATATGTACGAATGCCATAGGATATCCCAGAATGTCCCATGACATCCCGGGACATGTACAAAATCCACTGGATATCCTGTAATGTCCCGTAATGTCCCGGTAACAAACTGAAGAAAAAAAATACTACCACTGATGAAATGTACAGTATATCTAAATTTAAATGTTCAACAAGGCCAATATATAATAATTTTTTTTTTCACTAGTGCTTTCGGAAACTTGGTTTCCATCTTCAGGCTGTGTTTACACTAGTACAAAAAGTAAATATTTACTCAATAAATTAATTTTAAACAAAGTTAAAACAGATGATTTAAAGGATATTGGAAAAATAAAAAATAATATTAGAAAAATTAATCTTTTGAATTTTGGATATGTTACAGTGTTGTTCTTGATGTAATTATTTTCAGTAATTCCGAATTTATAATTGGGCCGTCTTCATTATTTAACAAATAATTTTGGTCTGTTTTTTTTTCTAAAAATATTCCCACGCATTAAGATGTTGAGGTTTTATAATTTATTAAAACTAGAGTTCTATCATAGTTGTGTGGAATGTGAATTTAATTCTAACTTTAAATTAATAAAACAACTAAAAACTAATTTTAATCATATGGCAATCAATTATTACAGTGCTAATCTAATGGTGATTAAATAATCTATATTCAAATATCAGTATCCTCTCCAACTACCAGAAAAACAATTCAACTACTTGAGGCCTAAACAGATTAACAGAATCATATATAGCCTATACTGTAGTATCAAAAATATTTTAAGTATTGCGACCATTGCAACTGTCGGCTACTCTTTAACCACTTGAAAACACCCATAATCAACAAGCGCAGATAGCTCAGGAGGTAAGGTAAGAGGCTCACAAGGCGAAGGTACCAGGTTCGAAACCCGTCTTGGTGAAAAACTTTTTTCTCGTTTTTTTCTTCAAAATTTGTGTTTATTAACTATTTAATCAATTTACTAAACTTATAATTAAGCTTTTCATCCTAAATCTATATTATTTTGTGTTTTTTATGTTCAGGCCCAGACCACACTTTATCCCAGGGACATCCCATAGTAGTCCCATATGTCCTGAGAATGTCCTGAGGACTACCCTGGGATGACCTCGAATGTCCCACGGATATGCGTGTGAGCTTATCCGTAGGACATCCCCGGGCGGGGACATTAGGCATTCCTGTGGATATCCTGTGATATCCCAAGTTGACCATAGGACCACAATGGGATATCTTGCATATCCTGTCGCAATATCCGTGGGATGTCCTGAGGAGAAAGTGTGCTGTCTGGGAATCACGTCCTGGTTGAAGTTCGTTCGCTACGCTCACTCACCTTTAGGTTGGAGCTCGTTCGCTGCGCTCACACGTCCTGGTTGAAGTTCGTTCGCTACGCTCACTCACCTTTACAGTTGGAGCTCGTTCGCTGCGCTCACTTGCCTTCAGGTTAGCTCGTTCGCTACGCTAACTCGCCTCCGGGTTGAAGTTCGTTCGCTGCGCTCACTCACCTTTTGGTTGCAAATTAGCTGTTGTCATAAATTTAAAAAAAATAATAGTGCTGCACTCTTTTGGTAATCCTAGTAACTTTAATGCTATTGAACATCACAGAACAGAACCAACTTGTTTAATTGAAACAGCTGTTATGATTCATTAATTCCATTTAAATATGAGTACTCATTAGGTTAACATGGGAAACTCCAGAGCCACTGGGGCGGAGCCCGAGAGTCCGATCAGAATAAAAACCACTCAGTTTTCCTATTTAATGCCTAAAGAATCAGTGTACCAAATTTCAGCCTCCTAGGTAAGTGGGAAAGTGGGAGAATTAGTGATGAGCGAGTCAGTCAGTGAGGGCTTTGCCTTTTATATATATAGATATTGCAAGTTTCCTATGCCAAAGAGTAATTTTTAATAAGTTAGGCCGTATTAATAAAAAATTATACTAATAATTAAATTATTAATAAAAAATTTAAAAACCTGCCGACCACGTCGCTGATGATGCAATACCAGTGGGAATTCTCCAAGTATCCAAGAGTAATATTTGTTTTTTTTTATACTCTGATGTTTTTTAATCAAAGTTTAAAAATATTTTTGTCTATTATTATTATTTTTTTATTTTACCGGTCTGTCAAAATCAGTAGGTATTTAAAAAATGTTAAAAACTCAGGTTAAAATGTGGAACGTGCATTTCCCACTATGTATGAGAAGAGAAATCCCGTCTCATCTCAAACTAAAATCCAATCTCGCACATCCCTTGTGGTATACAGTAATTAAATATCAGACAATAAACAGGGAAAGAACAGATACCCAACAGTAGGTATATTTAACAGTTTTAGCAATATTGTCTACTGTCTCTGTTGTTTAAATGAACTGCCACCATATCGGCTGCCAAAAAATGATGTGGTGATAAGAAACTTCAAACATCAAAGAGATCGATTTATAAAACGTGTGACTAAATTAGACAGGTGTTACTGGTTCCTCACTCAAGTACATCCATGTTACATGTATAGCGTTGTAGGGTAAAAAGTCCTGCTTTTCTATTTTTCAAAGCTCAACTTCCAGTAATTTCAGCTTCAGCTGTGACGGTTATAAAAGCCAATTGGTAGTTCACCTCCTGAACAATTGTTTTTCAACTACAGATATATATTATTCTGTCTATCATCAAAATTTTTATCATCCATAGATGATTTACAGTTTTCCAGCAATTGATTTGCCTTAATTTCATACAAACTACGTGGGTGGTTTTTTGTCTATAGTTGTCTATAAATCCTGTTTAATGTCAACAGTAAAGAAGTATGATCTAGGTAAGGTAAAGTAAAAGTGTGACATTCATCGTAAATTGCTCTCAGAATATGATCAGCAAAACTGAGATAAAGTACGCTTGTTTTACTTTATTAAAAATTATACCAAGGGATGGACTCATTGATTTCCATGTACTCTTAAACATCCAACAAATTAAAGCACTTAACATGCTATCTTTAGTTGTATGTTCTTTGTCATTAATACTGGACAAAGTTCGATGCAATTGTTTATTAAAAGAGAAAATGTTTCTACTTTATTGATCAAGGCTAAATAAAAAAATCCCATGGTATTTTGTAATTAGGATACCTATAAATATAGTAATTGGTCAGCATTAGAAAGCAGCTACAAACGTTAACGGTGATAAGCATTGGACTGTAGAATGTGGTGTTTCACCGTCACTGTTTATCAGTGGGTGTGTTTGTTTTGTTGAGTGAGCCACATAGATAAGGTATAAAAACAAGTCCGGTGCAACATCCAGTCTATACCACCAGTCACCACGTCTTTCGGTTTGAGTTGAGGAGGCGTCTCTCTTTTAAGTCAAGGACAAGGACAAACATAACCTAAATACAAAACACTCAGTCAGTAGTCAGTTCGGTTCCCCGGCTCGCTTTCGCTTTCGCTAACTCACTGAACTGACTGCCAGGGTGCCCGCCCAGTGCCAGTGCCCACTGCCCACTGCCCAGTGCCCAAAAGCCCAGTGAGTTGAGTGCCCAGGAGCAGGACGTGGACGTCATACAGTTAGGTTAGGGATTAGGCCGCTTCCCACAGTCCAATCTATCTTATCTTATCCTGTTTGTGTGGATATAACAACGGTTTTTCATAACAACTTGTTGAGCGCTTTCCTTATAACGAGTACAACAACAATAATTGTTCTGAAGTATCTTAGTAGCTATCTTCACGGCCGTTCGTTTGTCTTTGTGGAGTGTTTTAACAATGGGGTTGACAAGTGGTAAGTGCATCGCTTCGACGAGGTTGGACAACAAAACAGTTATTATCACAGGATGTACGTCTGGAATCGGAAAAGTTACTGCGAGGGAGTTATATAAACTGGGTAAGTTAGGGTGTACCGTATCTACTCCATTATTTTATTTAGTTTGTTGTAAATTTGGAATAGGTACGTTTTGCTGGAACATAATATTTTCTTTGATAGGGGTAATGTAGAGATTAAATTAGGATATAATTATTAATAATGTAATTTTTCCTGATAAGTTATTTAGGGTACCACCGGTACCACTACCACATTATAACTTAGGCAGGAGGATGCGTCAGGTATTCGGACATGGATTAGTCGTCCGGCAGTTACTGTCCTAACCTAACCTAAGTTAACTAAACTTGCTGATAATGAAAAATAAAATGAAGGCTAAATTCTGTTTATAGAAAAAAATTAATAATGCCTCAAATTCTAACAAATGATGTAGTACAGTTAATAAGAAATTGCATTCTAAGCAAAATCTTTGACTAAAAGTTACTGTCACCAATGGGATTCGATCTGGATACTGGTACCACTTGTACATCATCAGCCGAGTAGCCTACTCTATCCACTACACCGCGAACACCGATAGGCTGCACTTCGTATCATTACGGTAATGGTGTTCCAGGCCCCCACAACCCGGTGACGCCTAATCCACGCTCGATTACCGGACGCGTAACCTTTTGCGTAGATAACTTAACTTCTCAAAGTTTTGCTGGTTAACTAAAGAGAAAAATGTATCCATTTTATTTATTTATCGTACCAATCTGTGATTTCAATTTAACAGTACCTAAATAAATTAACTTACCTTAGTAGCCTAATTTATAGCCTTCCTATTAAGTAGATTACATTTTAACATCTACCAATTAAAAATATAACAATTTGTCTGTTGTAAATCATATAAACTTAATAGTTTTTAAGCCTAAGTAGGGTAATAAACAATCCAAGCATCTAATAAAAGGTTAGCCTATATTATATGGGTTATATGACGGTTCCCCCACCACTTTTTCAGCTTAATGTAACTTAATGTTGCAGCTGATTATGACGTTTTGACAAATCTCAGCCGTTGAGTTATGAGCATTATGCGCCATACACGGTATACCGCACTGGTAATGGTAGGATCAAGACATGGAGGGAATAACTTTCTTCCCCTAAAGCTGTCTAAATTTTGTGAACGGAGTATAATAATGATCCTATAAACTGGCATTGCAGGTGCTAGAGTTGTAATGGCTTGCAGGGATGTAAATAAAGCCGAAGAGGCATTAGAAGACATCAAAACTGTAGTCCAAGCTGAACAGCCTCCACCCAAAGTCGGAGAGATGGTGGTCCAAAAACTTGATCTTGCTTCCCTGGCCTCTGTTCGGGAATGTGCTAAGAAGATTTTGGATACGGAGAAGCATATTGAGATACTAATCAACAATGCTGGTAAGAATTTGTTTTAGTATTATTATTATCTGTTATTTTTAAAATCCCTGCCTTATTTTTATCCATATCGTACATCCATTTAAAAATGCAGTTCTGCTGTGGATATGTATATAAATAAATTGGTCCGATTTATTTAGCCAGCCGATAATTAAAGCTGTTAAAGCCCGTAAGAATGTTGGCCTACTTCTGCATTAATTTGTTTTTAATTTTTAAGAGTGTTTTTATTCTGTGTGACAGCATCTAGCTGGGAGATTACAAGAGTGAAAGTCCAAAAAATCTTTGTATTTTCCAGCATCACTTAAGAGAATTTGGATACAATTAAGGATACTATGCCAGAGAAGTAAGATACAGAGGACACATTCTTACGGGACGACTGTGCGCTTTCAGCTCTAGTATGTTGTGCTGGAAATATTGTCTACTTGTGAAGAGCAAGGAAGAGCCTGAGGGGCGAGTGCTGTGGGGAAATTCCTATCGCACAGGTCACAGGGTCTTTTTCTACTGTGAATGTTGAAGTACATGAGGGCAAGGAAGGCGGTGTTGGACTTTGCCCTAGACACCAGCCACTTATGCTGGACAGACACACTTAAGTTGGGTGTTTCCCCTGTACCTTACTTCTCTGTGGCCAGGCCTACATAACTGTGGTGTATTAATTTAATTATAAAATGAATTATATATTTCTAATTCAGATTCAAATATTACAAGTATTAAATTTGCTAGCTCGATCCATGTACCGTTAGATATCGTACGATGTGACGTCATATGGCCTGATCGAATAAACTAACCCCATTGGTTGTTTCCATCACACCACCTTCCGTTCCCACTGCTACCTCGATCACCCGACACTCTCTGTACAACAGTCATCGTCCTACCTTACCGGCTCCCGCACACCAAGCGGTTTTCTTAACGTAAAATGTCTTAATTATTTCGAGTACCTGATCCTCCTTCGCTCGCATCCAGGTTCGGATGCGACAATGGCGACGAGTGCGACAACCTACTGCGTGGATAAAGGAAGCGCGTTTTACAGTGCAGTGCCATTGTTTCGGTACGTTACATGCCACTAGACGGCAATTTTTACACCGCGTTCGGTAAATTAACGTTAACAGAAGAAGAAGTTACTACAATGAGTGTCATCGGAAATTTCGGGCCGTTCGACAGTTCGGAGGAGACGTGGTCTACATACGTGGAACGTTTTGAACTTTACATAAAGTGTAATGGAATTTCGGACGACAAGAAAGTAAGTGCGTTTCTAACAGTAATCGGAGTTAAATCGTACAATCTGCTGAAAGACTTAATTACGCCTGAAAAACCATCGGAGAAGTCGTTTAAGGACATTGTGAAAGTGCTACAGGATCATCTTCATCCTAAACCCTCGTTTATCACGGAGAGGTATAAATTCAGCAAGCGCGACCAACTGGAACACGAGACTATTTCGGAATACATCGTTAATTTAAAGCAATTATCAAAGCATTGCCAGTTCGAGGACAAGTTACCGGACTATCTCAGGGACCGATTAGTGAGCGGTATTCGGAATAATTCCATAAAGAAGAGACTACTGGCGGAGGACAACCTGACGTTTACCAAGGCGGAGCAGCTGGCAACATCGCTAGAGACAGCAGAGAAGGACGCAGCATCCCTGACGTACCACGGCGGCAGCGGCAGCACGGGGACAGCCATGAGGCTTCAGAGATTCTCCTCAGCGCAACGACCTCAACGCAGCAAACAATCAAGTGCATCAAGTGCCGTTCCAAGTGTCGTGCAATCTACAGAGTGCTATTGTTGTGGAAAAAAGGGTCATTTAACGCACCAGTGCTATTTTCGTGAATACGTGTGCAATTTTTGTAGAAAAAAGGGTCATTTGGAGAAGGCATGTAAATCAAAAAAGAGGGGTAAGTCCTATCATTCTACCTCTAAAAATAGTTCAAATGCCAAAGTTAATTGCTCCAAAAATATTCAGGGTAACAGATACCAGCATAAACAATATTATGTGGAAGTAGATGAATCTAAAAATAACGATAAAGTTGTAAATGATGAGGTATATGACATTTCTAATATTTTTCAAACTGACAGTGAACTGACTGTTAATGTAAATCAGGGTATGGTCAACAAAATTGAACCTATTAAAATAGATTTGCAAGTACAAGGTAAACAAATGAGATTTGAAGTAGATTCAGGTGCTTGTGTTTCTGTTGTTTCGGAACAATTTTACAATAAGCACTTAAGTGATGTAAAACTAAACCCCACAGATCTAGTTCTGAGCTCCTACACTCATGAAAAAATCAAACCTGTAGGTAAAATCAATGTTAATGTTAAGTACAAATCAGTAGAAAAATGTCTATCATTGTATGTAATAAGCAATGGTGCTAATCCTCTAATTGGTCGGGATTGGATTAAAGATCTCCAAATTGTTGTTAGTATCCCCAACAATGTAAATAGTGTAATGTCGACTTCAGATGAAGTAAAAGTAGAATCAGGTAATGAGTCTAAAGCAGGGACGTATTTAAGTATCTGCCGCCTCTAGGCAACAAAGTTTGCCGCCGCCCCTCCCGCTCCCACTTTTCAACGCACTCCCCGACCTCACTAATATCACCCCAATGGCCAATACATGCCCTGTCAGCTGGTTTTGTGGAAAAATAATTGGTAATATTGCATGCTGCATCAACAAATTTAATAACTTTTCACCGCACTATGATGCTTTTAGCTGTTTTACATGCGTTAATTGGTGGCTGATAGTTACGATTTAAAGCCCAAATGACGATTTAAAGTCATCGTCATTTGGGGACCGAGCAGGTTCTTACATCCCTAGGGCCGCAAAATCAGCTGATCGCTTACTTTTTAAAACATGAATGCATATTAAATACACAATCAGTATCCATAGCATTGCAATAGAATTGTTTTATTGTCACCGCTGCCTAGCAACTATTTATTTTAACTTTTGCTGATTCCTCAAATTATTTCTTCACATAACCTTAAAGTTATAGTTGTGTTGACTATCAGTGTGCATCATTATTGTGGTGAATTAAGGTGCTATTTAGGTATAGTGTGGTGGAAAATAGTACCACGGACAGAAATGGTTTTGCAGCTCTCGATCGTTTTAAGTTGACTTCGTCTCGAACCTAAAAACTATCTCGAGCCGGCCCGGCGAAACCTCATTTTCGGCCCTAGGTACGAAATATACTATTTCGACCCCTTTTAACGGACTTTTTTGTGCCGTTTTTTTTTTGCAAAACATTCTGACTTGGATAGGCCTACACGGGATGCAACTTTTTTTTATCTAATCGGTATTTTTACAATCCCATTTTGCGGCTTGAAACGGCACACAAAATCGTCTGTATACAATGGTTCTTATAAAGCTTTTCATTGAACACTTTTAGTCAGATCCACTTGAGAGACGTGCTATTGGCTTTGATTTGAAATGAAATAAATATGTTTTCTTATACTTTTTATTTCTTCCAAAAGCACATGAATCGCAAAGAAAAATTACGTACTAATACTGAAAGAATAATATACAATTTTAAATTAGTTAAGTTTGGTACAGTGGTAAGTATTTAGTTCACACTTTCCTTCTTGATTTTAACCTAGCAAAAGAATCTTTCAGCTATAGAGCTGCCGCTGCGAAGTGGTGTATGAAGTAAACAGAAGGGAGTGTTTTCTACGTTTGTAGTATGTTTTATCTATGGTTTGTCACTACATATAGCGGCCGGCACGGCGACCCGCTCCCGCGGCGAGCGTGTCCGCCAGACCAATAGGGCAGCACGGACAACTCTACACAGCTGTGTAATAAACTATTGACGTTTGTTTGACTTGGATGCGTTCTGAAATAGTTGTATACTTAATCAAAATATTTGAAATGGCTATTTTGCCGTTCCCAAAATTATTTGCTAATTTTTTTTTAGATTAAAACTTCGTTTTTTTATTTTTTTAACCTCAAAATTTTGCCGCCCCTAAAATTTGCCGCCCTAGGCGGGCGCCTAGTCCGCCTATTCGGAAATATGTCCCTGGTCTAAAGTTGTTCGAGATTTATTAAACGAATTTCCAGAGGTATTTACCACTAAGCTAGGCTGTTACAATGGAGATCCTGTTAAGTTAAAGCTCAAATCAAATGTAGTACCTAAGTATTACAAACCAAGACCTATACCTTATTCTTTAAAAGACAAAGTAGAACAGGAATTACAATGTTTAGTTGACGATGGTATCATTTCCACTGTTTCAACTAGTGATTGGGGTACACCTATTGTTCCCGTACTAAAACGTAATGGCAAAATACGCATTTGCGGTGACTTCAAAGTTACCTTAAATCCATATCTAGAAGTAGATAGACATCCTATACCTCGCATTGAAGATCTTTTTGCAATCTTACAGAAAGGAAAACAATTTTCTAAAATAGATTTATCATCAGCATATATGCAACTAATGTTAGACGATGAAAGCAAGAAACTTTGTACCATAAGTACACACAAGGGGTTATTTGCATATAACCGACTTTGTTACGGAATATCTTCTGCCCCAGGTATTTTTCAACGGGTAATTGAGCAAACACTACAAGGTATTCCGGGTGTAGCGTCATTTCTTGATGATATTATTGTTACCGGAGCTGACACAGCTGAACACCTGTCGAGACTAAGAGAAGTGTGTAGTAGGCTAAAGACAACAGGGTTAACTGTTAGTAAAGATAAATGTCAATTTTTCAGTGATAGCTTAGAGTACTTAGGGTACGTAATTAGCCAAGAGGGTCTTGCCACATCCAAAGATAAAGTCAAAGCAATTGTAGAGGCACCAGTTCCAAAAGATGTTACACAGCTCAAGGGTTTTCTAGGTCTAGTTAATTACTATGCAAAGTTTGTACCAAATGTTGCTACCATTCTAACACCCTTGTATCAATTATTAAGGAAAGATGTAGTTTTTAAATGGTCTTTGTCATGTCAAAAGGCGTTTGAAGCTATAAAAGAAAGATTAGTTTCAGCTAATGTGCTAGCGCACTACAACCCAGACTTGCCAATTAAATTGTCATGTGATGCGTCACCCTACGGCATCGCAGGAGTGTTAAGCATTGTTGACAAAAATGGAATAGAAAGACCAATTTCATTCACAAGTAGAGTACTAAACTCAGCAGAAAGGAACTATTCTCAAATAGACAAAGAGGCACTAAGCATTGTTTTCTGTGTAAATAAATTCAATCAGTATTTATGGGGCAGGAAGTTCACTCTTTGTACAGACCATAAACCACTATTAGCTATATTTGGTTCGAAAAAAGGGTTACCAGCATTTGCAGCTGGCAGACTACAACGCTACGCGTTATTTTTGTCAGGTTACGATTACGACATCAATTATGTTAAGTCACAAAATCATGGTAACGCGGACGGATTGTCCAGACTTCCCTTAAATTGTAATGTCACGGAAGAAAGTAATGTAAATATTGATTATTTAGGAACATATCTCCAATGTATATCAGAGTGCGATGTACCAATAGATTTTAATGATGTACGTAAGGAAACTCAAAAAGACAGTGAGTTAAACAGAATCCTTGGATATGTTTTGTACGGCTGGCCAATCAATTCGGACGTTATCTAAGTGACTATGTCAAAAGGCAAGCTGAGCTAACAGTTGAACACGGAATACTAATGTGGGGCTATAGAGTAGTCATTCCAAAATCCTTAAGAGGGGCTTTATTAAAAGAATTACATAATGGACATCTAGGAGTTGTAAAAATGAAGTCGTTAGCCAGGTCGTATTTATGGTGGCCTTCTATTGATAAGGATATTGAGGCCGTGACTAACAGTTGCTCAGCGTGTCTTGCACAGCGGGAATCTCCTGTTAAAAGTAAACTTCATGTATGGGAATTTCCTCCCAATGTTTGGCAAAGAATTCATGTCGATTTCCTTGGACCATTAAAAGGACAAATATATTTAATTGTACTAGACGCCCATAGTAAATGGATTGAGGTAGAACTTGTTAGTTCCACTTCAGCCAAACAGACCATTGACAAACTCAGGCCTATGTTTTGTAGATTTGGGTTACCAGAAATAATAGTTAGTGATAATGGTCCACCTTTTTGTTCTGAGGAATTTTCAAAATTTTTGAAACAGAATGGAATAAGACAAATCTTGACTCCACCTTACCATCCAGCTTCTAATGGCCAAGCTGAGAACGCGGTAAAATCCGTAAAGAAAAGATTAAAATGTGCAATCTTTGAAAATGAGGATGTAAATATAGCTTTAAGTAGATTTCTTATCTCTTATCGTAACACAGTCCATAGTACCACTTGTGAATCTCCCGCCAAACTTATGTTTAATCGACCATTAAGAACTAGGTTAGATTTAATCAGACCAAACATTCAGTCAACTGTTGCTCAAAAACAAGAGAAACAGATCATAAATGCAAGGGGTACTCATACTAGACAATTAGCTATAGGACAATGTGTACTAGCAAGAGACTATAGAGGGAAGGATAAGTGGGTTGAATGTACGGTTGTTAGACGACTAGGGCCAGTAACATACATTGTACAACTAGAGACAGGCTCAACTTGGAAGCGACACATAGATCAGCTGGTAGGCTTGCAATCAGGCAGCAACATCAACACGGAACTTAGCAGATACTACGATCCCGTGACGTCAACATCAGCTGTTACTACTTCCTGTGTATCGTCAGCACCGGTGTCGTCACCAGCCAGGCCGCCCCACCAGCACACCCAGCCTCAACAGCTGAGTTCTCCCACTACTACGCGTCACTCACCAACTACACGCCAGTCCGAGCGGCATAGTCCTATTGTTGCGAAACGCCATTCTTTACAACCCGATCAGCTGACTGCTACGTCACCTGTTACAACTAATACTAGGCGATATCCACAACGGGATAGGAATCCTCCCAAGAGAATGGATTTGTAAATGTTTGTTATGGTTTTATATTTACGCTTGTTTGCAATTCTATTGTGTTTATTTTCAGCACTGATGTTTCAATATTTTTGTGTTTATTTTCAGCACTTATGTTTCAATATTTTTGTGTTTATTTTCAGCACCGATGTTTACAATCTTTAATGTTGTTTTTAACTCTGATGTTTTCAAATTGTGTTTTTATTTTCATTACTGATGTTTTCAATTTGTGTGTATACATTTTTCCATAAAAGTTTTATACAAGCTATGTTCAAAAGTAAGGGCGGAGGAAATGTGGTGTATTAATTTAATTATAAAATGAATTATATATTTCTAATTCAGATTCAAATATTACAAGTATTAAATTTGCTAGCTCGATCCATGTACCGTTAGATATCGTACGATGTGACGTCATATGGCCTGATCGAATAAACTAACCCCATTGGTTGTTTCCATCACACCACCTTCCGTTCCCACTGCTACCTCGATCACCCGACACTCTCTGTACAACAGTCATCGTCCTACCTTACCGGCTCCCGCACACCAATGCGGTTTTTCTTAACATAAAATGTGTTAATTATTTCGAGTACCCGATCCTCCTTCGCTCGCATCCAGGTTCGGATGCGACAATAACTTTTTGCTACCGAAGATCAAGGTGGTCTAAGCTGATGTGTGATAATTTTTCTGCCCAGGTAAAAGAATAAAGAATCTTTGTAAACTGGACAAAAATAACAAGATTTTAGCACAGTTTAATTAATTCCCTTGTAGTTAATTTCTTGGTCTGAATATTTTAAATTTTATGAGTATCAATATAACTTTAACATTTTGTAACCTCTTTGCCAGGTGTAATGATGTGTCCATACACTCTCACAGAGGACGGGTTTGAGATGCAGCTTGGGACCAACCATCTTGGACATTTCCTCTTCACTTGTCTACTTCTCCCAAGGATTGTCAGTTCTGCGCCTGCTAGGATTGTCACTGTGTCTTCAGTGGCTCACGCAAGTAAGTTATTAGTTATAAGCAGTACTTCTAAAGTTTCTTCTATAACTTAGTTGTTATTATGGCATTATACTTTGTTCTTGATACCTAGGCGGTTTGAGGAAAAGTTCCCCCTCCACTTTTTTGGTAGGCTATATAATGTATATTGCTTAATCAGCTGTTGGGCTATGATTCTAAAGGTAAGGGTCAAGCATCGATCTCTATCGATGGGGTCAAGTGTAGGGGATAGATTTCTTCCCCTAAATATTGTGAATTATAATCAAATATGATTATGATTTTTGTTTTTATAGGAGGCAAAATTGACTTTGAAGACCTCAATTGGAAGACAAGATCGTACAGTGCACTAAGAGCTTATCAGCAAAGCAAACTTGCAAATGTGCTCTTCAGCAAGGAACTGGCTAGAAGATTAAAAGGTAGTTTATTTGAGTAATTTTAAAATTTAGGCTTTTTCTGTTCATTTACAAGAAATATTTAACTAATCAAGTTAGTTAACTTATTCATCAGGTAAGTAATAATCAGGTCACATCCATTTGGTGCATTGTTTTGGGTATTCAATGGTTTCAATATAAGCTGCTTGGCAGCACTAAAGTCTGCAAATATATGCATTGGTATTGCAGCTAGGTAAGGAAGGGGCTGTCAAAGATGCTACACACTTGATCTCACATTAAGGATAATAATTAATTTATTTATTTATAAATTTAAATAGTCTACATTTGCTCAGATCTAAATTAGAGTATTTTATATACCTTTTTTATATTTATGGTGTTGTTATGATGACACAACATTGTGTCGGTTAGCATATGTTCCGGTGCCCACCGCTAGGAGTGCTGTGTAGTTACAGCGCACATCGCTGCAGAATGATAGCTTAAGGCTCCTGCGCTCCTCGCCTGCAGCATTGGGGGCCGAAACTACACGGTACTCCTAGCGGTGGGTGCCGGAAGCTTCCTTTTACAGTCTATATTCATTTGATTTGTCTATGGTGTTATGCAAATAATATATTTCCTAACACAAGACCTAACATTGTTTGTTACCCTTCAAAAAAGTGTACAACATGAGATCTTCTAATTTGCCCATTTCCAGCTTATACACAATTTCCCTAAAATCATCACACACTAACAAAAGCCAACCCTACACATTAAGCAGTACAGTATAATAACCTGTTCATTGTGGTATTGCAGTTGTTTAAATTGTTTAATGCTTTCTAAACTTGAAAACTTTACTGAGGAATCTGAATCAGCAATTGATAACTTTATAATTAAAAATTGTCATGATTGCAAGGTGACTGTTGAGGGAATTGTAACTTGTCTATCAGATCATGATGGGCAATTGCTCCTTATAAAAAATAAAAACCTAAGTAATACAAAAGAGGTTCAATCAACTATAAAACGTACAACTCGTAACTTCAATATTCAAAATTTGAATTTATTTAAAAACCTCTTGGAAACTGAGATTTGGGAGAGTGTTTACATGGCTCCTGTTGAAAGAAAATATGATGAATTTTATAGTACATTTAAGCACTTTTTTGACATTTCGTTTCCCAAAATTACTGTAACTGAAAAGAAACGCAAAAAAAATTGGATCTCAGAAGACCTGAAAAATGAAAAAAAAGAACTACTACAATTGGCCTTAAAACTTCGTAGGAACAAAAATCCTGCCTTGAAATACGAGTTAAAACAAAACAAACTGAAATATAGGGCAAAATTAGTCAGAGCTAAAACAAACTATTTTGAAAATAAAATAAAAAAATCAGCCAATATACAAAAAACAGTATGGCAGATTATAAATTCTGAAGTTGGGAAAGGAAATGGAACAAAAAATAAAAATATTACTTTGAAAGAGGGAAATTGTAGCTTAAGTGATCCTAGAACTATTGCCAATATGTTCAACAATTATTTTACTAATGTTGATCAGGATGTCAGTGGCAACCAATGTGAGAGCAAGATTGAAAATCAAAGTCTTATTGAAAATGAGCAATGTATTAAAAGAGGTTTTGATTTTAAATTTATTGATGCGGGGGAGGTGGAAAAAGTAATTAACTCTTTAAAAAACAAACATTCTGTTGGACACGATGATGTCCCTATTAAAGTTATAAAGCATGCCAAAAAATGCCTGAGCCATATTTTAAGTCATTTAATAAATTCATCTTTTGTATCAGGAATTTTTCCAAATCAATTAAAAAAATCTAAAATAATACCAATTTATAAGAAAGACGACCTAGAAACTGTGTCAAATTACCGTCCTATTTCTCTCCTACCAGTAATATCAAAAATTTATGAAAAAATTGTTAACTGTCAGTTATTAAATTATTTAGAAGAATTTAAACTATTAAACAATACTCAGCATGGATTTAGGCCTGGAAAATCTGTAATTACAGCAGCAGTGTCATTCATAGAATCTATAATTGAATCGGTTGATAAAGGGGAGTTCACAATTGGAATTTTCATGGACCTAACTAAGGCATTTGATAGTGTCAACCACACCCAACTGATAGATAAATTACTCATTTTAGGGGTTACAAAAAAATCAATAAAATGGTTTCAGTCATACCTAAATAATCGTTGTCAGTTTGTAGAAATCACACATAATCATGATAACAGAATTACAGCATTTTCTTCTGAAACTGAAAGGGTTAAATGTGGTGTACCCCAGGGGTCAATCCTTTGCCCCCTGTTGTTTTTATGTTATATAAATGATGCTGGTGGTGCACTCTCATGTTTACCTCAGAACAATCTTTGTTTTTATGCAGACGATACAAATCTCAAAGTATCGGCTGAGTCAGTGCAACAAGTTGAAATTTTAAGTTTTGTTGAATTGGCAAACATTGGAAACTTTCTAGAGCAAAATAAATTGAAGCTTAATCCTAAAAAAACTAATTTTTTAACTTTTAAAACAAATCAAAATAAAAAGTTAATTAAACCAAATATCATGTATAATGCAGAAGAAATTGAACATAAACACAGTACACAGTTTCTAGGTCTAACTGTGGACCAAAATTTAAACTGGGATGAACATGTTGATAAACTCCTTTCAAAATTATGTTCAGGACTATATTCACTCTCTAGAATGTCTTATTTTTGTAACCATAAAACATTAAAAAACATATATTATGCTAATGTCCATTCGCATTTATCCTATGGTTTGTGCCTTTATGGTTCAACTACAATAGCAAATTTGGATAGGATACTTAAACTTCAAAAAATAGCAATAAGAATAATTTTGAAATTAGAACACAATGAAACAACCAAAAACAAATTCAAAGAACTGAAAATTTTAACGGTATATGGCCAATATATTTACGACACAATTATTCTAGTAAAAAACTGCTTGAGCACCTCTGAGACAAATTATCACCCATACAACACTCGGCATAAAAAATTCCTTATTTCAAGTAAACATAAATTAAAATTCTATGAAAAAAAACCATCCTATATAGGATTAAAATTTTTTAAGCATCTTCCTAATGAAATCAGAAATGAACAAAGCAGGAAGAATTTCATGAGAAAGCTAAAACTATATTTAGTAGAGAAAGCATTCTATTCCCTGGAAGAGTATTTTTCCACCTCCCCTCTTAGCGTTAGTACATAATTGATTCAGTTTTGATTATTTCCATTTCCTGATTCTTGGTTTTTTATTTAGATAATGATCCAAGATATGCAAATCTGTAAATTATTAATTTAAGATAGATTTAGTTGACACCATTCAATGTACAACACTGTACTTTATGAATAAAGCATATTTGATTTGATTTGATTTGATTTGATTTGATTTGAAATTACAAAGTGATTCACCTCTATACAACCGTGTCAACATTTCTTTGCTGTATTCCAGACAAGAACGTGACAACATACTCGCTCCATCCTGGTGTCATCAGGACAGAGTTGGGCCGTCACATGGACACAGTCTACTTCCGAGGTGCTCGCAACCTGGCTGCCACGCTCGGCTACTTCTTCTACAAGACTGTAGACCAAGGCGCTCAGACAACCTTGCACTGCGCCCTGGATGAGACTGCCGGCTCTCAGACTGGCTTGTACTACAGGTGGGTCTTAAGCTATAAGTACCATATCAACCACTAGGGGTCAATGGAGCTGATTGTGGAAATGTTTGCTGCTGGGACTAAGCCCGGATAGCAACACAAAAATAGAGACATTTCATGTTCTCCTAATAGCTAATAAAAGGCATTCGTTTATTAGGTTGCATTTTTATTTTCTAAACTTCCTTCTTTAGTTACTTACAGTAGACTCCCTCTTATACGGACTTCTCAGGACCAAGGCCAGTCCGGATAACAGTTTTTTTCCAATTAAACCGACGTCCCCAAAAACTCGTTAAAACGGACCGTTTAAATGCGTATTTGACGTAAATTTAGGAGAGAATTGTATCACTGGTCTCAAATCTTTCCCAAGAAGAGGGTTGTTTCAGTACCACCCACTTCCTGCCGATCTAGTCCAGTTAAACAGATGTGCTGATAAAAATGGTCTGGTTAATGAGATGTCATTTCCGCCGAGTGTAGTCCGGTTAAACCGATGTCCGGTTAAAAGGTGCCCAGATCCAGGTGATGATTTGGGAGTCTACTGTAAAAATTTTCCTATCTTTTCATTTTATTTTGTCTTGAGCTTTGAGCTTTGGGTATCGGTCAACCACTGATTATAAATGTCAATTGCCTAGTACAATTCAAACATATTTAACAAAATCTTATACTATCAATATATAGTACTGTATTTACTTTGGAGAGTATTCACAATATTATAAATTGTACGACTCAATATGCATGGTAACCGGTGATAGATTATGATTGGAAATCTCAATCATCCGCAGACCCAGTAGATGAATGAACTAATTTTGTTACTCCCTTATAAAGTCTGAAGATGATTTGTGTGTCCAATTACAATTAATTGATCACCAGTTATTTGACATTATTAATTTACAATATGGGGGGAAATTACAGATTTAATGCAAATAAAATGGTAAGCCAAGAAATGAAAAATGACAGTTTAACTCTGTTTTCAGTGATTGTGCTGTGAAAGAGCCTTGTGAACTAGCCAAAGATGAGGAGCTGGCCAAGCGACTGTGGGAGGAGAGTGCTAAACTGACGGGAGTGGACTGGGATCCCTTCACAGTGCAGGACTCTAACAAATAACTGCTCTACAGATACCTACAGAAGAACTAGAGTCTTCCATACAAAGCAACCTGAGCTGGCATGTTCAGGACTACTGGGTCTAAAAATAGTTATTACAATGACAGTGGAAATACGAGGACAGTGTAAGTACCATTTTAAAGGGGTGCCAGATTACCGGGGTTTTTATGGTAGTGGAATGAAAAAAGACCCTCGGGTTATTGGTATTTAATTTCATTTTTTTAAAGTAGGTGAAAGACATAAAGAAATTTCGGTCACTATAGCATTGGGGAAGACGATTGTAGAGGTCCTGTAACGTCATAGAGGTCCTATATCGTAAGAGTTCAAGGAAATAATTCACCACTAAACAAATAAGACCGCTACCAATGAATATGCTAATAATAATAACTATCAATAATCTAGTGCACTTAACACAAGACTGTTATTTTTTACCACTGCTCAATTTAATTAATTCAAATATTTAGAAAAAAATAGGTTGGGTCTATATTTGGAACTAGATTTTCTTAGCCAAAGCCTATTGTTATGAATTTATTGTTGTTGAAAAAATTAAATTGTTTATAGTTTGATTTCTTTTCACTTTTTGTAAATTTAAATAAATAGTCTATTTTTTGTTAAAATTTAGATTCATTATTTTATAATTTCTGTGTTGTTATGTGTAATGTAAATATGTGTTTTTACAATCTTTGTCAAGTTAAATAATTTACTTAAGAATTGTTCAAAAACTGACTGAAATACAAAGGCTGTTTTATACTATTTTTATTAATTCACAATATTTAAAAAGTAATATGTTATATATAAACGGTTAGGTATATACTTTTATTGTAAGCATATGAGTTTTCCTTTATTGTTGTGAATAATTAAATATTTATGAATAGCCATAATTTATTTGTCATGTAAAGGTATTCTTCAAAATAAACTATTTTCTTATATCTGTTTATGTATTTATTTCTCTAAAGAATTATTTATAATTTGAAATATAAATCTAGGGATATGGTATCTCATATTTGAACGGACAAGCTTGCTATTTAATGAAACAAGGTGTTGGAAAATAAATTACAGAACAATATTGGTAAAGGTTTTGTTTCATATTTTATTTTGTAACTGAAAAGACAAACATTGGTTCTATTTACCGACAAAAATTCCATTATTGCTGATTAATTTAGTTTCTCAGATTCAACTACTTTTTTATCACTAAAAGCATTGTGCTCACAATCAGCAAAAAGCATATCTTAAAGTAGTCTGAAATATACAGTAACTTTTTTAACAAAACTGCATTTAAACACAAGATGTTACCGACAGACCACCACCGCGCCGTGCCGTGCAGAATGCATCATACCGTCCATAGCCGAACTGATCGTGGGAAATTGTTATCTCCATCACTGTCGCTGTCAAAACGTATCGTTTGTAGGTTAAATTTAAATTAATTTAACTATCATAACCTAACCAAGCTAACCAAACTTGCTGATAAAGAAAATATCGAATGAAGGTTTACTAATAACAAAAATAGTTCTGTTCATATATTAAAATCTAATATATAAAATTCTCGTGTCACAGTGTTTGTCTGCAAACTCCTCCGGAACGACTTCACCGATCGTTATGAAATTTGGTGTGTAAATTCTGTAGGTATGCGAATCGGACGTAAACTATTTCCCGTTTCGAAATTCTTAAAAGGGCTCCGCCCCAGTGGCTCTGGAGTTTCCCATGTTAACCTTATGAGAAATGGAATTAATGAATCTTAACAGCTGTTTCAATTAAACAAGTTGGTTCTGTTCTATGATCTTCAATAGCATTAAAGTTACAAGGATTACCAACAGGGTGCAGCACTATTATTTCTTTTACATTTATGACAACAGCTAATTTGCAACCAAAAGGTGAGTGAGCGTAGCGAACGAGCTCCAACCCAAAGGTGAGTGAGCGTAGCGAACGAACTTCAACCAGACGTGATTGAGCGATGCGAACGAGATCATCTTGAAAATGAAACGTAACGGTACTTTCTTTCCATCGGTCTGTCTTAGGGGAAACCTATAACTTAGGCGATACGAAGTTCGCCGGGTCAGCTAGTATTATATAGTTTTTTAATTATAAAATTTAACCATCATAACCTAACCAAACAAACCAAACTTGCTGATAATGAAAAAAATCGAATCAAAAAGTTAATGTCTCCTGTGGGTTTCGAACCGACTACCTTCGAATCATCAGCCCGGTGCCCAGTGCGCTATCCACTACACCACCGAGACCGAAGGCTGTACAACGTATCGGTGCGGTAATGGTGTTCGCTCGAACGATGGTGGGTGGTGGTGGGCGGTGGCGGTCTGTCGGGAAGGGTTTCTAAACATAACTATTCCAACAATTAAATTTCTATTCTATGCTAAAACACCTTATATAACAAATAACAAACCATGTGTTGTCTGTCAACTATTAGCCTTTATGACCTATTATAGATCATAGATATTATAATAAAAACATAGGGCCTAGATATTGTGATAGTTAACAATTAAAAAAAATATTAAATTTAAATTCTAAACCAAACCTCTATAGAAACTAAACAAATTTAACATTAGTGAGGGCATCAAATGGTTATTAAATACTCAATATTGAATTGGTTGTCTGAGTCGGTGAATAGTTCTCTCAGCTATGAGTATAAGCAAGGAACAGACCACGCCAGCGGCTAGAATCATGAATGCTAACATGACAGATTCCAGGTCTACTCGAGCTACTTGCTTCTCTCCCACACACACAGGCCGATGCGGATGCCACACCTTGTTCTCTCGATAAAGGATTCCTCTCTCCCGCATCAGGTCGAATCTAAAAACATTTGAGTATCTGTAGATCTGATTTGAAACAAGAATAGGAGTACAACTTTGTTTACCTTTGTAACCTAGAGGCAAAACAGAGACGTGAAAAATAGGAAAAGAATATTTATTTTCAAAACATACAGTATTATTGTTATTTATTTTATTATTAAGCGACCAAATCAGAACTAAAAATAAAATATACGTCTTGAAGCTCCTCAAGGCCAGGACCCAGGATTCCAGAACCCTGCGTCCTGTGTCAATGTGCCTGAGTTCTCCAAGTCTTCTTGTTCTTCAAGCTGAGTTCTTCCTCTCCATCCTCTGCAGTCCTCTACAGCTCTTGTTTTCTGAAGCTCTGGGCGGGTCAATCATGGTGTCCCGTACATACTCTTAGTACTTTTCCCTTGGGTATTTCACTAAGCACTTTTCTGGTGCTTTGTGTATGTTCCAATTGTTACAAGCCCATACCTTGACCTTTAAAAACAGTTCACTACCACCTAGTTACTTAAACTACCTTTTAGAAAATATCCATATGCCACAACTACAAGTGCTGATCAAATACTAATAATATGCCACTTACCCACAAGATACAAAATCTCTGAAAGGTGAAGTCTTCTGAACAGGACATGAAACCAAATATGGAGGGAACAGTTCAATCTCGGTGAGTTCACATTTCTCGGGATTGCTAAATGTCTTGTCTATTGGTGGATACAACGTTGCATCTTCAGCATAAAATGCATAATTTTTAATCCTCATCCTTTCTATCCCCTTGGGAACAGCCATAAATCCAGTTTGGGTTCGGAGTTTCTTTCTGTACAGTTCGGCTGTTAAAGCATCTGTTGATTTCTTGAACAAAACACTCTCCATGTTATTGTATTAATTGGTAGCAATAAACTTATGATGACAGTAGATTATTATTTTGAGTGCAGGTTTTGTGTGAAGGTCTCAAACTAAATAATTGGTACAGTGCATTTAGTGTAAATTGGAGTCTTAGGACTAATGTAAAGGACTAAAGCACAACACCTTAAATGATAATTGGAACAAAAACCTAACTTCCGAACTGTTAAATGCTGAGATAGCCATTAGCTCTATCAAAGACGAAAATTCAAAAAATTATGTCAGACAAATCATTGACAATAAAGTCAAATCAATACTGAATCGGAATAAAAATAAAAATAAACATCTCTTGAGTGATATAAAAACCATAAAATCTATAAAAGAAAAACCAATCACCCATGAATGTATTGCAACTAAAGCTGACAAAGGGCAGTGCATTGTGATCATGAAAACTGACGATTACAACAACAAAGTTTTAGATTTCATAAACAATAACAATATCAAAGAAATCTCTAAAGATCCTACCGACCTTTTTCACACAAAAATAAAAAACGCTATAAATAAATCACAACATATCATCATTGGAGACCGAAGCAACTACCTCAAAATGATTAAACCTAAGGCCCCAACATTGAGGGGATTGCCAAAAATACACAAAGAGACCATGCCTATCCGACCTCTGGTAAATTTCACCTCAGCACCTTCCTACAAAATTGCAAAGGTTCTAGTCAAAATTCTTAGAAATAACATCAAACTGAACGAGAACCATAGCCTAAAAAATTGCCTAGAGCTAATAGATTTGCTGAAAGATATTAAAATAGAAAACCGGCATACTTTAGCATCACTGGATATTGTAAACCTATACACCAATGTCCCAATACATGAAACGTTAGAGTTAGCTAGAGAAAACCTGTCTACTAACTCCCAACTAAGTAATGACGCCATCAACGAATTAATATACCTATTGAAAACAACATTAGACCAGAACTACTTTACTTTTAACGGGAAATATTACCTACAGGAAGAGGGACTCGCTATGGGCTCCCCGTTATCGAGTGTGCTCTCCGAAATATACCTCAATAGTTTTGAAAACAAAAACATCCTCTCCGACAGCAATAAATTTTCTAAGAAAATAATGTTCTATAAAAGATATGTCGATGACACATTTTTGATTTTTAATGGCAATCCAAGGCAACTACAACTTTTGAATAATTACTTGAACAATATTACTCAGAACATCAAATTCACGCTCGAAGTCGAAAATAATAATTCAATCAACTTCCTAGATCTCACAATGACCAAAAATAACAACAACATTGCCTACAAAATTTACAGAAAGCCTACAACAACAGACCATACCATCCACGCATCATCTAATCATCCACAATCCCATAAGATGGCTGCTTACAATAGTTTTGTTAACAGGCTTCTAAAAATACCTATGACCCAAGCAGACTACAATGATGAATACACATTATTAAAGTGCATAGCCGTCAACAATGGTTATAACAGTAACATTATCGATAATATCATCCGTAAACAAAAAAACAGAAAGCAAACAGAAAAACCCGTTCAAAACTTTATATCCATAGAATATGGTAGCAATCTACACTATACACTGAAAAACGAATTGAAGAAACATAACGTAACTTTAGCCTGCAAAACTTTGAATAAATTAGAAAGCCTCCTAAATCCACGTACTACCGAAATAACTCATTCAAACAGCCTTGAGGACACTGGAGTATATAAACTATCTTGCAGTGACTGTCCTAAAATATATATAGGACAAACAGGTCGTTCGTTCAAGAAAAGGTTCAACGAACACCTTCCTAAACCTAAATTGAGAACCCAACACTCCAAGTTCGCCGAACACCTGATTAACGAAAACCACAACGTTAATAGCTGCAATGATAGCTTGAATATTCTACACAAATGCACCAAAGGCTCCTTAATGAATGTTCTAGAAAGCTTCGAAATCTACAAAGCAACAAAAAAATATCCTCACGACATTTTAAATGAAAAACTAAATTTTGGCCGTAATATAATATTTGATAGGATTGAGGACATTGATAACGGAAGCGCTCACAATCAGCTGTTTCACCCCCTCCAAGGTCAATGTCAACAGACAGGAGTCGGTTAGTTGCATCGTGTCCGTCACCGCGGTACTTATGGCCGGCCGTGCATTCATTTTTGTAAATAGTATGTGTCCGTGTTCGTGTGTTTATGTTAAATGTACTGTGTATAATGACGACGACAAGATGTCACAATGTTTTTAAGAGGCAAGAGGCTCGACAATGAAACCTTGATGTTTCGAAACTAGTCGCCATAGACTTATTTTAGGATTGACGACGTAAGGTATGTAACCCATTTATATTGTCTATAATCAATCCTGGAGGCAATGATGAATAAAACATATTAAAATGTAATAGGTCAACTTAAAATAATATGACAAAATACAATTGTTTGTGTGTATATAATTTGCAAATCCACAAGTATAGTAATTATTAGCAATAGATGAAAAATACTACTTGAACTTTGATACTATTGGTTGAGAAGACTGATTATGAAGACAATTTTTGTAGAAACAGTGTTTATACAGAGACTAAAAATAAATATAAATGTCTTCAATTAGAAGTGTTCCTCTGCTAAAATGTTTATTACAACTCAAGGCAAAACTTATGTAGGATTTGCTTATTAAAACATATTAAGTTTAATGCTTAATAAACTTCACTAAATTGTTTGCAAATCTAGCTCCTGTTAGTGTTTTAAGCTTTCTAAGTAGACTGTTTAATAATGTTAGCCAGAAATAAAATGAAAAACAAGATTGAATAAACTAGTACTCACAGAGTGTGCCACAGTCCAAAATACAATTTCCTTTTGTTTTTGCTTACTGAAATAGTCTATGTGACATTAAAGATTCTATAACTTACAATAAGTCATCCTTATCAGTTTGACTCGATTAATCAGCCGGCGTATTTGACAGAAATGAACAACTTACATCAGCACACTCTGTTGGCGGCTCAATCAAACTTTGTACATTTTCCTCTAAATCTGGCGACAACTTTAAAATAATCAGAATTCGTCGTGTCAAGTTCTATGTTGTTTCAACAGTCACAGATGCTACTCACTGAGAAGTAATCCCTTGTGTAGGCAGTATTTTCCACCCCCATCTTGATGGGGCTGTCCAACAGCTGTCTGATGGTTCTGATACTCTTGGCGGGGGGTGTGAGGAGGGAGGTGACTATTGCAGCTCCGTAGAATGCATACAACACCACACTCAGCACCAGGAGGCACAGTGAGAGGATACGAACAGAAACACGGTACGAGGTACTGGCCAGCCCTGCCAACATAGGGATAAAGTGTGCAGTGTGTAATCTAGTCAATTGGTTATATCAGTAGAACAGTGAGAGGATACGGACAGAAATACAGTACGAGGTACTTGCCAGCCCAAACTAAAGACAGAGTTGCCAATTCAAACTGACCTTGTTGACTGATAGCTCCAATGACCAAGACAGCGCTGCCACTCCAGGACAGTTCAGTGTCCGGCCAATCAGACACCTCAAACTGATGAATGAGACGCAGCGCTGCCACTACGAGCACACATAATATCCCTGTGCAGACCCACACAGCTGGTGACAGAGGCATCACCAGTGCTTTGTACAGTCCCAGTGATTTAGGGTGGCGGAAAATGAAACAAGTCCTATAAACATTTACTGTATAAAACATACACTACCATGAAGTATACATCGCAGTCCACAATATATATATATATTTTCATTTTACAAATAATCCATTGCATTTCTTTGCCAAATCAGGTCTTCACTAAATAATTTTACTACTTTCAAATGTTTCTAAGTAGCTAAAGGGTGTAGTAATGTATTTGTTCAACATTTTTGTGGGTGTATGTTTAATGCTTGTAGAAACATTTTACAGTAAAAAACACAAACCGAAAATACAAATACATAATTGAGAAACACGCTACAATGTATAGTTTTTTCTTCGAAGTTCAGCGTTGGCAATTGTGAGTTGATGTGTAAAAGGATCATTTTAGACAAATTATAATTGAAATAAGACAACAAAAAGTTAAAATTTTGTATAAATGGATCAACAAAATAAGTGCCTGGTTTGGGCGTAATCTTGTCATGTTCTAGATTCTCCACCAAATCTCCAATTCATGAACAAATGACTATCTGAAACTTATGTTATATCAGTGGCAGAAAATTTTCCAAACTTTAAACAAAATTTAATAATTCTTACCTGAACTTCCAAACGGGTGCAGTAAAGTCCACAGTGTCCATGCGATGTTTGAACATTGTCGCCGGAGTCAGTCCGAGCTCTATCTCCCCTCTCTCCAGCTGACCTACCATCCCGTCATGTCCTCCGTGAGGCATCACGTAGCCCCAAGACTCTGTCACGTCAAAAGTAAATCTGTCGGAACAAATAATTGATACATAATTAAATTATCTTTTATCTTAAAACATTAAATAGAGGTGCATTTTGTGTTGCCTGAAAATTTTTCTGTTTGTGGTCACAAAAACAACTGAATTGACTGGGCTGAAATTTCTCACTATAGTTCGGCCGCTTAGAAAACGACCTGCGCGCTAATGCTAAACCAATGCTGGAGGAGGTCGCTTTCTAAGTGGCCGAACTATAGGTATAAGCATAGACATTGTCTGTGGTATAAGGTAGTTTATGAAGTGGCCTATTCGAAATAAACTAACCCTGAGGACATTCAAAGTTTTAGGAGGTGACGATTGATTGGTCTCTTTACAACAAAAATGATATGTCCATTTTATTCTAAATTGATTTGTTCATATTGCAATTATATTGTGAGTTATACATTATATTCTGCCACACAACCGATTGACTAAAACTATTGTATAAAGAAAAAATAATTGTGTAAGACTAAATGGTAGAACTAGATTTTTGCGTGTGTTCTACGCCAGTGGCAATTTTACATTTTGAAAGGGAACAGTCCAAACCCTGGTCTTGTTACAAACGTTGACCTTATGTTACATGGCATCATTAATTCAAAGCCCAATGACAAATGACATCTGAGTCTGGAAACCACCATCTCGTTTCTGTAATCAATGGTAGGTGTGTTTTTTTCCCGACAGTAGATTTAAAGAACATAAGGAGACCCGTACGCAAATTTGTGCATTTTAAAAGGTTTCAAAAGATTTCTGAGCCTACACTAACAATGCCCTTTTACTTTTGAAAGACTATATGTTTTTTTAATATTAAATTGAATTTGTTGATGTTAGATCTACACCACAAAGAGAGATTTACAACTATCAAAAAAGGAGCCCATTGAATGGTATATTTCATCACTAGGGCGTAAAGTGACTCTTTTCTATCCGAGCTCAAGTTTTATGAATATGAGCGAAGGTTGAAAATACACTTTTTACCTGTGTGATGCCACTATAAACTGTAGGTCCTTATAGTTTGCCATTAGCTGTATGGGCTATTAATTAACAGCCGTGTCTAAGGAATGTCGGCCTTAGCCACTAACAAGACTACAAGATCGCGCCACGTATCCCAGGCCCGTTTTTGACTATGTCAGCGCCCTAGGCACAACTAAAATACTAGCGCCCCTTTGCAATATATATAACAGGGTGACTACCAACCGGGAAATCTGGGAATTAAGCGTGAATTTTTTTTTAACCCGGAATTATGCGTGAATTTTGTATTTCTACCTGGAATTGTCAATTTACCGCAATGGCGCTTGACAACAGCGACGTTTCCGTGACCACGGGAGATGATAATATGTCTCCACAAGGCCGCGAGGGATGATCAGAACTTTGCCGCGATCGCATGAGAGACTATGATAATGTCTACACGACCGCGGGATATGATCATGATTTTACCGCGATCGCGCAATACGATAATGAGATCTACAGAGCCGTGAAGGATGGTCAAAATATTGCCGCGATCGCATGAGACGATGGTAATGTCTAAACGACCGCGGGATATGATCATGATTTTACCGCGATCGTGCAATACGATAATGAGATCTACAGAGCCGTGAAGGATGGTCAAAATATTGCCGCGATCGCATGAGACGATGGTAATGTCTAAACGACCGCGGGATATGATCATGATTTACCGTGATCGCGCAATACGATAATGAGATCTACAGAGCCGTGAAGGATGGTCAAAATATTGCCGCGATCGCATGAGACGATGGTAATGTCTAAACGACCGCGGTATATGATCATGATTTACCGTGATCGCGCAATACGATAATGAGATCTACAGAGCCGTGAAGGATGGTCAGAATATTGCCGCGATCGCATGAGACGATGGTAATGTCTAAACGACCGCGGGATATGATCATGATTTACCAACAAAACAACCGATAATGAGATCTACAGAGCCGTGAAGGATGGTCAGAATATTGCCGCGATCGCATGACACGATGATAATGTCTAAACAACCGCGGGATATGGTCATGATTTTACCGCAATCACGCAAAACGATAATAAGATATACAGAGCCGCGATGGATGATCAGAATATTGCCGCGATCACAGAAGACGAAGATAATGTCCACACAACCACGGGAAACAGTCAGAAATTTGCCACAATCGGGGAAGACGATAATGATCTCCACATTACTGCAGGATATTATTAACACTTTGCGAGACGATTACGATGTCTTCACGACCGCGGGAGACGATTACGATGTCTTCACGACAGCGGGAGACGATTACGATGTCTTCACGACCGCGGGAGTTACAATAATGATGGCTACTCTACACGGCTGCGAGGGATGATCAGAATTTTACCGCGATCACGTAAGACGATGTTAATGTCCACTCCACCACAGGAAAGATCAGAATTTGGCCTCATTCGCAAAAGACGATGAAGACCTCCAAACGACCGCGGGAGATGAGTACCATTTGCCGCAATGGCGGGAGGGGATCACAATGCCTCACGACCGCGGGAGGCGATGATGTCTTCATGGCTGTTAGGGATTATCAGAATTTTATCATGATCACGCAAGAAGATGATAATGTCCACACAACCCCGGGAAAAGATTAGAATTTTGCTTCATTCGCGGTAGACGGTGATAATCTCCTCACGACCGCGGGATGTGTTCATATATTGCCGCAATCAAGGAAGACTACAATTTTGCTGTCCACACGTCCGCCGAAAATAGTCAGAATTTTGCCGTGATCGCGGGAGACGGACGATGATGACGTATACACAACCACAGAAAAAATTAACATCTTGCCACAATTGCGGGAGACTGTTAAGATGTCTACACGGCCGCGAGGGATTATCAGTTTACCGCGATCGCGTGCAAATACAGCCACATTTTTTTTTATTTTCCAATTTTTTGGCGCCCCCCAAAAATGACAATTGCCTTGCGCCCTAGGCACGTGCCTACCGTGCCTATTCGGTAAATCGGCCCTGACGTATCCTACACTCATCTCCATTCATACTTGGCTTAAAATACCTACTTTTTATCGTCGCCATTTAATAAGAAAGTATTAAAGTACTAAAGTATTAGATGAACTATATTTTTCATCATATTGCACCATTATTTTAACAAACTACAATAATAAAACTAAAATAGTTTTCATTTAAAGATAATTACTGAAAACTACTCCTAACATGTTTTCAATTTAATTGGTAATGGAAACAAGCAGCTTGTTTACTGTTTAGTAAGTAGTTCTCACTATGAACTCAATCAGCTGTTCACATTAATTTCACATATAAACGGTCACAAAGAAAGTTGATCAGCTTCACAGGATCTTTGAAATCCAACTCGAAAACCAAATCAAATGCTTGGGGGACAAAGCACTAAAGGAAATTGCTATGTTAATAACAATTTTCCCCTCCACTAGATCATAAGCTTGAAATTGACATTTTAATAAAAAAATCTGATGAGTAGGACGGCTGGAAAATGGAAGTTACAGAAAAAATCCTCATTGTATTAAGTTTATAGTTTATAGATAGATAATAGACATATATATATATATTTTTAAGATATATATTATATATATATAGACTCATCATGAATGGAAAAAACACATCATAAACATATACAATCTACTAGTACAAAAACAAAACTAACTTACGTAAAGTTGTACATGTCTTGAAGTTTTAAAAACAAAATGTATGCAAACCGAGATACTGCGTCTAAATGTGGTGAAATATTATTATCAAGAATCCTTTCTTCTGCATTCGTGGAGTTTGTTTCAAATTTTGTTAGCTGTAAAAAACCAAATTTAATAATACTCTGAATTAGCTGTACTATATACCTAATTATCCAATTTTTAATGTGGAATGCTGTAAATTTATAGAATATGTCAAAGATAAAGTTATATCGCTTTTCCTAAAAATAAAAGATATAAATCAGTTACTATTATTATTGTTTTAGTAATACATTGAACTGAATAATGTGTGAAGAACATATTTCTCAATGAATTCTTCTAACCAACATACACCCGTTGACAACAGAAAACGTCAAAACAGCAAAACACAATAATATACAATTGGAGAATATGTGAAGCACATTAAAAACATCAACTACTTACAACCACAGTTCCTTTAAGTTTTATTGCGTTAAAGTTTGAACGTTGTCTCACTTTAGTTCCATTGATCTTTACATCAAATCCAGTAGAATTGTTCCATGTTGCTCCAACTTGTTTGATAAGAGGAGATGAGTAGTTGACTTTGTAAAGGTCGTACAAGGTCACTCCAGGAGTTGCCAGAGAAACTTCACTGGTCAGTCCGAAGTTGAGGTCTTCCAGTTCATTCAAGGTAGTGTTACTTTCACTCAAAATCAACCAGGAATAACTATCATTCAGCATCCTCATTTGAGAACTCTGAAATCCCAATATGAGAAGCATGTAAAAATAAGTGATTTTAGATTAGAAGATATCTTTTAGAAATTTAATTTTTTCCTTCAAGGATCTCAATATCCTGGTTCATCAGACAGTTGTGAGTCTAAACCTAAAGTGTTATTTTGTTTTTGCAAAATAAAAATTTTACCATGTTGAGTTTACATAAAAAAATCTCGTAAAATCAAATTTGTCTTCCAACTATTCTACAAATTTTAATTGAAATCTGTTTTGCTAACTACTGGGACACCGATTAAAAAAAATATTGTTAACATATTTGATATATTTGTTATTATTTATTTGTATCCCCGATGAAGATTATTCTCATACATTTTTATCAAATAACGATTATAAAAGTTGTTACATTTTATATTTTCCATTTTTGTAATTTTTAAAAAATGTTATGACATTTATTAAATTACATGTAATTGACGTAATATTTAGAGATCTTATGAAACAAAAACTAGAGAGTAAAACATGATTGATTCATTAGCCATGATAATTGTTATCTGTCAAACTGGTGTAGTCTGATAAACAATATGTAAATTTGCTCGTAGTCAGTTTCTCATAGGTTAGAGACATGAGGGATGTGGCTTGTCCGGAATGTCGTCTGCTGCTCCGGGACCAAGGTCCCTCGGGAGACCCCTGGGAGCTTCAGGTTCAGTGTCCTGGATGCTCCTCCATTTATCACATATCCTGTACGGTAATGGAATCAGACCGTTTGTGGCGTAGGCTTGGTAGATACGTTGAGAAGTGGAAATGTAACAGGTAAAAGTGTTTTATAAACTTTACTGGAGCACACGTAGAAAGTCTTTTCAGGGGGTAAGCCGGTGCCTTATGGAAGTAGAGAAGAAGGCTCTTCCCAACTAACAATTTTAATACAAAAGGCTTTAAAAAATATTTTTCAAAGTTTCAGCCGATGATGACTTTTTACAGTAAGGTTTTTCCACCTCGTATTGTATTCATGGGATACTTCAGTGTTTTTATCTTTATAAACATGCTTAATAGTTTTAAAAATATACAAACCATAAACTGTACAAATTTTAATTTCTTTAAAGTACTTTTTCACTGACTTCTTATCCTTAAATCTTTCAATAACTCTAATAGCCTGTTTTTGTAGTTTTAAAACCTTAATCAAATTTTCCAAATTTTTTTGTGCTGTCCCACCATAAATTTCGATTCTGTAGCCAATATGACATTCTATAAGCAAGTGGTTTATCAATTTTAACACAGCTTTATCACAGAGATAAGCAATTGGTCTTAAAACAAACAAGCTTGAATTAATTTTACCAACCAAATACTTAATATTTTCATTCCAATTTAGATGTTCACCAATTATCAAGCCTAAAAATTTGGTTGATTTCACTTGATTGATCGGGTTATTATTTAGAGTAATTTTAGGGGTTTGATCTTTTTTGATCTTATTTGTATGAAAGAGAACAAAATTTGTCTTGTTTGTATTGAGTGTTAAATTGTTGTTTGTTAAGAATTGTTCAATATTTTTGAGCTCCAATTCAGTAGAATTTTTAAAGTCAAAGTCATCTTTATTGTCACATTACGTTTTTTTAAATGATCTGGCACAGCCAGACAAAACAGGTGACATTGTCAAACTATACTAAAATAAACTAGCTTATAGGTAAAAATAAATACATAGTAACAAAACAAACAATTCACATTGATTTGTCTTCGAAAAACTGATCCATACTATAATAATTCTTTCCAACAAAAATTCAAAACTTTTTCTTTAAAAGATACTAATCCTATTATTGATTTGTAGTAACCAGGTAAATTGTTAAAACATCTTTTACCCATATAGGAAGGTGTCCTTTGCACAAGAATTAATTTAATGATTTAATTTTAATATCAGTAATTGAATTACTCGAAGTTTTAAGATTGATATCATCAGCAATATCAATGTATATATATTTAATGTACTGGCTGACTCAGTCAATGCATTTGGGAGGTTTTTAATGTAGCATATAAATAAAATAGGGCCCAAAATAGAACCCTGAGGGACCCCTAGATGCATTTGTAGTAAATCTGATTTTGTCTTTTGTATCCAATTGTTTTTTTATAAATAAGAGAGTTCTACAAATTGATAGCGATCCTCCAAATATGAAGTGAACCATTTATGTGCAACACCCTTAACGCCCATTATCTTAAGATTGTTTAGCAATACCATATTACAGTAGCTACATTGTCAAAGGCTTGCGACATGTCCATAATCGTTTCAGCAGTATTTAAGCAGCCTTTATCAACACACTGATACAGATTTTTTTTACATATTGAGCTATCCAATACCTTACACAACATAGTTGATTATCTAATTGTATTCAAATGGGGTCCATGGGCTTAAATTAACTTAATTAATTTAGTAAAGCAATAATGTTGACTATAGGTGCTTAGGAGAACTGACATTTTGTTCAACAACATATTGCCCACATCTAACATTTAGCACTAACTAAATGTCGTTGGATGGTTACACCAGTTGGTCTGTAGTTGAAAAAGGTTTCTAATTTTAGTCTTTTAATTATATAGAGCCTACACAGTAGAGAAATAGCAAACAACACTCAAATAAAAACTGAACACCACTTAACATATTTTATAACGACCACCTTGTAGGGAAAATCCTGTAAAGAAATCTTCAGAGAGTTGTTGTCATAGACTTATTCATTCATTAACCATAACCTATTGATAGTTTTAAACAAAATATAAACTGTATCTAAAATTCACACATAATGATCATCTCTCCTTGTCCTTTGGAGAAACAAATGTTCTGCATAAGCCTAAATACTGCTCAAATCATTTTCAGATATGGTAACATATTGTATGTGTGTAGGTGTTTCATTGATGGATCAGAAGAAAGTGTGGCTTTCTTGGAATACATTCAAAAACTAAAGAATGGAAGTGAAAGAACACCAAACTCCGAAAATTCGTCAAGATCAAAATCACGGCCAGACCAATCTTGTGCAGAGTGCTTGAAAGAGCTTCGTGATGAAAATGGCCGTCTTAGCCGAAGAGTTCAGTGTTTGGATTGTTTAGACGTTTTTCACTTTTCTTGTACAGAGTTTGGAGACGAGAATATTTGGCAACGAGTTGGAGACTATAGAAACAGGTGGAAATGCAAAAACTGTTCGGGCTTTGACAGTGACAGTGTTATTTTAAGGGAAAAACTAAATGAAGTGAAACGGTCTTTAGACATACCAGTGAATATAGTTTAATATTAAGTGGTAAAATAAGCTTTTGTTAAGGGGAAACTCAAAGGAAGATAAACAGTTAATCAATTACCTTTGTTAATTTCTATTCTGTGACCTCCAGGGTCTAATCTTCCTCCAAGGTATTTTGAACTACATTTTGTTAGTTTGGTCTCCTTGCTGAGAGCGTTTATTATAGACTACCTCTGATCTGTTATATAAAAAAATGTAAAAAAAAGGAAATAGTTAGCCTATCAAACCATTTTATTTGTGATGCATGAACACAAACAACATGTATATAATTAGTTTTGTTTTACAATTACATGATGTTAATAATACATTAGAAGGAAAGCATGTATAAGAGAGCCGTAATATGATTTAAATATTGATTACAGCAGTCTTTTAGAATATAACTATAATTTACCCAACAAAGCTTATTGTAGTTTTAGTACCTGTTTTTCTTTAGTAAAATGAGATAGTACTCACCCTTTCCAATACTTTTTTTGTGAAATCACAGTCATAGTCCAAGTAAATCCCCAGCTTATGGTACCTCACCGTCATCATAGATATGAAGTTATCCTTGTCCAAAATGTTTATGCCCGACCCTACCCTCATTGGGTGTGCTTCGTATTTCATGAGGTGTTCCATCATTTTAAAAGTTTCTGAAATGATGATAAAACAATATGTTTAAAGGTCTCAAAATCTCAAAATTTTATTTGGGTAAACTTTTTAAAATTTATTTTTTAGCTACCGGTACCCCCTACTTTTATAAACATAAACTTTTATGTGTTAGTTTGGCTGTAAAGTTGTTGGTGTGCCATCATGGTACTGTAATACAAAAGGTTTCAGTTAAACCTTCAACAATTGTTCTTACTTTTGTATCAAATATGGACCGCTGGTTGAATCCAGCACATACAACATACACATAGTTATGTATATATAGATTCCATTGATCATTTAGGTTAAAATAGTCTGACTTGAGTAAAAAAAAGTCTAATATTTTGTCTGCGAACCTAGTAACCTAATACGATTCTAATACAGTACCTAGTAAAGATGTTTTGTTATTAAATCTGCTAGTTTCATCTAAGCATAAAAATATTTTTACTTCATTTCTTATCAGTAGGCATCTCAACAGTCTAAATCCTGGTGTAAACAATCCATACAAGCCTTACAGCATTGTTGGTTGACAACATAATGACAATTAATTAACAGAGCAGCTTGTTTAGACACCAGTAGTAAAGCTAAACCCAAAGAAACAAAATTTTAAAAATCTATGTGTATATATATTTATGATTATTATACTGTAAAGTTTGTTAAAAATATTCAATTTATATTCCTTAAATTTTACAAAAATCTATAGTAGCTGCTCATGTTAAGTTTATCATCTTTACAGAATATTAATTAGCTATTAGCTATTATGATAGCCATATGATACAAATCTATTAAAACCAATATTTTTACCATGTAGTCCACAGCAAAATACATTAATTTCACTGACATTCTTCAATGTGAAATACTGACTGGCTAGTTCTGCTACTTCTTCATTAAAAGAGTTTGCAGAGTTACCTAAGCAGAAACAGACAATGAAGATAACAATCACAGACATCGTTATGAAATGGAAGCGAGTAAAGATGACAACATATTAGTTATTAAAGGTAATCTGCGTTGCATGCAATCTAGCTGGTTAAAACTATAAGATTGTTTCTCTTTGAACGGTAATGGTTTGTTTAAAAATTCAAGAGAGATATTTCCAAATAATACAAAACAAAGGAAATAAACCTATTAAATGGTTACTTATAAATTTGAGTGCACTAGTAGATTGACATAGATAATGTTAACATTTCTGATAAACAAATTTGCTATAGAGAAAGTAAGATGGAATAGAAAATCTTTGACAGATTATACGAGGAAAGATAGTTTTCTTGTGAACTAAAAAGTTTCTATTAAAATTCTTTGTGTGTGGGGGATACATAAAGGGTAATGTACTCCAGAAGGGGTATATGACTGCTTGAATGGTACTTCACTGGGAATAGGACTTCTGTTCTGTTGGCTCCAGTTTATAAAGTCTGCTAACTTCTTCCAACCATGCTCAGATCATAAACAATATACCAAAAATGTAAGAAAAATTAAGCCAACCAAATAAGAGATTGTCAACAAAAACTTTGTTCTTAAGATTATACTTACCTCCTGAGTCAGAAAATCATCCACTATGTTTGGTTGAATATATTAACAGTACAATGTAATCTTTTGTATTAGGTTAAAAAAAAAAACACTCATTGTTGGCATAATTAATACAGTAGTGCAATAAAACACTATAAAATAACAATTCAAAATATTAAAAAATGTACATATACTTTTGCCGAAGAGACAATTTTTTAACTAAAATTGTATTACTACTTTAGTACCTACTGATTATGAGCAAGCAGATCACTTACTCTGGTCCAGAATATGAGTTACACACCTTCTATTAATTTATATACCAAATAATAGTCCAAGATCCACAAGGACGAGCAAGGCTTAAGCTGCAAAACTACACTGCAATGTAAAATCTCTCTATCACTCCAATAAAAGTAAAATGAGTCGATGCAAAAATCCTAAAAAAAACTCTTTTCGTAGGTTCAGTGGCATAAAATATTAACGCCGATAGTCGAGGCAATTGGTATCTGCATAGATCAAATAGAATGCACTGGCCTATCCAAAGAAATAAAGTAATTTTATGTTCAATGTAAGAGTTTTAAATTTCCAATGAATATAATGGTGTGGTAGAAACATGTTTTAGCATAAGTAAGTATGGAATGGTATGCATGATAAACAAATCACAAATACTCCACCTAAATCCCCAGTTATATGAACCATCAACACACCATAGATTAAATATCTGGAGTTAATATAATAGGTAAATGCAACACATTAATTGATTATGAACACTCTTTGTGTGTGATTCTTATTCTAAGCATCGCATATAACCAACTTGGACTTGTATAGTTTTCATCTTAGTTGAAAATTGATGATTCAATTCAATTTATTCATAGAAGTTTATTATCCATTCACTATAAGGTTAAAGAATATGTACCATGTCATTTTGTTATTTGGCCTTAATGTAGAATATTCTTTTAACGATAGAATATTATTTACAGATTGTAATCCACTAGGACTAGAAGATGATTTGGTCTAATTTTGTTGTTACTCTTGCAACTAATTAACAAATAGTGGTTTCTACAAAATCGTGAACCTTTATTTGCTTTAACAATCACCTCTAATTGACAAATCAATTATCTTACTGATGATGTTGGTTTGAATTTCTGAATAGTTCTATAAAAACTGTTTCTGATGGATTTTAGATTACTCCAATCCATTTACTCTTAATTAAGGATTACAAGAATTCTCTAAACACAGATTTGTGGTTTTACCCAGAAGTAGTAATAGTAACATTTCACATCAATAAATTTTCCTTAACAAATGTTTTAGTACATAGTTATAGCTTTGACCATTCCAATAGTCAATGAATGGTTATAGCTTACAAAATAATTTACTGAAGTAAATATTCAATTTATTTGGAACAGCTATAGCATTTTTTTTATCAGTACCTGTGGACCGAGCTTTGCTCAGGGAAAATCATTAGCTTACTCTGAAAACAGTCTTAGTATTGCAGATACATTAATCCATTCCCAAACTCCACAATGCTCACCCTTACTACTTCCTTCACCACTCCCTAGGTAGTGAACCTGTTTCCCTTCCCATAGAATTTTAGGATTGCAGATACATTAATGTAATTGCCAAAGACAGTTCCCACACTCTGACCTGCTAGCCTTACTACTTCCTTCGCCATTTCCTACGTCTTGGACCTGTTTCCTTCCCTTCTCATAGCATTTAAGTATTACAGATACATTAATTTAACTAGGATGTTAAAAGATTATACAAATTAAAGTGATTAGTTGTCCTTTTAGTTTAGAATAATAGAAACCCTAATTTTGTATTGTTATAGTTTAAAATATATTTTTTTTATTAGTTGAACATTTTACTTATCATATCATGATTTAATTTCTTTAATTTTATCAATAATAGGTATTTTCTAAGAAAAGCATTACACACACGATATCCCGAGGATGTGTACACATCACCATCGTTTCCCGCGATTGAGGCAAAATATTGAACATCTTTTGGTATCGTGCAGATATTATTATCACTTCTCACAATCTCGGAAACATTATTAACGTCATCCGTGATAGGATGAATTTTAAAATCACAATTTTAAAGACATGTCTCTGATTGCGGACATTAAAGCTCGGCTTGAGCTCAATTTTTGACTTGGTACTTGATCTCTCGAGCTTGTAGGCTAGGCTTGGCTCAGCTCAGAAATCAAGCCACTCGCACACCTCTAATATCAATAAAAATGTACTCCAGATGCCAATTAGTTTTTTTTGTTATTATTATTAATTGGTTATATATATGAGCTGAGTAAAAAAAAATGTAGAAGAAGAATTTTCTTAGTTTTTTGTTTGTTTACAGTTTATATTACTTTATTGAACAATTCAATATTACATTATAGCCTACTAGTCTAGTCAAAAAAAGGTTTAACCTCTGAAAAATCCAAAAGTTTTGAAACTTTGCACACTTATTTCTAGGTACCTATGTACTTTTTTTGGTTTTTTGGCTAAAATCTCGAGAACCGTTTGGTCGTAGTTAAAAGTGACTGTATACCAAATGAAAGATTATTAAATTTCCAACAAAAATGATGATTACACTTTTATTTTATTCCTAAAGGTTACCGAGTTATAGGACTTTAAAACATGGCGTTTTTTTCTCAAACTGTCGGGGTGCAAACAATGGTGCAAACTTAAGTAAAGGCAGTTTGAGAAAAATCGCCATATTTTAGCACCCTATAACTCGGTAACCATTAGGAATAAAATAAAAGTGTAACCATCATTTTTGTTGGAAATTTAATAATCTTTCATTTAGTATGTGGTCACTTTTAGCTCCGACAAACGGTTCTCAAGATTTTAGCCAAAAACAAAATAATGGGATTTTTGCTAATTGTCACGAAAGCTCTCCTTATATTTATGGGCACTTTTGGTATAATCTTCCTTAGGTACCTAGAAATATGTGTGCAAAGTTTCAAAACTTTCGGATTTTTTTAGAGGTTGGGTCATAAATTTATATATTTTGACTGGATTATACATTGGGTTTATAGAATTTAACTGCAAATACAATTTTACCAATATTTTCATTATATTTCACTATCGTTATGTCCTTTGGTTTTGGATATTCCATGAAAGGGTAGCATAAAACTACAAACCACTGTAATAGAAACAAATTTATTTACAAACATGTTATAATCAAGTCATCACTGGTACAAATAGAGGTTCATAATAATGGACTTTTACAGCATTAACAAGGTCTTTGAAAATTGTATACAGTATAGTTATTCCAAAGCGTGGCCCTCCTCATTCCAAACATTAGAAACATTTAAGCGCTAAATGTCTTTTAAGATATAGATATTATTACAAAAATACAACACAAATCATTAGAGATATAAAATAGTTAATTTGAACCATTGACTTTTGAATACTTAAGTAGACGTCCCATCCAGAGAGAAAAGCTGTCGCCAATAATTTTTTTCAAGAACATTGTTGAATAAGCAAGTCAGGAGGCTAGTGTCTAAAATTTTATTTCCTAGCTTATTTTACTTTCTGTTTCTTTGACATTTTTGTAGGTAGTAATACAAAAAGGACACTCACAACATGCAGGTGTTCTTCAAGTGGAAAGGAAATATTCAAGTCTTGCAACTGTGTGGCTATTGAGTCTTGTGAGAGAAAGTCATCTCAGGTGGGTCCCTATGGGACTGATCTGGAGATTTTCTTCTAAGATTTTGTCTTACGGGACACTTTGCTTGGTGGAGTTGTGCTTTTGGAGAAATAAACTAGTCATTCAATGAATGATGGTGACAACATTGTTTTGGTTACTTATCAAAACATTCTTTTTAAAATCAAAGATATTACCTGGATTTGTTTCTGACTCAATTCTAAATAAAAAAGATTTAAGTAAGTAAAGGTTTAATTAAAGTGTATGTTTTAAGAACCAAACAATATGGGAAGTTAAATCTTTATAAGTGCATCCAGTGTCTCTTTGTGTTTCATACTTATATAGCATAGGTAATAAGTTTCCACCACTTACCTAAATTAAAAGACATAAACTTTTATAAAATGAAGTGGCATGGTTGAATTTTGTTTCTAAAACCAGTGGCGGATGTGTAACTACAGTGGAGTCCCGATAATCCAAACTTCGGTAATCCGAAAGTGAAAATTTTTTGAATTTTTTTTGAAATTTTTTTGAAATTTTTACAATTTTTTTTGAAATTTTTTGAAGTTTTTTGGAAAGTTTTTGAATTTTTTTATTAAACTTTTGACACAGTTAGCTGTACCTCGTCAAAGTATTCTGTAGCGGCTGGGCGAGATAGACTTTTTTGTAGAGTATTTTAGTAAATTAATATTTCACCATTTTTGTTATTACCGTAACATTTTATATTTTCGTCCGCCAAATCACAAATGGATTTTACTAAGTGATAATGCTGCAGCCAATAGGTCTAGCCTTAAGTAATGTGAAAAACAATCCCGGGCTCGTGCCTGCGTCCGAAAAAAAGTAGTAAGAATAAGACAAAAAAATTTCAAAAAATAAAAAAATTAAAAAAAATTTTTTTTTAATAAAAAAAAATAAAAAAAACAAAAAAACGTTTAATCCGAAATATTCGGTAATCCGAAATGGGCCCGGTCCCAACCATTTCGGACTAACGGGACTCTACTGTAGTAACTATTTTAAACTTTCTTGCCACCAGGACTAATTGTACGGAATAATATAATAGGTTAGAAGGTTACATACCTTTGTGCGTCTTCAGTCTTACAATTAGTCTAGGTAGGCTGGCCACATATATTCATGTGAACCGACGCAGATTGTGCAGTAGACATGACGGAACTGACAGCCGTACAACCTGCGTCGGTTCATCCCCTGGAGAATATGGAGAAAGTATTGTTTTTGTCAAAATTTTATAGTTTGAGTTTTGGGTGGATATATCAGTTTTGGGTCACCCTGAACCCAAAACAGTGGTTTTTGATGTGATGTATGTATGTGTGTGTGCATGGATGTGTACTGGTCTGTGGATTTTGATGAAATTTGGTATGTGGATACTTTTTTTTTTTTTTTTTTTTTTTTTTTTTTGTCCTAGGACGCTAGGCACGAGCCTGGGATTGTTTTTCACATTACTTCAGGCTAGACCTAGGGGTTGCGGCATTATCACTTAGATAAAATCCATTGGTGACTTGGCGGGGATCGAACCCGGGACCCCACGGACCGAAGTCCCGCGCTCTAGCCACTACGCCAGCTCGCTCCCCAGGTATGTGGATACTAAATCTATGGTATCTCCAAGCGTTTATGTAATTTTTTTGAAGTTTTGATTTTAAATTATGATTTCCCCATACAAATCCATAAAATAACAGATAAATAGAATATTCACAAACATGGCCCTACCAATGTTAATTAAGATTTAGTATGTTACAGTCCTTTTACTCTTTACAAAACAGTACAACCCCCATCGCTGTAGAAAATTATTTAAACAAATGATTGTAATTTATTTAGCTTACCTATCAGTTTGCACAATCTGTTGATGGCTCAATCCTATTACATACATTTTTGTTTTAAAACTGGCAAACACTTTTTACGAGGGTTGAATGTCTAATTCTATCAATATACAAAGATTGAATAAGGTAGTGCACAAATTTAACGTGGTGCAATGGCTCTTATAGTTAAAACCGAAATAAATCAAATACAAAACAGACGGTCTTTGACCATTGTTCTTTGTGTTTATGTAAAAACACTGTATTGATATTTTATTTCAATAAACACTTTTTCTTCTTCTTCTTCTTCTTAAAACCGAAATAAATCATTGTACAATTTCCGATTTTGAACAGTAAATAGTTATTTGTGCAACTAGTGAGAAAAGTGAGCAATTGACTCACTCGAGAGAAATCCTTACTCACGAGCCGTAGGCGAGTGAGGAATGGTTTCTCGAGTGAGGCAATTGTACTTTGAACTCGAGTTGCACATTATACTTTTCCTATAGTTACCATAAAACAAATAAATTTGTGAAGAAACATAACCTATTTTTACACAGAAGTGAACTTTTAATATAACATTTAATGTGAAGTGACAAATACAACAGTACAACAGCTGACCAGCTGATTTACAACCAGTGCTGCCAACGTATTTCGCGCGCATACGACGTTGCCTGCATGTTACGCGCTCACTATTTCGTGCCTTCACGTTGCAAATCTGGAGTGAGACAAAGTATTTAGAGTGAGACAATGTTAACATTGTCTCACTGATGAGCGAATTGGCCACTTTGCTTTCTCAAATCAGTGAGAGAACATGTACATTTGTTAGGTAACTGTAGGAAAAGAAATAGTTTAGCATGAAAAAAATCTAAAATAATTTAAATTTTGTAATTATTATTTAATTTTGTATAAAATAAGTAATTAACTCAAAAGAAATCGTAATAAAATCACAAGAAACAATTATACTATTTCACTATTTCATTATCCCCCAAAATGGCAGTTAGGATGTTAGTAATATTTTCACCTAAAAAACTAAACAAAAAACCACTTAAACTTAACAGCACCACACTCAAATTATTTATGTATTTGTTAAAAAGAATGTAAAGAAAATATTTCTCAAATATTATTAAAATAAAATGGGTTAAAATATTAATAAAGTTGAAAAATATAGAAGATCTTAATTGATTTGAACTAAACACAATATACCTACTATACATGTACCAGTCCACACCTAAGATTACATTAGTTAAATGATATGGGGCCTTGCTACTGTTGTCGAGTGTTTTCTACTTTTAGTTGATTAACATTGTTGATTGAAGTATTATAGTGTAAGCCTGTTGTTGGCCAATAATTTGCTCCAACATTACCTTACTATTGTCACCATTGCTGATCAGACATTTATTTCTGTATTTTCAATAACTTATAATAACTTATTTAAAGCTTATTCACATTGCAGAAGCACACTCAAATCCACACGTTTATTTATTATCCAGATGGAAGAAGATTTCCAGGGTCATGATGCAACAACTCCAACAACCTTATCCACTTGTAGTTTATCTCTAAAAATGGCTTTGTCCTCAAAAATATGTTCTACAAACTTTTTCACTGTGTAATTATCTGTAACAAGAGAAAACAATATTTAAAATAAGCATTATATATACAGGTCAAGCATTATTTTATTAAAGTACAAAAGATGTCAATTAAGTGTAGTGTGCTATTTATAACAGGATTGAACTTGTGATAATAAGTTGAAAATGTTGAATAACATTTGTTCAATTTTGTATTAATTCCAACTTGTTTGTAATCTTTTGTATAAAAAACTGGAAATCTAAAATTCTTTTGAAACTAACAAATTTTTGGCACTAATAAAAAAAAAACTTCCTAGAATAAATTTTGAAACTCCTCAAGCTGCCAAATTTGGCAATGATAGTCTGACTAAATAGATTTTTTTATCAAGAAAATAATAGGCCTATTCAGTATTTTTTTTTACTTTGATCACAATTCATGAGTGATCAATAATAAATAATACCTTTGAAATCCAAAAGTCAATGTTAATTCACTCTAATAACCAGGAAATTTACAATCTGATAATAAAAATTAAAAATGTGTGTAAAAAATTGGTAGTCTCTACTCTGTTTTGACGGTACCAAACGACGAAACCATTTGGTAAGAAAACATAATAACTTCTACAGGTCATGGTGGTTCTAGATTGTTAACGGGCCTGTTTTCATTATCCTCGCTAAAATGGAGTGAATAGAAGGCTTCTAGAAGTGATAATTGTCACAAGCTGCAAGCTGACTTGCAGGATAGTAGCTAATCAATTTTCCTTGGGATAATGAGCTTAAGGCAAAAATAAAATATTTTAAATATTCCGTTTTACATTTTGGCAATCACAAACAGTAGTCATATTGGTGAATAATTTACAGGTTGAGATTAACAATTTTATCAACAATTTTAATTTTACAACAAGCCTTAAGTGCTGAGTTGCTTAATATGTGCCTGCAAGTATTGGTACTAAGACATTTTTTATGATTAAATTGTCGATGTCACAAATTTAAGGCTGAGTAACACAATGACTAAAATTATTTCAATATCATCTTGGTACTCACCAGAAAAACATTTATCGGACAAAACTTTATGTACAACCGTCCTAGCCAAATATTTGAACAAGTCTTTGTCTGCTATCCTCTTTTGCTTATAAAAAGGCATTAGGAACTTAATAACAGTATCTGAAACTTCTCTTTTGTTTACTTTGGTTTCATCTATCTCCTTAACATTGTTTCGTGATGGTAAGCACCCTTTACTATTTAAGTGTTCTTTTGATTTGTCTTTTTCTCTAGAATCTTTGCGCAAAACAGGATCATCAGTTTTGGATCTTGGGTGATCTTTAATTTTAATTTTATCTTGTGTTGGTTTTTGTGATGTTTCTTTTCTTTTACTTTCCACACTGTTGGAAGATAACCTGTTTATACTCTCACTACTGACATTACTTCTTCCTTCCTTCACACACATCTCCTTATCTGGTGTTTTAAATCTTTTACTTGGAGTACTGTCTATGTCCCCATCACCATTCATGATAGGGTCTCCGAAAACTGCATCCAGTGTTTTCCTTTTTCTATGCTTGTGATCCCTCTTTTCTGATTCAGAGTCCCCAAAAACTTCGTCCAGTATTTTCCTTTTCCTATGCTTGTGGCCTATCATTTGATATTCTTTTGTCGACTCATCAAGCACTTTGGACATTGATTGATCTAAACTGTTGATACCAGAATCTAGAAGTATTTCACTCACACAAATTTTTGCTTTACAATGTGTGTAGTCGTTGAAATCTTTCTTTTCCAAATCATGAATATTTTTAGATGTTGCCACTTCAATATTATCATTAGCTTCACTATTTGGACTATCCCCAAACAAGTCATCAACTTCAAAATATGAGTTGGAGCGAGTTTTTCTCACTGAACAAGATTTCTCCAAACTTCTCTCAGGGTTGACCATTCCCCCATTAAACATATCAATGGAAATTGTCCTAAATCCATCATTCAATGTAGCTGTTGATTCTTTTTGGAGAAACTTATTACTGACAGATTCTTTAGAATCTTGAGTGTCACTATCAGATATAACTATTTCTCCCCTACACTTGTAACTTTCAGCCCTTCCTGGGTTATCATCATCAGATATCTCAACAGTGTTTCCTCGTCCATTTTTTCTTTCACTGACATCACATTTACCAATTTTTTTACTCTCTGCATCATCGGCTGTTTTATTAGCAGTCTGAGAAAAGTAAGAAGGAACAGATTTCTGACCTTTGCTTCTTTCTTCACTTTTACTAGATTTATTTTTATAATTTTTATCTTCCCCTGAAACACTTGACATGCCAATTAGTTGTGAAGCTGTCACAAACGGGTTCTTGCTTTTGTTTGTCTTCTCACTCTTGTTTGACAGTTTACTCTGGATAGGTTGAGGTTCATAGGACTTGAGCAACACATATGTTGACATTGTCTTGGTCGCACTCTTGACGTCTGCTGACTGAAAAAGGGAAAGTGAATTAGCTTTATCATGGATTAAAGACTAAAGATAATCGACCATTAATTAGCATGGTTCATAGTCACATTGGACTTATAAGATTTTACTGAGCTGTGGAGCATTTAACATTTTAACTGGACATCATATTAATTCTATGCAAACAAAAATAAACTAAATACCCACTATAAAGATATTGAAAAGTATATTGTTTACATTTTTTGATTAATAATCTTTGAGGAGATGTTTAGAATAATGCATCAGTTTAGTAATGAAATTAAGATGTGTCTGGATCCATGTTCAGACAGGGTTTTTTTTATCTAGGTAGGCTAATTTATATGACACCTAATTCTCAAGAAGAATTATTCTATCAAACGTAAAAAAATACTCTTCATTATAAAATTTAAATTATATAAACTCCTAGAAAACCTTAGGCCTATTGAAGGTGGACATACCAGAGGTGAAAGAAAATGCACGCTTAACTAGTTAGAAGTCAAAGACATACGGTAAGTAAGGAGGATTAAGTAATAGTAATGTACTAATAAGTACACTTCTTTTTTTTCTTACTTAACACTTAACATTATTATTTTTTAATTCTTTATAGTACCTACATAGTTCTTGCACCTTACTAAGAAATCAAACACAGCCATTAAGTTACTAAAAGCAACAAGTTACAATTGTCTCCTTATTTACGTTAAGTTATCTCTCCATATTTCATATTTATAAATCTCGGATCATATTATATTAGTAGGTTAAATAAACTAAAAGTTGTAACTTACTAGCTTTGCAACGCTCCGTCGATACAATGACATTGCAGTGTTAGAGGTAAATGCTTGGTACTCCAAGTCCAAAGCAGCCTGCTCAATATCAGAATCTGTCAGTTCTTTGTCTGGAGGGTCAACTACTTTACACTGGTCGTAATTTTTTTGCAGCAATTCCCTCAGAAATCTGACATATCCTTCCCTTGCCTGGAACATATGTATAATCGATAAAAAATAACAAATGTTGATAGTTGATACAAAAACCCATATTTACTTTTTGGTCTTATATGCCTTCTAAACAAATATGTGCGTTTTGATATTTTAAATCTTTTTGACATATTTTGTTTACAATTGAACACAAAAAATTGGTAACTAGTAGCATTTTGACTTGTGCATTATAATAGTCAATCTATTAATAATTCAAAGGAAACCCAACCTGATAATAGAATTTAATATACTTTTTAAAGGTAATGTAAGGACTCTCAAATCTTTTAGCTAACTTTTATCTAAAAGAAAAAAAAATAGCAACCCACTGTAGTAACCGAGTTGCTAACATTACTTGAACTACTGAAGACCAAGACAAAATTTTACCTTCAACTTTACTTCAAAGTGAAGGATATTCGTGAGACATTAAGTTTGACACTAAACTTACTTATGTGTCACACTGGTACTAAATTAAAACTGTTTGCTATCAGAAGATAGATATGCATGTAACTTTCTTCAGCATATCAAACGTCGTAAAAAAATACAATGAGAACTTTCATTGTAGACCTAGTTTATTAGTTCTAGTTTATTTCAAATATCAAAACCGAAAGTGATTCTACTTACACTGATCGTGAGTCCGTTCACCTTCACTTTGGTACTTTCTGCAGCTCTCACTTTTGACAGATTGGCCTTCACAGTGTATTCTGCTTCATCATCAGAGTTGACCTGACTGGCTTTCCTCATTGACAACTCCTTCCTGATCATGCTCGTCAGTTTTGGATTCCTTTCCGATGTTGGGCTACGACTTCCTTCACCCGAATACACTTCAGCATCTCTGCAAAATAGGTCCATCAAATTAGATAGGGTTTGATCCCTTTTATTTATTAGGCTTACTTGGTCTACTTGATGTGCCAAGCAAGCATTATGTGCATATAAAGTTGTTAACTTACCGGTATTGCTTTTTAACACATTCACTGCTAATGATATATAATTAGAGATGGACGGGTACCGAAATTTCGGGAATTTTTCGGGAAAAAAATATTCCCGATTATCGGGACGGGATTACAATTGACTCGGGAATTTTTCGGGACGGGATTTGGTCCGATCGTCGGCGATTTTTCCGCTTCGCGAGTGCCGATAACGCCGTTATTGCGAGCGATAGGTCCGCGAACGCAGTTGACGAAGTCATACCGACGATCGTGCCGTGACCGCGGAGTCCTACCGACGATCGCGCCGTGACCGCGAGTCATACCGACGATAACCCCGTGATCACGAGTCATACCGACGATCGCGCCGTGACCGCAAGTCATACCGACGATCATGCCGTGACCGCGAGTCATGACGACGATCGCGCCGTGACCGCGGAGTCATGCTGACAATCGAGCCGTGATCGCGAGTCATACCGACGATCGCGCTGTGACCGCGAGTCATACCGACGATAACCCCGTGACCGCGGAGTCATACCAACGATCGCGCCGTGACCGCGAGTCATACCGACGATCGCGCTGTGACCGCGAGTCATACCGACGATCGCGCCGTGACCACGGAGTCATGCTGACGATCGAGCCGTGTTCGCGAGTCATACCGACGATCATGCCGTGACCGCGAGTCATACCGACGATAACCCCGTGACCGCGGAGTCATACCGACGATCGCGCCGTGACCGCGGAGTCCTACCGATGATCGAGCCGTGACCGCGAGTCATGACGACAATCGCGTTGTGACCGCGAGTCATACAGACGATCACCCCGTGACCCGCGAGTCACAAGTTACTATAGGTACCTGTAAATTGTTACCCATTTTTTGGTTTTTATAGATCAGTGCCACAAATGGTAAAAATTGATTTTGTATGTCTTTTTTTGGTAGCTGCAATACAGTACTTTCTTTTTATGCACAGAAAAAAATCCCGTCCCGTCCCAAAAATCGGGAAGGAAATAAAAATCCCGTCCCGTCCCGTCCCAAACTAAAAATTCAATCCCGTCCATCCCTATATATAATATCTTCATATTAAGCTAAAAAACATAAACATGTATGTGGAGTGTTAATTTATGTTAAATTGAATAAACTGTAGGGCTATCCTATAAATTGTAAATGAAAATGAATTATATACATCATTTATGTACCTGCCGACATACTGATGACAAACTTGTGCGTCATTAGAAGTGAATGTGTCAAAATTGTTAAGTTTGATCTTTTTATGGAATTTAATTATCAAATTGAAGTAACTTTAAACATTAAAATATGGTTAACGTATTCAGAATAACTATTGAAACAACGTTAAAAAATGTATGTACATCTGTTTTACTTTTACATGAAATCATTCATAAAGTACGCCTAGATGTGTTACACTCCTAATTGTCAAACTTAAGAATTTGTAAAAGTGGTGGAGTTCAGTGAGCTAGCTAACCTGAGATAATTAGAGTCTAGATGCTAACACAGAATATAGATACAGTAAAATACCACAAAACAGCACCGATATTTTGTCCTGACATAGGATGCCTTCAGAGAGTAGATTGAAAACAGTAACTTAGATTCTATGATTTGAAAAAATCTAAATAAGTACTCAGACACAGGTGGTACTTACTCAGAAACGCCCTTCCTTCCTCCGCCGTAAAGATCGTCAAAGCCACTGTTGTATTGTTCACTGGTGACGAAGGTAGTTCTACCACCTCGAGACATTCCACTACCAGCCAGGAAGGTGCCCAAACTCTCCTCAACTGCTGACCGGTCGCTGCACACGTCGCACAGCTTGCGACACCGAGGCTTTTCATCTCCAAAGAACACAGCAAAGGCAGCATGACGGCATCTGAAAAGTTTTTGTATATGAAATGAAGTTATATTAAGGACAATTTTTTTTTTCCCTTTTTTTTGTCCTAAGGACGCTAGGCACGAGCCTGGGATTGTTTTTTCACATTACTTCAGGCTAGACCTAGGGGTTGCGGCATTATCACTTAGATAAAATCCATTGGTGACTTGGCGGGGATCGAACCCGGGACCTCAGGGACTGAAGTCCCGCGCTCTAACCACTACGCCAGCTCGCTCCCCGAATATTAAGGACAATGGAAATGATCAAACTAGCTTGTGTTGAGTTACGTACATATTGCATTTTTCAAGCCAACCAAACTGAAAGATGTAAATTAGGGGTCTGCGGTACAGAAAATTTAAGGTCGGTACGGTTCGGTACGGTACAATATTTTGTACCTCGGTTCTCGGTACAAAATCGGTACGGTACGCGGCTACCCGTATTTTTGCGGTTTTCTGCTCAGAACTGTATTTAGACCATTATTTTTAACTTTAATACATTGACATTACTATGAAAATTGATAGTATCCTACTTTCCTGGTATTCTAACAACAATTACTGTACCACACATTATTAAAACAAAACCTTTTACTACTACGAGGATTGTGTCAAGAAAAATCACAGTTAAGATAAAGGCTTTACCTATTTTACTCTGAGATACTTTGAATAGCCATGATAAAAGTGGTTTTAAAAATAGGGTAAGAGTTTTTAGGAATAAACATGTTTGAAAATTTATTGGCAAGATAATTTCACACAACTGGTAAATTATTTCCAACCAACAATGTCTAGTTGTTTTTTAGATTTTTAAAAACATATAAAAGCATTCAGTACAAAGACAGTGTAGCTGCCAGCTGTTCACAGCAGACAACAATGAACAACTGGAGGATATGATGAAGTAATGGCAAAGAGCATCTTTTTTTATCAGCTCCAAAACTAGTTTATAAGATCGGGTCGGATTCGATACGGATATCCGAACCGGGCCCAAATTCGATATCCGACACTATCCGTTATATATCCGACTTTTTCGGATAGGCAATATATTTTGACGTTTTGGACAGAAAACTTAATCTCCATAGCCACCATTAGGTTCCCAGGACAAAATTACAGCAATACGTTTCCAACGACCTAACACCAAACGGCAAAGAAGCCGTATGATGCAATACTGATAACTAGTTTAGTCGTTATCGGCTGTTTTGCTTTACGATTAGATTCGTCTGGAACGAACAGACATAAAGCAGAAAAGAACTACCATGGTCAAATGAAAGTCAACTCGTGCTTGTCTCGCTCCTGATACTAGGGGTGCTGCGTAATAGTTTTTTTTACAGCACTGTTTCAAAGTAGAAAAATCTAGCCTACTACTGTGATGTTACGTAAACAATAGATTTAATGTTTCCCGAAAAAAGTCAGAATAGAAACAATAGAAAGGCAAACAATAGAAGGGTGGGAGGGGTTGGGCAATGACCTCGAAAGGAACGCGGGTAGTGAGTCAAGTAGGACCGGAGGGGGAAGGGGTGGGTAAGACCTTGAAGCTTTAAATAGACTTGCACTACTTCCCTAAACCTAAAGGACTGGCCGGCGAGTGGTATTCCAATCACAGGACAAGATACGTTGTTTTTTGGGTATTCATTGCCCGGTTTGACTTTGGATTGTCTTACTGTGTAGAAACTTTGAATAATAAAAGATAAAGTTAGAACTAACCACGATTATTTAGCATTGATTGTGTACATATTAAATGATTAAACTATAGGGACCATGGATATATACAAACTTTTGTCAACATCAAAATACAATATTGCACAATCGTGATATTTTAGGTCATTGACTCAATTATGCATCTGGTATTGCTGTTTCAGAAGAGAAGCACGTTGATAAATTATAAATTGATATTCCCGTAGTTAAAAAGAATTATTTTATAAACCTATAAAACAAAATCATAAAATCTTACATAAAGATAACAATAACGGAAATTGTAAAAAGGGTATAAAGATAACAACGTCATTCTTTCTCTTTGTTCTTCTATTTCTTGGGTTTCCCTTCATACGCATTCAACAAGTTGCCATGGTTACTAATCACCCATGTCGTTATCACCGAGTGCAGCCGAGCGGCACTAATGAGGGTCGGACCTTCTTGGGGGTGAACAATAGACGGCTTATCAGACCCTCCCCTCCCCCGTGGTCTGGAGAAAGCTTGTAAACAAACTATTGCACAAGCGCAATGAATACACAAACTATATAGTTTGTGTATTCATTGACAAGCGTGACTTGACATTGGGCTGACAGTAGGCGTAGGCTTGAATAACGAAAAAAAAATTATGCAAACAACAACTATCAACAACAACTATGCTTGTGGTTTCGTTAATAGAAAGATAAAATATCTATAACAAATATTTTAAGTTATAAAATAAGATTGTACATTAGTTACAAGTTTAATATGTAGCCATAAACAGTTTTATGGCAGTAGGCAATGGCCAGCGGCAAATTTAATATTCACGAAAATACTGACTGAGTTCAAGATAACATTTAACAGTCATCATAAAACTATTATATTTATGATAAAATAGAATTGGGGGAAGTCGTGAAGAAATAAAAGTGATAAAACTCAACAGTTCTTGGAAGTACTTGAATACAACAATTATTGTCGTGATAAAATGTTAATGGACTTGGGACTGCTAATGGGGTTTTTATTGCATCATCACCCTAGTAATAAATTATGAAGATCGTAAACATACATCTGATAAGACTTTTATGTGCTTGGAACCAACTGTCGTTAACTACGATAGTAACTGAAAGTAATTTATTATTATAATAGGCTGTACCGAACCGAATTTGTACCATGTAAAATGCTGTACCGAACCGATGACGGTAATTAAGCTTGTACCGTACCGTACCGACTTTTTCGGTGCACCGCAGACCCCTAATGTAAATATACATTTTTAATTTGTGCAAACTGCTTGAGAGCTTTTTTTTACAGTCAAAATTGCACAGGTAGCAATATCTAAATGTATACCTAACTTACCTAAAAGAACTGTTACAAATATTGTGAAATTTCATGTGATGCAGAAAAACTAGTTTTACTGGCTTTTGCAACATGCACATGATGGATTAACGTTTTTTTTTGTTTCTATTTAACAATTTAACGAGGTGATTAACACAATTTATACTATGGACATTTCAACAAAGATTCTTGAGCCATGTTTATATAGTCAACAGTTAAATTAAAGCTGTTAGGCCTATAACCAATACTGACGCATCAACTATGACGATTGTGATAAAAACTCTGGATTAAAAATTTGACATGGGGATGGAATGTCTAGTAATATTAATAGTCAAAGCTTCTAGTTTACAACTGTAGAAAACTCACTCTACGGATTCGCAGAATTTCACCATCTTATCAAAATTCTTGCATGACTTTTGAGCCTTAAGTTTCTTCTCGTTGGTTTTTGCCTTGAACACTTCCCCTCGTAGGATGAACTCGTACGAAGACTTAGCATTACGAGCATGATAGATCCTGCAGAATGCAGGCTTGCCGTCCCTCCCGGCCCGTCCACTCTCCTGGTAGTATGCTGGTATACTGCTGGGGATGCCCCAGTGGACTACAAATCTGTACCAGCACAATTATACCATAAACAATAACAATACTATGTCAGTTACAATACCATTAGGACGATTTACACTACGATAACTGAAAAATGTAATGATTTCTTCTTAGGCCTATCAAAAATACAAAATTGTATAAAGCGATACGGGAAGTATGTGAGTACTGAAGTTAGCGAGATAATTTAGCATACTTTTTTACAAAAGTAATCTCATTAGTTGGGGGTAAATGGGACTAACGATAGCAGCAACATTGGTAATTCCTTTACATGCAGCCACCAACATTGGTTACCGATATTCCTTTACAAGGGATTAGAACTTAATGAGCAAGTTGAATTCATATTTCAACAGCAGTTGAATAATTTTCTGGATAAATAATTTTAAAAATCTAGTAGGCCCTAACAATATGATTAAGTTTATGTAATTTATTAAATTCATTGGAAATTTATTAATTTGTAATTCTTGTTACTTGTATTAAATCTGCTAACTCGATCCATATTACTTTTAGATATCATAAGATGTGACGTCATACATAGCCTGATCAAATAAATCCCATCGGTTGTTCAATCACACTATCTTCCATTCCCACTGCTACCACAATCACCCGACACACTCTGTACCTCCAGTCGTCGTCCTATCTCACCGGCTCCCGCACGACAATGTGGTTTTTCTTAAAAGTTGAAAGTGTGTCTCATTTCAGCAACTTTCTTCATTCTACATCATGGTCCTGATTCAACAGTTTGGGACTAAAAACTTGATATTAACATTTTTGTTGTATTTTTGTGCCAACACTAGTCGCTTTTTGTGTGAGATAATCACAAACTATTTCAAAGGAAAGCGATCCTAACCACTAACATTTTTTTACATATGCCAGAGATTGTCTCTGTCTCTCATGCATGGAAGTCTGGGAGGTTTAGTATCAGGCTAACAGCTCACCTCTCTAGTGTAACTTTAAAACTGCTCGTTAAGTTTACTTGTGGAATTTCCATAAATAAACAATTTAACTCAAGTAGGTTCCGTTTTAAAATCAAAATTCAACTTAAATATTGTATTGCCTATTCATAGGTATTAAGGAGTTATTTCATAGCTTGGTTACTTCTAGGTTGGAAAGCTAGTACTATCTTACTAATATTATAAATCTGAAAGTTTGTGAGTTTGTGTGTATGTTTGTGTGTGTGTGTGTTGCTCAATCACTACTGGACGGATTGGGCTGAAATTTGGCATGATGATAGCTCACATTCCCGATTAACATTAAAGCATATTCTTATCTCAAAAACCCTTTCGGGCTCCGCCCCAGTGGCTCTGTAGTTCCCCATGTTAATCTTATGATTTTTCATATTTAAAAGGAATTAATGAATCTTAACAGCTGTTTCAATTAAACAAGTTGGTTCTGTTCTATGATGTTCAATAGCATAAAAGTTACAAGAATTACCAACAGGGTGCAGCACTATTATTATTTTTTTAATTTATGACAACAGCTAATTTCCAACCAAAAGGTGAGTGAGCGTAGCGAACGAACTTTAACCTGGAGGCGAGTTAGCGTAGCGAACGAGCTAACCTGAAGGCAAGTGAGCGCAGCGAACGAGCTCCAACCTAAAGGTGAGTGAGCGTAGCGAACGAACTTCAACCAGGACGTGAATGAGCCATGCGAATACTTATGAAGTTAAACGGGGCGAAGCCCGCGGGTACAGCTAGTCCTAAATATTTTGTAATTCTAAAAGTTATAATGCTATATGCCAATTACCTGACAGTGGCTTTATCAACTCCCATTCCAAAACTGATAGTAGCAGCTATGACTCTGTACTTTCCTCCCACCCACTGGTTTTGAACATCTACTCTTAGCTTGTCTTTTAGGCCTGAAACCAATTATTTTATCCATGAATTGAACATTATCCATAAAAATAATGGTTGAGATTTTTTTAGTTCCTCATTCATTTTAAGGTATTGAATCCGCTAAACTGATGTTTCCTTAGGCCAAAATTAATATAAAGACGATCCAACACATTTAAAAGGAACTGTTTTTTCTTCATTTTTTTCTTTTTAATAGCTCACAAAAGTAATAAGTACGGGTTTTAAAGTACAAAACTGTTTTTTACAGGTTTTCAAAAAACAAAGTGTTTTATTGGACAAACCTTTGAGATCTACGGTTAATTGCAACACCTTTATGGAAAAATACATTGCAATTTACCTATTCTAGCTTACATAGAGATTAGAAAATCAAAATACCAATAACCAGTACTGTAATTCTAATACCTGCGTGGTATGCTACTGTAGGGACGCCAGTTTTGGTCAAAACCTGAGCCACTTCTTCTGTCAAGTCTCGAGTTCTACAATATATTATTCCGCATCCACGTTGCACCTTATGAAAAAAAAACAACCCTATTAACAATAGCTATTAGCAGTAGTACATTCTTACCTATTCGTAGTTTAATTTACAAGCTAAGGACAGTTAGTTATACTTTGAGGATCACTTACAGGTTTTAGATGTTCTTCTGGTAGTAGATGTTTCACAACAAATTTCTTCAAATCAGAATAAGAATGTTCCAATGCGTCTTGGTAGACAACATCATAGTACAAGTTTGAACGAAAGCATGGTGTTTTAAACTTCTTCAAATTCTTAAGCTTCAGCTGGTTTATAATGTCTTCCACAACCTAAAAAAATATATTATTAAGTGTTTGTATATACAGTGCATTATCGAACCTGCTGAAATAGGCCCTTGTCTAAAAACTAATAGGTCTCCTAGTGACATTTACTCAATCTTAAAATTTATCCGGCAGGCGTTTTAATTTCATAGTTGTCAAATGTCTTGGCATATAATTTTGAATAGAATGGAGTTAAATGTATTAATATTAATACATTTTGTAATGTTTTAAATTACCCGTATTGTTGTTTCCGCTCTGTAAGAAGCTATGAAAGCTAGATGGAAAACTGCAACAGAAAACACTGGATGAATTACAAACTAAAAACTTTGTTTCTTTGTGCAACCAACTCCTAAACGCCTAATTAAGATATTATGTCACTGATTGTAATAGATTTATTTAGATAGCTGGTGTAGGCATAGGTGACAAATGCATAATTATCTTAACAGAAACTCCAAGTCAGAAGAGACTCTTGATTTACAAGCAATTTTGAATCAGAGGTGTCTAGGCCTACTCAACTGATTAACTGTCTATTCAGGCAATAAGCTGTTACAATGTTATTTCGTTTTACAAAACTGAACTAACATTACAAGAACAATATATTACCACAGCACTAGCAGTAGCAGTCAACGCGATACAAGGTATGTCAGGGTACTGTGCTCGTAGGTTTCCCAGTTTGAGGTAGTCCGGGCGGAAATCATGGCCCCACTGACTTACACAATGCGCTTCATCGACTATTATATAGGCCAGTTTATTTACCCTGTGCAGATTTCTTAAAATATCCTGAAACAAAAAGAATTAATTGGCTTTATTAGAAAATGTTTAACTGGTATTTAAAAAAAAATCACTGGATTATTTTTTAACCGACAGTTTTAGAATTGAGGCATGGTTAGTCTAGTGGTTAGAGCACGGAAATTCCGTTCAGTTCAGTTAAATTGTTGCGGATCCCTAATGCTTTAAGCTATTGTTGAGTTTTTCACGGGGATAATGGCCAACCTGAGAGTTTGAACTCCACCTAGAACTGTAGATGTTCCACCATTACCAAAAAGAGACAGTTCTCTCAGATAAGAAAATGTCAGGCCTATCTGTATTGACTTAGATCATTGCTTCCACTAAAATTCATACTTGGAAATGAAAAAAAGATCAAAAGAAAAATGGCCAACACACATGGAAAACCTTAATAATACCGTAACCAAAACATACCTTAAAAGTGTTTGTAGCTGCTTGTTCCGGCGTAATGTATAGTAGCTTGATTGTTGTTTTCTTACACTTCAAGTCATCAATTACATGTTGGCGCTGGGCAACTGTCATCTTGGAATTCAGTGTGTCAGCTGCAATCTTCAGCTTTTTTAGATGGTCAATCTGATCCTACAAAGTCAAATGCCACTACTATTATTACTTAATTACTGTGACAAGTTTTGCCATAACAATTTAAAATAAAAAGAGTTACTAAAAAATTGTGTTGTTAAGGGTGTTAAAGGGTATCTATTTTAGCCCTAAGTTGCTGGAATTAAAAATTCACATTACTGAGTCTACTATTTATTAAGACCTATCTCTACTACTATTTGTCTACCGTATACCTATTTGTGGTACAGTTAGAATCTCTATTAACTTAACCCTATTACAGTATCACACTCAGGACCGGGAGCGTAAGCAAAAATACGGATAACTTAAATGAAATCCTGCCAGGCCTAAACCTGTACAGTACCAAAGTGGATTTAAAAGGTCATTGGAAGAAATTAAACCCTGTACAAGGTAAAAGGTAATACATATAAGTTATTATTTATATTTAACCCTTTGGGCCCCAACAAAATTTTTGCGATTTTTTTGGAGGTGACATGCCTATACTGCATGGTCAGTACTGGGAATGACAGGCCAAAATAGGCGGTTTTTACAGCATTGTATTAATTTGTTTATAACTTTATTTAATATTGAGATAGAAAAATTATTTTGGCATTATTTTTTAGCTTACTGCTATGGCAACAATTTGGCATAAAAATAAAAATAAAAAATAAAAATTTTAGTTGACAAAAATAAAAAAATAAAATAAAAAAATAAAAACTTTTTTAAATTTTTTATTTTGAGATGTATAAAAAATAAGTGAATAAGTGAGGAGGCAGATCCTATTGCATTTTTATTAGTCACTATACATTTCTAAATAATACCTAAAGATTTGGTGCAAAAATATTTATAAATGACCAACTTACGGTATATTATGATAAATACTTCAATATCCGTTATCGGCCTAGTTACCGCAACAAACATGTTTTATTATAGTATACAAGTATCAATGTAAGAGATGCATATCAAATTGAAAGAAAATAATGGAACAGACCTAAGACTAAGAATCTTAACAATATATCTGATACAAATATTTTGTTTTACTCACCAAAAAGTTGTTTTCACCATGTTCCGTAACACCAAAAGTTTTAGTTTGTAAATGGAAATAACACCGATAACTCACATAATGTCTTAAAAATTGTTATGTGCTGTATCAGAGAAAGACCTCAGAAAAGAAGAAAATAGTCTTCAACTAACACTAGTTTATAAAATTATTAAAAAAGGCTATTTACAGTATTTACAAATCCAAATGTTAACGTTTAGTTGCATTTGTGGCGATTGTAGCACTCCGCATGCAGTCCTGCTTTACAAAAGCAACACATAGTGCGCGCTCTTCTCCTTTTTCCATCTGGGTTTTTTTTCCACTGCATACAGAACAGTTCTTTTCCTTGTTATCAGGAACTTTTTCCAACCCAAACCCTTTTCCAACTGTTGCGTCACCCCCACCTCTACCGGCAACTCCGTATTTCTTTTCGAACCAAGAATTTGCTAGTTCATCCACCACAGCTGTGATAAAAGAGGCACGGCTCATTGGTTTTTCAGTGTTAAGTTTGTACAAAACATATGCATTTATTTAGCATCATGCGGCCAAATATGTTAAAAATCACTTTCTTCCAAGGTTTCATCGAACGTCGCTCATCAAGGTAAGTGTACAACATTTGATCAGTACCATCTATGCCCCCCATGCCATTGTTGTACTGATGGACTATTCTAGGCTTAGTCTTTACAATTACTTTCCTACTTCTCATTTTTGTATATCTTACATTTTCTGCCTTGCTATCATTTGATAACAGAATAAACTGAGATTTGTTGGTCGGTTTCTCGCGGTAGGCCATGTACAAGGCGGGTCCTTTTCGAATGTATTTTTTTTGTCCAACAGCATATTTCCCCCGTAGCACAGTGCGCACACCTACTCTGTCAACTCTAACAGTTCCTGTAAGCCAAGTTAATTTAGAATATAAGTATCTAGCCAGGCGAAGAGTAGTGAAAAAATTATCCAAAAATAGATGAAAGCCTTTGTTCAAACAGTTGGCGATGTTCATTAGTTTGTTGACTACAGAGAATGCCAGGCCATGCTCAGTGGTTTCTTCATCATTTTCTCTGTATTTGGCACCTTTGTAGCAAAAAAGTGCCATGCAGTAATGGGTTAGCGCGTCACACAGTACCCACAGCTTCACTCCCCACCTGTGATGTTTTTTTTTTGGGAGGTATTGGGTCAAGCCAATCCGCTTTTTTGTCCCCACTAACGACTCATCGACAGATAGTTTCTGGTAGGGTACATAGTAAAACTTGGCTAACCGGTTCAGATGGTCGATGAGTGGTTGAAATCTTCCGCATGGGTCATAGCCCGGTTCGCCATGTTTCACAAGTTTGCTGCCATCAACCAAATGAAAAAATGTTAAGATAAGTTCAAACCGTGTTCGAGAAAACATTTTTGCAAACCAAGGAGTGGACAGGGACGATGGCTGGCTCCAATAGCTTCTGATTGAAGGCTTCCGGATTATGCCCATGTTTATAATAACAGCAAGGAAGCCTTTGAATTCCTCAGAGGTTAAATTTACCCAAGATCTCAATGTACTCTGAGGTGACAAGCCATGTTCAGCAGATCGCAAGAAATTTGTAGCGTATCTGTTTGTCTCTACTACAAATTTTGCTATCAATTCAGTAGTAAAAAACAGAGAGAAATAGGTAATTGGCGAGGAGTTTCTGGGTGGGCAATGCTTAGGACCTGGGACTTCATTGAAAGTGAAGTTGTGCTGGTAACCCGAATCATTATCCTCCTCGAGTTCATCCCAGTCACTGGACTCAGGTTCAACAGGTCTTCGCCTACTACGATTTGCTTGAGTCTGACTTCTTCCTCTCCCTCTGTGTGAACCCCTGCCTCTAGGCCTAGGCCTAGCACAATCCCTAGCAGTTTGAGTACCGGTATCTGTTGGCAAATCTGGTAGAGCATCAGTAGGTCTAGCTTCTTCTGTAGGCATATCTAGGCCAAATCTATTGTCATTGCTAGTTGATGGTTGGCCTAAATTAAAATCAATTACTTCTTGAGGCAAATCTGCCAGAGGAAGGACATCATCAATGTCTTCTTCATCAGAGGAAAACATATGAGGTGATCTGATCGGTCTTTGCAAAAAACCTAGTCTAGGCCTACCACTATTTTCCGGGCTATATGTCGGGTCTTCATCCGTGTCGTCAACTAGTTCTGAGGAGGATGAATCAGCATCAGAACTTGCAATATTGTCACTGAAGTCAGAGTCATCACTGTTCTTGTCGGCAGAATATACATTCAAACCTGCTTCTTGAATGTTACACAACAGAGTGTTTTCACTAACAGGAGATTCTGCCCTAGTTCTTTTTTTACTCATATTTGAGACAAATAAAAACAGTCAACATGCAAGAAATAAAGGATAAAGAACTTATAGAAAGGAACTAGGCCTAAGTTAGTTAGTTAGTTAGTTATGAAAATAGGTTTCCATGTCCATGCAAGGGCTATAGCATGCACCCAAATAATTATGCAGTTACAGACGTAAGTTCATAGTTGATTACCATTATGATGTTTTGATAAACTCACTAAAAGAATAATAAAACTTTTGAAATTAACTTCAAACAACACAAATCTGTAGTAAAAATAACGGTATCCACGTAACAAAACAATAACAAACACCGGCAGTTACTCAAATAACAAACAACAACAAACAACAGAGTTGCTGACTCATGAGACAGCTGAGCGATACAGACGACACAGCCTGCCGATATCGTTTTAGAAACAATAACAAATACTATATAAAATAAAAATTGACAAAATATTACTTGTAATATATTTTATTTATGCTTTGGCTACGCAATGACGTTTTCTGATACACAAAATACGTTAAAATAGCGCTGTACTATATAAAATAGTAGATGGCCGATATATCGGCATATTGTCTTTCTGCTCATGACCTTGGGGTGCCGATTTATCGGCACTGTGTCATTTTCAGCACAATATTGACATGCCGATATATCGGCACTTGGGGCTCAAAGGGTTAAATTGCTTACATACAAGAGTATTTAACAGAACCGTTATCTTGTATGTTTTTATTGAAAGAAACTAACTTGCTCAATGACTATTTAGAATCACATGGTTTATATAATTAATTAAATCATGTGTATGATTGTTTTATCTTGAAAACATGTTTCTGTAAACACAGTTAATAATAAAGTTTAACAACTATTAATCAATTATATTTTCTTTCTTTATTTAAAAGGTCATGGTGCCCAGGTATGTTTTATTTTGTGTAAACTCTGAAAATTAATCTAAAATGGATGTGAAAGTACAAATATCAAAGCTTGATGGGTCTCAGTCCTGGTGTAGGTGGAAGAGGCAAATGGAATTGATGTTGAAGCATCATGGGGTCCTAGACATTGCAAAGGGCCAAAGAACTTTGCCTAGAATCACTGTAGACGATGTGACTGGTCTAAGCCCTGAGGAAAAATCAAGAAAAGAACAGGCACACAATGAGGCAGTAAGAGCATATGAGAAAGATGATTCTCTAGCCCAGGTCCTGATGGTAAGTGCTGTAGATGATGCTCATGTTGAATTGACAGCAACTTGTGACTCAGCAAAAGAAATTTGGCAAAAATTGTTGAGTGTGTATGAACAGTCCTCAAGTCAAAGGTTAGATAGGACTTTGGAAAATTTCTTTTCTGCTAAAGTAACCGAGGATGAGGAATTAGTTCAATACATATCTCGTTTGCAATTAATGTTTAGGGAAATAAATGAGGAGTTGCAAAAGCATAATGCCAATGTATTGCCTGCTATTGTACTAATGTCCAGAATTATGAGTACATTGCCAAGTGAATTCTTTGAATTTAAAAACGTGTGGGAAAGCATTCCTGTTGCTGATAGAAGTATAGAACTTTTGATTGAAATGATCAGACTTATTGAGTCAAGGTTACCTTCTAAAAATTCAACAAGTGGAGGGCATGCATTACAAATAAATAAGAAACCATCATCAACTTGTGTTAAGGAAGTAAAGGCAGGTAAAAACAATGCCAGCAGTTCCAAGGTTAAGTGTTTTATTTGTAAAGGGCCGCATTACGCTAGCAAGTGTCCTCAGAATCAGAATTTAAGGAAGCAAGAAACTTACAAAAGAGGTGGGGATTCTTCTAATGAGAACAAGAAGAAATCTGGTCAATTTTTATGCTTTGTAGCTGATGGACATAGTGATGGTACATTTATAGCTGATTCTGGTGCTTCACAACACATGTGTTTCAAAAGGGTTTGATACTTACCACTGTTATTCTAAGCCTGTTTCAGTTACAGTAGCTAATGTAGAAGCTATCTATGCTGAAGGAGAAGGTGACATTCGGTTTGTTGTAAATATTGGTAAGAGTAAAATTGAACGGATATTGCAAGGGGTATGGTATATTCCAAAACTAGGCAGAAATCTTCTTTCGGTTTCCAGGTTAGTTGAAAAGGACTATACGTTCAAAGCAAACAAAAATAAGTGTGTTTTTATAAAGGACAATAAACCACATTTAGTTGGACACAATGTCAATGGCTTATTTGAACTTGAAATGTCAGTTTTACAGAGTAAGTCTTCTGTACAGCTTGTGAGTAGTAAAAATAAAACTCTACAAGAATGGCATGAGTGTTTTGCTCATCAAAACAAGGCTCATGTGTATAAGTTTCTTGGTGATCGGGGCATATCTGTGAAAAAGGATGACTTTTTCTGTGAGGGATGTGTACAAGGGAAACATCACAGAGAAACTTATCACACAAGAACAGTGAAACCTGAAAGTCCAGGTGAGGTTATAAGTGGTGACTTATGTGGACCAATGGAAAATATTTCTCTTGGTGGTAGTCGTTATTGTCTAGTGTTGAAGGACTATTACACTAAATTTCGACGAGTGTTCTTTTTGAAGGAGAAAAGTGAAGTTTGTGATTGTCTACAAACATTTCTCAATGAGTGTCAGACAGCAGGTCATGTTGTTAAATCGTTCATGAGTGATGGCGGAACAGAATTCTGTAATGCCAAAGTGAAGAAACTACTCTCTGATCGTGGTATCACTATGAGAACGAGCATGCCTTACACGCCTGAACAAATGGGGTCCGTTGAAAGAGAAATGTGAACCTTAGTAGAAGCAGCACGTAGCATGTTGTATGCTAAGAAATTACCCTTGAGTTTTTGGGCTGAGGCCATGAACACTGCCTGTCATGTTATCAACCGCACTGGACCGTCTGTTGATGGTAAAACTCCTTACGAGTTGTGGTTTCAAAAGGGTCCTGCGCCCGTTGAACATTTTTGCCCTTTTGGTGCTGAGTGCTATGTCCATGTACCAAAACCGAAGAGGAAGAAATGGTCTGCTAAATCGGTTTTTGGCATATTAGTTGGATATTGTGACAAACAAGATGGCTATAGAGTCTATGTTGCGCCAAAGATTGTGGCAAGCAAAGACGTTATTTTCAAGGAAATTTCCAAGGAAATGATGGAAAATGATTCATTCATGTCTCCTCGACAGATCGAAGGAAACAAAGAATATGAAAATGCTGGTGAGTCATCTCAATGGAATGAGGGAGTTCAAGGCAATGAAGTTGAAATGTGCATTCAATTTCCACGAAAAATCAGTGACAATGGAAATGTGGGGATTGAAAATGATGCAGTGTGTGCTGAAAATGATGTAGTGTCTGCTGAAAATGATGTAGTGTCTGCTGAAAATGATGTAATGTCAGTTGAAAATGATGTAGTAAGAGCCATAAATGAAGATGACAGTCGACCTCAACGTCAGCGACATATCATACCTTCAAGACTATGTTTTACTTGCTGAAGCAGGTCCCTCCTACGACGAAGCAGTTAACAGTCCTGATTGGTGGCACTGGCAAGCTGCAATGACTGATGAAATGGCATCAATAAATGAAAATGAAGTGTTTGAGTTAGTTCCAAGTCCAAGTAATAAGAGAATTATAGGTCTAAAGTGGGTTCTAACACGAAAACAAAGTCCAGAACGCTTCAAGGCAAGGTTGGTAGCAAAAGGATATGCTCAAAAGTATGGAGAGGATTATAATGAGACATTCAGTCCTGTAGCCCGAAGCGATACCATTCGATGTCTTTTGAATGTAGCTGTTCAAGAAGATCTTTACTTAAAACAGTTTGATGTGAAAACTGCATTTTTGTATTCTAAGTTGGATGAGGATATCTATACTTGGCAACCTGAAGGTTATGATGACAAAAGTGGAAGAGTTTGGAAACTGAAACGCAGTTTGTATGGTCTGAAACAAAGTCCAAGGTGTTGGAGTAAGTGTCTAATGCAAAGTATGCTTAAGAAGGGTTTTAGCCAAAGTACTGCAGATCCATGTTTGTTTATTCGTAACAAGAACGGTTCAAAATTGTATGTAGTAATATTTGTGGATGATGGTCTGATTGCTGGTTCAAATCAACAAGAGATGTCTGATTTTATTGCACAATTGGAACAAGACTTCAAGTTGAAAGTTACTAATCCTGAAACCTACCTTGGAATGGAGATTCATAGAGCAGAGGGCAGGATTTCTTTGAATCAGAAGTCTTACATCAAGAGTGTACTTGAAAGGTACAGGATGTCAGAATGCAATCCAGTTGGTACGCCTTTATGCACGAAGCATGAAGATACAGTAGAGGAAAACAAGCCTTTGAGTAAAGGAGTTCCTTTCCGAGAAGCTTTGGGCAGTCTGATGTACATAACAAATACGAGGCCAGACATAAGTTGTGCAGTGAATATGGTACTGTAGCACAAAAGCTGAACAATCCTACTATGCAAGCATGGAGTGATGTCAAGAGAATATTCCGGTATTTGAAGGGGACATTGGATTATTCACTGACTTATTCCAAAAGTGAACCAATTCTCCGTTGCTACAGTGATGCGGACTTTGCAAATGACAAGTCAAGAAAGTCACGCACAGGATATTTGTGTATGTTTGCTAATGGCATTGTAAGTTGGTCTTCAGTGAAGCAACATTGTGTTACATTGTCAACCACAGAAGCAGAGTTTGTTGCTGCGAGTGAGGCTTCTAAGCAAATAGTATGGTTGAAAACAATGTTGGGTGAGATATATGGTCAAGAAATCAAGGCTGTTCTTTTTGTAGACAACGATGGAGCTGTTCGACTAGCTAGGAATGCTGGAGAGTTTCATAAACTGTCAAAACACATTCATGTGAGATACCAGTATGTACGTGAGCAATTTCTTGCAGGTACATTTGATGTACGTCACGTGTCTGGGAATGACCAACTAGCTGATTTCCTGACGAAAGGCCTACCAGTGTCCAGATTGAAAACCCTGTTGGAGCATGTTAGTTTGAGGGCATATTGAAAGAAACTAACTTGCTCAATGACTATTTAGAATCACATGGTTTATATAATTAATTAAATCATGTGAATGATTGTTTTATCTTGAAAACATGTTTCTGTAAACACAGTTGATAATAAAGTTTAACAACTTTAATCAATTATATTTTCTTTCTTTATTTAAAAGTTTTACTTGTTCAATGTTCGTACCCAGTAAAATAAAATCACAATTAAAGTACTGTGGCGGGGTGGTGGATAACAAGAGAATGACGGTTAATCAAGGTTCTACTACACTGATTCAATTAGGCCTAAATCATCGCTTGGAAGATGAAGAGGGGTAAATATAATTTAGCTGATTATATGTACTTACGTCCCTTCGTTTTGCAAGCGTAAAAACCATTACAACAATGTTAGCCTAAATGAAAACATACCTTCATTAATGCAAGCAACGGAGAAAACACAACAGTGACTTTATTCTCCTGCATGACAGCTGGTAGCTGGAAACACAATGATTTTCCTGATCCGGTTGGCATGGACACAAAAACATCATTGGTACCTATAAAAAAAAACAGTTTGAATTTATGTAGCCTATCAAAAATCCACTCAAAATTAGCCAACCTAAAATAGCCTTAGTATTATTATCTATATTACCTTCTTTATTAATAAGGTTTAGACTAACTTATGCCCTGGATTAATGATAATGGGTCAATCACAAGTAAAAAATGTGTTTCGGCCACATCAGATTGTTTTTACTCTACTATGTGAGTACAATATGGGTTCTGGGAGGTTTTAAGCTTAAATGAAAAAGCCTAATTTGAAAATTCTTGATGAATCATGATATTTCTTAAGTTCAGTCAGTAATGGGGCAAAATTGTCACAACAACATTAAACTTTGTTTCATGTTTTTTTTTTTTAGATCATAATACACTAGCCTTAGGCCTACACGATAATGCTTAAAGCAACGGATGATTGTTCTTGTCGCAAAGCTCACTGGTTATAGAATCGGCAGGACCCTGCTGAGACTGCTGGAGAGTTAAGTACGGTACTTTGAGCACTGATAAGTTAGACAGCTAAATAGTTTAAATGTGATGGCGCCATATCTCTGCCTTTTCCTGTCTTATCAAGGTTCACATTTGGCACCTATTCTTTCTAATCTATTTGTTAATGATGTTGGCAAGATTACTCACTGCAATCTCCTAATGTTTGCTGCCGACTGGAACATTTTTGTGGAGCTTCGATCTGAGCTGGAGCTTCTAGAGCTCCCTAAATAACATTGATGACTGGTGCTTGAATAACTGCATGAATCTGAATACTGCAAAGTGTAAAGTTATGTCGTTCAAACGTGGGACCAGGATAGGCCTACTCAGCTCTGATTACTGTTTAAATAGTATCACGCTACCAAAAGTTGACAGAGTGAAAGATTTGGGCATTATTATAACGTCTAATCTTAGCCTATTCCATTTTTATTAAGTTAACTTAACTTATATCTAGGCCTAGCTTCAATGGATTATTGGAATATTACCTTTGACAATTGCTTCAATGGCATCTTTTTGAAGTTTTGATTTAAAATCGTCATGTGAAAAGTACTTTTTCAGGTTTTTAAGAAGTATATCAGGTGAATTAATATATTTGTCCATTTTGGCTTTCCTACCATATAATAAGTTAGTCTATCATAAGTTACACAAATTAACACACTTTTCCAATAAAACCGCTAATATCCAATAAAAGCTATTGTTGTGCAGAAAATCGCATATAGATATAGATTTATAAACTATATTAAAAAGTTGTTAGTTGTTAGATAACATTGCAAAATATACTATATAGCTTCTTATTTACTTATAAATTGAGGTTAGGTTAGAACTTACAAAACATACAAGAAGAAGAAAGAACTTTGAACAAGGCTATGCAGCTTTGTTGTTCGAAGTTTCGGTTGCCTACTCTGTTCTGTATGAAAGATAATTCAGGACGGTTTTAACATAGATAAAACATACTCCTCAACTTACATTTTTATGTCTTGTGTATGAAGTTTTGCTATTTAAGTAATAATACTCAGTGTTCGTTTAGATTAGTTTGAGACTTGTGTGTTGTTGAAAGAAATACTGTATTATCATAGATAGTATTGGTATTATCTTCTATCAACATCATCATCCAACTTTTACCATGAGTGTGGCATTTAATAAACACTAGTGATCGACGGTTTGATTTTAGTATTATAAAGTAAAAGTAGGTTGATGTGTAAATTGCAATCCAATGTGCACAGTTAACTGGTGACTATAATAACCATTCTGGGATCCCAAGACTCTTGCCCTGTGGTGGTACCCAGTACAGGTGGGTGGTGGCTTTGACTATTAATACAACAACGCGGTGGTTAAAGCCGGGTTTACACTATGTAGCAAAACCTGCTATATAGGGGATTTGTATAACATCTAGCAATGTTAACATTTTATAGACGTAGAAACTTTCAAAAGTACTATATAACATTGCATATAAATTCCATAAATACCAACAGCTGTTTGCTGTTGTTTTTCCATAAACTGCCTGAGATTGTGAGGCTGTTTCCTAGATTTTGCCTAATTAATACTGGATCATCTGCACCAGTGCACCAAGATGAGAAATCTACTCGAAGGCAGTCTAGGTTGTATGGTTGTATCATAAATAAAACATACTCCCTTGTGTTGGTTAGTCTATGGTTGTATGTATGGGAGTGGAAGTAACCCTTTTTTAGTAATCCCTGTCCATGCACTGTAATCGAAGGGCTAAAAATATACCGGTACCATAGATTAAGTATACTCCTTATACTATACTCTTATATATTACCAATAGCATAGACTAACCGTATGGGGGACAGCTCACTTACTCTACAGATCATAGACTATACGAGCTTTTTAAATAATATTGAAGGTTCACTTGCACTACAGGCTCGTATACTATACGAGCCTATCGAAAATAAAAATTAAATGAAGAGGGTTCACTTACTCTACAAATCATTGTGCCTATGAGCCTCGTGTATTATATTTAAAAATACAGTAGGAAGGTTCGCTTACTCTACAGATCATAGTGACTATGAGCCAAGCTTACGAATTATTTGATAATTCAGGAATCGGCTCGTATAGTATACGAGCCAAAATAATGAATAATATAAATTATAGGAATAGGCTCGTATACTATACGAGCCTGCAGAAAAATATTAGATGGCTCACTTACACTACAGATCATTGGCACAATGATCCGTAGAGTAAGTGAACCCTCTTCAAAATATTAGATGGCTCACTTACTCTACGGCTCATTTAGCTACTCGTTGCGCGGTTTGCGTTCGTGAAACTCTAGGCGCTATGCCCGGCTTCGACTGCTGCGACTGCCTACATAAGTGTATTGCATCACCTCAATTATTTATTAAAACGAAATAAATATGTATGCACAAGTAAATTTATTACATTTTTGGACTGAATACTTTAAAAATGGAGGGAGCATGACTTTTATGTTTAATTAAATTAAAAGTTATAGAATAAAACATATTTTGACTATGTGATTTGATCATGTTATATAATACACACTTGTATGATCCAGATACAGAGCTACAGACAAAACCTGTGGTCCGATTTAGATTAAATTTTGTATCTGGATTCATCCACGAGTCACTAATTTTTTAAGCACGGGTTGAGAAATAATGGCAAAAATTTATAAAAACAGTTCACCAGTTTAGAATATTTCTCAGTTACTGTGAGTTGCAAAAAAGTGTATACAGAAGCATTTGTGTTCACAGAAAATATAGAGGACTAGATGTATACAGAAGATATATTAAAATACAATACGCATACAACTATCAACGTTTACATATGTAAAATTAATGAATTTGTTGTGGTATTGAGTATTTTTAACATTATGACGAAGCCTTAACAAAATATATTTTTTTAAGGAGTTCTAGGGTGTTAAACTATATTGTATTTATCTTTTGTGGAAGATTCTGTCCACGATTTATGATTGCTAACAATTTAATACAAAGATTTAAGTCTCTGTACGTGAAGACTAAAAACACGAAACAAACTTTAAAGGAATAGAAAAGATTTGATCAGGAGCTGGCGTTTGATACCTTTTGGGAATAAATATAGCCTCTACTTCAAAGGTATACATGGTGAGGTAGCCTCTGGAAGTCCATCTTCAGGTTAACAAAAATGTCAATAGGTCATCTAACCAATTTGGTTAGATGACCTATTGACGTTTTCTGAAGATGGACTTATTTTCAAGTCCGAAACTATAGTAGTGTAATACTGAAGAAGGATCACTTGACTAAGCCAGGTAACTTAAACCATTTAGCTTAAAGTTATACAAGTTGGTTTCACACCAACATTTCATGCACATATGAAATCTATATAATTAATACGCGAACACGAAGTTTGTCGGTTGAATCCTCCACCATTTCTAAACCGATTTTATCCACTGACGTCTCATTGGAAAGAGCGTGTTGCGTAGATTTGCAAACTGGCCTAAAATTTTTGAAACAGTCCCTTGGCCTCTGCCACAGTGGCTTTTTATTAAGTTCCCATGTTATCCTTACGAAGAACATAATATTGTTTACATCAGCTGTTTAATTTCATTGTGTTCTTTGTTTTTCAATTCAACGAAACGCATTGGTTACATTAACTGATTTTGTGGAAATTAAATATCTATCTATATATTAATTACGAAAGCCGATTCTTTGCGTCAAAATTGTGGGCGACTGGGTAGTCGTAGAACGACGGGAGAGGGTTCAAATTAAAGGTCTCGATCCCGGAAAAATAGTGAAATTCCCCAAATTTTAACACAAAATTAGACATAACCTTTGACTTAGTCAATGATATAACGTAAAATGTTCTCCATAAGAATAGCATTAGAAGCCATTTGTCTGTTGATTTTTGTTTACCTCAATACAGCTGATCGTGATTTATCATTAAGCCAGTAAGCAATATTACATTTGGATTTAACTAGTTTGCCAGTAAATTCTGCAATGTACTGTATACTATATAAAACCAGGGATGACGTTACATACAATTGAGACTTTTGTCGTTATGTCTTAGAATGTTGAAATTAATTTTACTGTGCAATTTGCAAATTTGTGTATTTGTATGTAAATTAGCCAAGCGCATGAAATTTAGTAGAATCGTGGGAGATGGTTAAAATCAAAGTAAATGGAAGTAGAATGGCTGAAATATTTAAGCTTTGGTTTTTTTTAAACATATGTTCACGAAGTTTACAAAATTATTTTACTTTAATTACATTTCTTCACATTAGTAGGTTATTGTTGTGCTGAAGGAATGTTTAACATGAAATAGCCCCATTGACTAAACAATCAACGATGCAAGATTAGTTAGAAAACTTCTGTTTTGTTTTTATTTCAAAACATATATTGAAAATTTATTCAAAACTTTTGTTTTAAATTTCATAACATTTAATTTGACACGTAATTGTAGTGTTTAATCTATACTTTGTATCGAGTGGAATAACCTTAACAGTTACTCTAGAGAATAACCTGGGAATAAAATTTGAAATAGGTTTGTACAGGCAATACATATATTCCTTTCATTAATTACTATAACAAATTCCAATGGGCGGAAAAATAAAATTGTTTGGAGTAGATTTTAACCAGGTATCTACTGTCTGTTGCTCCAAGGAAAAAAGGTTAAAATAATATAGCCCAACATGCATTGTATATATATATACAATCTATATAGATAGTGAAGAGAGAATCTATAACAGTAAACCCTGGAGGTAGTTTTCGATTCTTCATGTTTCACTAACCAAAAATATGTACCTATATTAATTGCTGATGAATTTGTTTTCTTGATTGGTTTCATTAACATGATAATGGAACCCTAACCAATGGCAAAAGAGTTAGTAATCAGTCGATGATTAGCTTTTTTAACTGTAGGCTAAATAAATAATATAAACGGTAAAATGTTTTCAAACAAAATTTACATCCATTGAATGAAAAATAATATACTATTAACATGACTATAGCTGATATGGCTTAGCTGTCGGCTATCTGTACATTGCGTCATAACAGCAGACAGCGCTATGTTATTAACTTAAAAATTATAACGGATTAGCAAATAAATACTTTACTATGGTCTTAACAAACTATGAACCCACTGAACGTTTAAATTGGCCAATTTTAAAGAGAGTATAAAGTCAACCACAGCTTTAGGAGGAATCCCACCACATAAGCTGACACAGAGAGTAGTTTATATTTTATGTTGATCAGAAACGAAACTAGGGCAGCCTTTACACTAATTCAGTTGTGTCTTTACAAAAGGAGTAGAGCTATAATATTAGAAATAATAACTTGGCCAGGGTACTAATATGAGTACATGTATTATTGTAGCACTGTATCGATTCTGACACATAGATAATTTTATTCTTAGTTTGTTTAAATATTACAATAGTTTGTTTTACATTTGAGCTTTTTAGGGACTTATGTCCCTACAAGCCACTAGTTGATCAATATAAAGCCCAAAGTACACATGAACTTTTGTGAAAACTACAAGTCATAACCCCATAAACCATATACTTAAAATGTTCGTCATGACGAGAAAACTAGCGCAAAACTATCCATTATTTCATAAACTGCCCTTAAAGGTCGTAATTGCTTTCCAAGGAAACATAGGAAAGTCATAGAACGCCACCAAGTAGCAGAAATCGAGATTTTTTAAAAATATTATCGTTATCATCC